GCATATAGGACAATTTAATAAAGGTGGATACGTCTCGGCATTCCGTACAACGCATATAGGACAATTTAATAAAGGTGGATACGTCTCGGCATTCCGTACAACGCATATAGGAAATTATATAAAGGTGGATACGTCTCGGCATTCCGTACAACGCATATAGGACAATTTAATAAAGGTGGATACGTCTCGGCATTCCGTACAACGCATATAGGAAAGTATAGAAAGGTGGATACGTCTCGGCATTCCGTACAACGCATATAGGACAATTTAATAAGGTGGATACGTCTCGGCATTCCGTACAACGCATATAGGACAATTTAATAAGGTGGATACGTCTCGGCATTCCGTACAACGCATATAGGAAAGTATAGAAAGGTGGTTTACATTTTTATATTTTTTAATTTATTTTTTAAAAATATCTTTAATTATAATTTTTAATTTTCACTTAAAATCGGTGCATGTCGGTATTCCGCTTATGTTAGAGCTGAAAAATAAATATCGGAAACTCATAATTGTTCCATATTGAGAAACAACAACCTTGTATTATTTCAGAATATAAAACAGTTATGATAAAGCATACCAGTTAATTGTTTAAATCTTAAAATTCAAATTGAAAACTTAATAAACGAAAAATAAAAATATACTCTAACGAAAAATTAAATCTTATTTTTAAATCATTAACTAAATTATTTAACAAAACAAACAGAACAATTAACTGGTATGCCCCCTGTCCTAAAATCCAGTCAACCATTGTGCAGTCAAACCCAAAACCCAGATCGATTGGTGCGAATACACCAACGGATCCGGTACTTTTCAATTTATTTAAACGTATTGACAAATAATTAAAAAAGAATTACTTTGTAACCTTTGCTAAAATATTGTTAAAATTTTCGTAAATTTCAATCAAGGTACCTAAATAAATTGAGAAGTAAATCAATTGGGGTCGACCGCGGACAGGGTTAATTGATGACTGAATGGAATGTTGATGGAATGTTAAAAAGAATTTGACTGAGAAAAGTAAAGTAAATAAAATTTGTCGGCAGTTCGCTCATATAAAGTTAGTCAAAACGGATTCCTCTTGCTACTACATTTCTCATAGCAACATTTCCATTATTATCGGGTTTTTTACCTGGTGCGAATACTCTAATATTTTCTCCACTTCTTCACCTTGAAAAAGCGGTATATGTTTGTCCATGAGCGAAGGGTTCATCACTTATATCGATACCTAAACGTTCACAAGTTTGCCCTTGGGCTTTAGTTATAGTCATGCAAAATGCTACCCTTACTGGGAATTGAAACCTTTCAAAACTAACTCCGTCAGGACGAAGTTCTTTATAACTATTTCTTGCTCTACAAATTCCCACAACAATACCACGTTCCGAAGAACCACTTATGGTTTCAGCTTCAATTAAGTCTGGCCGTAAACGCTTAACAATTAATCGGGTCCCGTTACATAAACCCTTTTGGGTATTTAAATTTTGAAGTAATACTATTACTGCACCAACTTTAAGCTTTAAATTGTGGGCTGGCAACCCCTTTGGTGTTAATCTGTTTAATTGGGCTACTTCATAATCGGCCAAGTTATAAGCAAAAGGGTTCTCACTTGTCGGATTATCTATTGACAAATACTTGTGCACAGGCGCGTTTATCAAATCAATAATTTCTGAGTTAATCAAATCAACCACTCTATTAGTTGGTGACAGTATTAAACGTTTTAACAATTCCTTAACAGGTGCATCAAAACCTGTATCAAATACAAATCTATACAATTCTTGCCTTGAATTAACTCTCATCGCTTCCGGAATTATAACAGAATCGCCAGTTTGCCCAGTTCCTATACTATAAAGCCAATCCTTAAATTGGATTTCCGACTGAATTACTCTCATATTCTGCATTAACTTATATTTTTCAAATTTTCCATACAGCTCTGATGACTGAATTGACGCTGCTACCTGTGCTCCGGGAGCCGATGATTCCTCAACTACAGGAAGAGACTGCTTCCAGTCACCCGATATTATAACAATTTTTCCCGCAAACGGATCATTTTTAAATTGAGGAATTAATGTTTTACATAACAGATTTACATTTTCAAATATTGTTTTATTTAATATTGTAACTTCGTCAACTATTATCAAATTAGCTTCAATTATTCTGCGCCCAAAGTATCTATCTACTGTCACGGGTGGAATTACACCGGGTTCCACATTAATACCGAACCTAAAGGCAGAATGAAATGTCATTCCTCCCGCGTAAAAATTTGTGGCTGCTATACCGGTCGAGGCGGTTGCTAATACTTTTAGTCTCATTTCTCGTAATTTATAAATAATATAATTGAGGAGAAAAGTTTTTCCAGTACCGCCATCTCCAGACAAATAAAATAATTTATTTTTAGAATTAGGATCTAAAACTGAATCTCGAATTAAATTAAAAAATCTTTTCTGTTCTGGATTTAAATTAGTATTATCAAAAATAGACGTATCTACGGCCTCATCCATTTCATCATCATTAATATGATGTGGGAAAAAAAACTCGTCGAGAGCCCTGTCAGGATCGTTTCTTATTGGATTATTTGGAGAAGGGAGGTTAAATTCTTGCAAACTACGACCGTTACTAAGTAAAAGTTTTTCTATTATTGCTAAAGCTCTATCAATACGTATCGGTCTTACATCATCAGTACACCTACGGTCATAAAAGTGATCAATAAACATATTCCATAGTAAAAGACCATCAATAACACACTTTTCAGTGCCACCAAATACAAGTATATTGGCAAACAACTGTCGCATTTGGGAAGGATTTAAAGAAATAGATCCCTCTCTTAAAGTGCGTTCCCAAACATTATTATCTTCAAATAACCCTCTCAATCTTGCGGCTTCGGCAAAGGTTTGACATTTATACCCATTAACAGTTAATAGATCTGCTGGGGTCCCAGAAAAATGTTTAGTTAGTATATATAAAGCAAATTTTTCGGGATCTCTAGGGGACACAGAATAAATCCTTCCAATACGTGGTTTGCGATTTTTATTTTTATTGGAAATTTTTAGCTTCTTCCAAATTTTATGTTCTTTATTAAACGCGTAAGTTTCTGGCATGTTTTCGAAAAGTATATTTCTAACTTCAGAATCCGTATCACATAACTTCCAATAAGCAGAAAGAGGTGAATCCGGAATATTACCTGAATTTATAGCACTAATCATTTTACTTGTATTTTTTCTTGTAAAATAAATTTTCTGATTTTCTGGTAAATGTATCGTCAAAGCTTTTACTATATGAGATAAAAAAGCATATTTATACGACATTATCCTTGAGTAAGCTTCAGTTGGACTGCGATAAATCATCCTAGCATAATGCAACGGCTCATCTACTGTTATAAGACCGCTCGCTTCGCTACGCACATATGAAAAGCTGGAACCTTTGAAAGGATATTTTAAAGCATACTTTAAATTATCAGTTTGGCCGTATGCGAACTCTAAATTATGGTGGCATTGAAACATAACCAAAATAAGTGGATTATACGGTACTACTTTAGAATTATCATATGTGATCACTGCACTCCCACGATTTATTTTTAACACTTCTCCGCCATCTTTAGGAGAAGGACGATAATATACTGCTGGCGTATTTTCATGCAAAACAGTAATATTACTAAAAGGCTTTGGGAACCCCTTTTTACATTTTCCATTAGGTGTCTTACAATGTTCTGAACAGTCATGAAACTGATACAGCGGTAACAGTTCTCTAACTTTTCTCATAAATTTTGCCCACCCAGAATTATCACCTGCAGGAGGTTCAGGTGGTATATGCGCATAAATTAAATTTGAAATATTATCTGGGGTTGGAACTATATCAGTACAAAAAACTCTATGCAAATGCGGGCCTCCAATCCTTTTCTGAAACTCTCTACTCTCACCATATCCCAAAATTTTTCCAAAAATATTTTTTTTGTTTAATAAATAATGAAGATGTCTTAACTTGTCTTCATATACACGAGAAATGATATCAAATCTGTCAACGCTTTTCTGATTTTTATAAAATAAATTTCTTTTCGTTTCAGGCCAGCGCGGATTACTCGTAAAAGTGAACATGAAGGAGGAGTTCTCAGGTTTACGTACTTTAGCCATAAGAGTAGTGGCGTCGTAAAACATGTCCTGAAAATATGGTCGTGTCCCTGGGTGATAAGCTCTAAACAATACAACATGCCCTAAATCAGCAATAGAATTAGCACCAGAGTCCCTTTGTAACCACCTAAGAGCATCAGGACCGATAGTACCGCGTAAATCCATGTCTTCATTACGTAAATAATTTGCTACGTCCGAATCAATTCTAGCATTATAATCTAAAGCGTACTTTTGACTTAAACCTCCCCCAGAATTCCAAATATTATGATAATCCTCGTGTTTTCTTAACGCCAACCTATATTTTATATAATCCCGAATACTTATATTTTTTCGCCTATTATCTGAAAGAGGATCAATTTCACAGTCTGAATTATTATCACTATCTTCTTCGTTTAAAACTTTTCTAGCAATCGGAATCTTATTATGATAACTATCATCACCACACGGAAACAAAAGTGGGTAACATAATGTATCTGTTTGAGGATGATGAGGTGGAAAGATAAATAACTTCCCTTGCTCCCCAGTAATAAAAAGCCCCTTCAAAATAGGAGGTTCACTTTCCTCGGTATGTAACGAAAACAATGTTTCCTCTGTAGGAAGATTAACTTGTCTAACATGTAATGTATTATCTATAATAAGTTCAGGCGCTTCTCGCTCTTCCAAAAGTACGAGTCTAAAATTCTGGACAGAATCAGGGCCGTCCCTTTTCAATTTGTCTAAATATTGTTCATGAAAAGATTTATAAGTATTTGCAAGGGGATGGCAATTTCTAAGTAAGGTATCTAAACTTTTTAATACATCTGGATTCACTCTATCCCCTCCGTAAGCAACATTGGAAACTCGATGCTGAAAAGCAGTATCAGCATCTAATATATATAACTGGGAAAATGATGGTCCTGAATCTCCAGCTACCATCGAACTCATTTTTCTAACAAATTCGCCATTTAGCAGATAACAAACCCCACCATAATGTTTAGTTTCTCTGTGGCCTACATAAATTGACGCAAAAGCAAGGAGGGAATTGTATACATTTTGTTTTTTCAAAAAATCTAAAGAATCCTTAGTATCACCTTTAGTTAAGTCTTTTAATAACTGAGGATGGGGTTTAAACGAAGGAAGTTTAACTAAGCCACAACGACAACAATATGAAGAGGAAATCTTTTTAAACTTCTTATAATGTGCCTCATTAATTTCAGAATTAAACAACAATGCACCGCAATAAAAACAATCCTTATCTCCAATATTTCCAGAATCGTAGTAGCTTACAACATGTCTGCGCAAGGATATAATTTATGAGACCAATGACAATGGGGTGTAATTTCCTTTAAGTTATTAAGTGTAATATTATTAATATTTAGTTCGGATACATTATCTTTTTGCATAGATTTAATTCTTGCAGACCTTCTTAAGTTTTGTGAAGGAGGATCAGGTTCAATATTTATTACCGGTAAATTATTAACTACACAGTTTTCTTGAATTTCTCCTGGAAATTCTAAATTAAAATTAAAACAATTCCCGTTAGGCGTATTCGCGGAATGTATCAAAGAAGGTCCTATATATTCAATTTCATTAGCCAACGCTAAATTAGAAAGATTCCAAATTATTCGTTTCCTTTCATAATTAATATTTAAATCAGGAATCAACATATTACTATTATTAAACAAATACAATTCACAATACAAGCAAACAAAAAACCCGCAATTAACCCCGTCAGTTTGTTCACTAAATTGAGTACGAGGAAGGGTTTGAATCTGAATATTATCTGCATCAATACCAGGTGTCAACTCACTTATGCCTTGTTTTATCAAATCAATACGCCTTATATCAAATCCAGGATATCGAACATTAAACAATCTATCAACAGCAGGCAAAGAATCAACAAACAAACATTTAATATCATTTCTATTATAACGGTCATATATTATAAGCCCAAAATGACCTGGAAAACAGATGGGCATGAGCAAAATGTCATAATCAACAGAATAATTAAAACAATTTTCTATAGGAATTAGCGGATCTCTATCCCCATATTGATAGTCAACAAAAGAAAACGCAGGGTCAAGTACAACAATTCGTTTATTAGTGCGAGTGGTTAAGTAGTTTAAATAATAATAAATATAGTTTTCTTCTAACCACGAATTGGGATTGGACCAAAGACCTTTAATGTAATCTCTCACTGGGTTTATATTTTGAGCAAAAATACGTATATCTGAACGTAACAAAGGACCATAAGGAATATCTAAAGATTCTAAATGCTCAAAATTCGTAACAATATCAGAATGTAACACCTCACTATTTTCTACAACTTTCTTCCTACCACCGCAGCTTGTTTTTTTTAATGGTCTGCCCCTTTTAGGCAACAATGAAACTTCACTAACAGGGGTAATACACCGTGAAACAGAACTCGAAAAATTACTCATAATATCAATTTTACTTATATCGCTTTCAATACTCGTATCACGTTCAACCACAGACTTTTCTAAAGTATTTTCAACTAACAAATTATCAATCTCAATACAATTTTCACCTAAACAATCATCAACAAACATATCACTACCCCTACCAACAACCAAAGAATCTCTATTTAAACGACCATCATCCACAGAACTACTACATTGATCTACAATCAAAGAATCCCTACTTAAACAACCATCATCCAAAAAACTACTATTACCAACAACCAAAGAACCCTCATTTACAGAACCATCAACCAAATTTTCACTTTCAAAAGAACCATCAACCATATTGCGACAACGCTTTCTATTATAATACTCACGTTGTTGCGTTCGCTTTCGTCGCAAATTAGAAGGCATTAAAAATAAATAAAATAATATAATTATCTAAATATCTAAAAAGCAAAAAAATAATATAAAAAGAAAACTAATTTAGAAATAAATTCGGAATACCAAATATTTTCCAATTGGAACATCATTCGACTCAGCTCGACGAGCTGGGACGACGCTAAGAGCCGAAATACGGGGCGCGAAATGTAAACCTATTGGTTATTGGCGAACATGATTGAATCAGCTCGATTGAATGTTCCTGAACAAAGTTATGACCAACAGAATCTTCGCTGGAAAAACTGTTTTTGTGCTGCTACAGAGGGTAGGCCGGGCATGGTCTTCACTACACAATGGCCGTGCTTCGCTGCGGTCGTGCTCGCTTCGCTCGCGGCGACCGTAGCGAAGCGGCGGCCGTCGTTCCGCTCGACATGCCCGGCTTCCTCCGCAGCGGCAAAAACCTTTTTCCGCGAAAACCTTGTGGAAGGGGTAAAAACAAACGGTCATAACTTTGTTCAATCACGTCCGATTTCGTTGATTTTGGCATGAGATCCCATTATCGCAATTGCAACACTTCAACAGAACTAAACAGGTTCGTCTATTTATCCCTCCTCGGTTAAAAGAGTCGCTCTCTATTAATCAGGGTTGTTTCCTGATTAGATGAACCTTTTATAGAGTAGCGTAATGCTGGACTTTTTCTTAAAATCCGGTATAGAACCTCGCTTTATTAAGAGGAAACTAATCTCGGGGCATTTTCTGATTAGGTTTAAGCCTGTAAAAGGGCCTTACCGATAAAAAAACCGGCATGACCCCTCTATCCAAAATGAAACATAATCAGAAAATGCCCCCTGATTAGTTTACTCTTGATAAAGCAAGGATCATAGCGGATTCAAGAAAAAATCCGGCATGACCCCTCCTTTATAAAAAGTACAACTAATCAGGGAACACTCCCTGATTAGCAGGGATCAACTCCCTTAACCGAGGGAGAGAAAGAAACTAACCTTTTTAGTTTTGTTGAAGTGTTGATGTTGATCCATCCACTCAAAGCAGCCAATACCATTAAAAAATAAAAAGAAAATTAAAGATTAAATTAAATTAAAAAGGGTGCTTTTTTACTTTCTCCACCAATCATTTTTTTCGGTAAATATCTAAAGATATTTGGTCTGTTAGAGGCTGAAGAAATCGTCGAGATGTGTCTAATGACACTAAAACCAAAAAAATCAGACTTGGTTTGACCGAGATACAGAACCATGAAAATCGAGCAACCATAGAGGCGAAAAACCATATGGACGAAAATTTATGCAAATGATAGCTCATTCGAAAGAGCTTATCGAGTCGAGTCGAATGACATTAAATTCTACGTGGTTGGACAAAATTTAATAAAGTTATGACACAAAGTCGCCAGCCACGGAAGATCTACATAATGTAATAACTTTATCAAACTTTGTTCAATCACATAGCTTTTAGTGTCTTTCGACTAAGCTCGACAAGCTCTTTCGAATGAGCTATCATTTGCACAAACTTTAATTCCACAAACCCACCCCTGAGGGGTCAAAGTTTTCGGGGTCTGTATCTCGGTCAAACCGCTTCGGATTTTTTTGATTTTGGTGTAATTCGATGCAGCTCGATGAGTTCTATAACATAAGACAGACTGCCTTTATTCATATTTACCGAAAAAAATAACCTGAGAGGAAAGTTAAAAAGTACCCTAAAATAGCCCTGATCACACCCCAAACACAAATTTTGAAAATTTCAAAAAACCCCAAATTTCCTAATTCTTTTCGGTAACCTTAACATAAATATAATCTACAGGTCCTAAATTATAATTTATAAACAATGAAACCCCACTAAAATCTCGAAAACCCCAAAAAAATCGTGAAAAATTCGAAAAAACTCAAAAAAATGCAAAAAGTGAATTTTTGCAGCTTTCAAGATTTTTTTCGAGATTTTTCAGAAAAAAAAGGGTTAGGGTGTGATCAGGACCATTAAATAACATAAAAATAAAAAAAATTAAAAAGGAACCCAGAAATTTTCAAGGAAAACCCCAAAAAACCCCAAAAAACTGAAAATTTTAAAAATTAAAAAAATGAGAAAAAAGGCAAAATTTGCCTATGGACAAAATGGTCAGGGGGACAAAATGCCCACGGTTTATTCTATCGCTGTCTGAACCCTAATCAAAATAAAAAAGGTGGGGTAATAGGTTATCGACTACGGGCAGTTTAATGGTCATGGCCATTTTGGTGCCACACTCAAGTGCGACACCGAAATGGCCGGATGAAAAATTCAAAGTCTCATAACGGGTTTTTGAGAAGTGGGGGGTTCTTCGGCCTGGGAGTGATGTTGGAGGGTTGGATGTTGGTAACATATGAGATGTTGACCATTAGAGTCTCCGATGAAGTTTTGGGGGTCATATGGGTCAATGAGTCAGGGTCGAAGAGTCGATTTTTTTAAAGGCGTTTCAGGTTTCTTCAATAGCCTGTTCGAAAGAGCGTCCCCTGGGGCTCCGAAAAAGGTATACATTGTTGGGGGTCCACTTGAGTCTCAAAAAGTTATGGCCAATATGCGCAAATGTCGCAAAACTTTATAACACTCTAAGTAGGCGGGAAAATTTTTTTAAATTTTTCTGAGACCGGATTCGGACCCAACGCATACAAAAGCACCTTATAGAATGTTTTTCTGAAATAAGCAGAAAATTTTGACACATCAATTTTTTGCTTCTATTTTGAAACTCAAAAGTTAACAAAATATTTAAAAATTCATATCTCCTCAAAAATAAAACGTATTTAAATATTTTAAAAGACTAATATGTAGCAAATTATATGTAGTATTTTATAAAAAATAGTTGCAACCACCCTCGGCCTCGATATACCCAAAAAATTTTCAAAAAACCAAAATTTTTGAATTTTCAAAAAATCGACCCTAAGAGGCCTCGGGTGAAAAGTTTCAAAAATCTAAAGAGCTCAAAAAATTTGTAATTTTTTGCTCTATTTTATAAGCTTTAATTTGTTTGGTTGCGACAAAAACGAACAAAGTTACATGCGATTTAAATTTCACAAAAAAATTTCAATAGGGGTACCCCTTCAAAAATGGGTCAAAAAATCGATATCGAGAAAAACATGTTTTATGGTACTCTGATGGGTGCTGAATCCGAATCCGAAGTCCGTTTATTTTTAAAAAATTTTTAAAAAAAGTTATAGACAAAAATATATCAATTTTTCACCCCCAAAATGCCACTTTTTGGCATATAACTTTCCCAGACTCAAGTGTACCCCCAACAAAGTATATATTTTTAGAGGTTTCAAGGGACGCTCTACAGGATAGGAAACTCAAATCGAGTTTCAATTCACGCGTTAAAAAGTCGACTTTTCGACTTGGACCTTTTGAACCTTATCAACCCCAAAACCAAATCCGAGACTCAAGTGGCCCCCAACAAAATTTTAGCCAACTAAATGCCCTAACATACTAAAAAAGAGTTGGAGCGATTCGGCCTCTCATAAGCACTTTTATAATCAGACCCAATGGGAGCCACCCTTCCCGATAGGGGTCCTGGACATTTTGGACCTTTGGAGTTCTGTAACTTTGTACAAAATGGTCAGAAAAAATTAAACTAAATTTTCCCAGACTATACTCGTCGAGAGCTATCGATTGGTATATAATTTGAAAATTGTCGGTGAATTTCGTCGGACACGCTGTCAAAATTCATGACAAAGTGACCCTCAGTTAAGGCGGCACATCGTACTCAAGTGTCACCCCAAAGTTTCCAATTTTTTTCCCAAGTTGTAGCCCACATTCGGGGGGAGTGCCCTTTCCCCAAGCACTTTCTGATCCGACTTCACCCCTCCAAGTTACGGCCGTTTGAAATTTTCAAACGGCCGTTTCGGCGCGGAAGTACGTTTTGGCGCCGAGTTCATATTTTTCCCAGATGCGCCTCAAAAAGTTGTAGGACCCATCCACAACTTAAAAAAATCCACGACAAAGCCTTAAAGAGATTTTGATTTTGGCAGCGATTTTACCACCAAAATAAGGGACAAGTTGGGGTTTTTTATATAAGTATTAAATTAATAAAAATATTTTTTTAGAAGAAAATAATGCAAAATGTTATTCCCGAAAGAAGTACTTCTCTACCTCTAAATACTTTAATTTATGAGAATAATCTTCAAGAATCTTCAAGTCAACAAATAATAAATGAAGGAAATGAACAAATACAGATTATTAATAATAATGTTTTGGAAGCTCCAGATAATTATGTAAAATAATTTGATTACTTTCCTGTTATCGGCCCTCGTTTTTATTTTCCTTTTTTTCATTCTCTTAGAATGGTCAGTGAGTAGAGTCAATCATTATGTTCATATTAAGAAAGAATATACCTAGTAGGGTTGGACACAAATAGTTTATCCGAACCAGAATCGAAAACAACCAATTTTTCTTTCCCTTCAAAAGGAAAGGAAGAGCAGTGAGTATAATGAAAAAAAAGGAAAAAAATGAGGGCCGGTAACAGGAAAGTACCAATAATTTTTTTAATGAACAGAATCCTTTAATTTAAAGTTTTTTCTTCTTCAGATTCAAAATAATTCTTCCAATAATAATCAAAATAATTCGGCATTTGACGATATTAGTTACAAAAATGAAGTTAAAAATTTAAATTGTTTTGTTGCTCAAATGTTGTTGTCTTCGTATAGAGATGGGAAATTAGCAACGGCAGAACAATTACATAATGAATTAACAAATGCGGGAATATTTATTGACATTTGGAATTTAAATATTTATTTAATTAGAATGAAGGCAAGTTGTGTTGTTTTTTAAAATTATTTAAATTAATTTAATTTCTCTTTTAGTTAGCAAAGAAGCAATATTTAGTTCCTCTTTATTCAAGTCCAAATGAAGGCCAATTTTTCCTAATAGGATCAGACCAAGAATGGCGCAAATTTAAAGCAACAAATTATTTAACTAAACATTCTATTCACGAATTGGATTGCCTTAAATGTTTAAAATTGCGAAGGAAGGAACGTTCAAATGCTTGGTAGGTTTTTAAAAAAGAATTAATAGTATTTTTCTCTCTCATTCATTTTCCCATTTAAAATGGTTTTTAAGTAAAATTTCTTTCGTTATTTGAAAGTCTGACTCGTGAGGAGATTTAACTTTTCAAAAAATTTTTTTTATTTAAATAAGGGGTCAACTTGGAAAGGCAGTTTTGCGTTTTGGAGAATTAGATGATAATGTTCCAATTTTACACCATCAAAATTGCAATGGTGATTCTTTAGAATATTTACATAAACTTCATTATTCACCAAACAATGCCCCAGAAATTGTTTCTCCTCAATTGGAAGTTAATATTCAAGACAGAGTTTCGGTAGGTTTTGAAGTTCTACTAAGTAGTCGTGAGAATGACCTTTAAAATCTAATAAGTGAAAAGTAAGGCATTCTTCTTGTTGGGCAAATTTCAAGCAAAACTTTAAACCCTACCTCTTTTCCACTTTAAAAACTTTCTGAAGTATTTAAATATTTAGAATTTTTTGGAAAATGCAACACCTCTTGAAATGTTACAAGAAAGTGTTAGAATGGTTACTTCTGCACAAGAACAACAGTTACAACAACAACAACCATCTCCAACACCACTCCAACAGCAGCAATCATCATCTACATCATCAAAAACACCTTCAGATATATTTCCACAACAGCAACAACAATATTTTCTTTCCAATCAATCATCTTCCTCTCAACAACAACCAACAATTTCTGAAAATCCCAATTATTTAGCTTCATCTGTTCTTCAACAATTTTTAGAAAAATCAAAACAAACATTAACAAACAAAGAAGTTATTTTAATTGACGATGATGAACAAATTACAAATAATTCAACAATAACTACAGCAACAACAACATCTAATAAAAATATAAATGAAATAAATAAACCAAATAATAATGAAAATTTGTCTAAATTAATTATTGGATTGTCTGAAATTGCTAAAGAATTATCTCTTTCTCTTATTCAACAGCGGTAAAAAACATTTTTATAAAATACATTTACATACCTAATGTACATATTAGTTTAATTTTTTCTCAGGAGACAAGAATTAAAATATTGCTCCCGTAACGGAATTTTTTTCAAAATTTTTACGGGACAGGATCCTGCGGGATTAATCCCGTAAATCCCGATAATCCCGTTCGTTGCTTAAAATACAGGATTTCGGGATATGGTCCCGCAAAATCCTGTTCGGTATTTTGACAGGTCCCGGCCGATTTATAATTAAATATATTCCATCCATTTTTTATTTTAATTATTTTTTCTGAATTAACAACAAACTCTTTAAAATTCTATACCCATTCTATTTTTTGGAATAAGGAGAAGATATTGATCATAAAATTATAAAACAATTTTTAATATTTTTCAAAATTCCTTATTTAATTAAATACTTTTAATTTCCTTTTTAAAGTAATAGCAACAACCTTATTGTTTTACCTCAAAACATTCGTGATTCAAAACGTTCCCTGTCAATCATTCCAATGCCCGATAATATTTTAATTGTTAATGCATTTCTTGGAAGTATTTTACAGGAAACTTTACGGTTATTTAAATTTAAAATATTTAATTTATTTTTTTAGTTGGTCTTCTTCAACTGATGGAATGGATCAATTGTTATATGCACTTAGAGGAAAGTGTTATCAATTCTTTTATAAATGTCCAGCTTTAGTTACCCAAGATAATTGCCAAGGAAATTCTGGATGGATTTTGAGAAATGATCATTTTCTTTAAAATTTTGACAAATTTGTTTTTTATTTTTTAAATTATTCTTTTCTTTTTATTGTTAAAATTTATTTATAATAAATAATAAAAATTGGGTAATAATTATTCTTAATTTTTTCTTATTTGTTAATTATGAAGATTTTTTAAATTAATTAAGTAAAGCTTCAACTTGATCGATAATTTAAACAATCGATAATTTAAATATTAAAAGGTTTTGTAATATGTACATCTTAATACTTATAATATCAAAATATTTTTTGTTCAAGTACATTTTTTTCGAACATCTTGCAATTTAAATATTTAATTTTTGTTTTTGCAAGCTAGTTCTGAACGTTTCTTTTTATTGACATCTCCACTTGACTTTTTGGAATAATTTTTTGTAATGTATGTAAAACTAATAGTATTCAATGCTTTTAGGCTAGTAATTATGTAAAATATACTACTTAACAACTTATATTTAAAGTTTTAAGTAAATTTGTTCTTGTTTTTATGTGAACATACAAGAAGAATTTTTCTAAAAGAGTTGACAAACAAAAAGCAGAAAAAACTGATTGTAAAGAGTGAATGGAGAATAAATACATTTTTTGAGATATATGTAACTCTAAACCGTTGAATGAATGTTTAAACAAAAGAAAGATATTTTTTTCTTTTCCAATTTTCTATACAAAAATTTCTTTAAATTACGACAAGATTCTAAAAGTATTTTTGTTTTTATTATAATAAATTTGTAAAATATAAATATTTTTTTAAAGTTCTTAATAGTAATTATTAAGAGAATAATTAAGAAATAAACTAAAAATGGATAAAGACCCAGGTTGGCAATATCTTCGTCTTGCCCCTGATATACTTTTAAAGGCAATAAAATTAATTATCTTATAAAATAATTATTTTAAATTTTAGGAGCAAAGTCGTCCGTATGATACAAAAAAGAATTGTTGGGTTCCTGGTAATTTTTAAAACCTTGCAAAAATCTTCCTTCCATTAAATTATTAATTTCTCTTAGGCTAATTTTGTTGGATTGCGCCTTTAATTAATTCCAAAATAATCCACTCTATTTTAAAATTTGAAAATATTTTTTAGATCAAGAGGAAGGCTATGTTGCAGCTGAGATCACCTCCACAAAAGGAGATCAAGTTACTGTAAAAATAGCATCTGGGGAAGTATGAAAATAATTTAAATATTTTATTTATTATTAATTTTTATTTAGAAAACGGTCAAAAAAGAATTAATTCAAGAAATGAATCCACCAAAATTTGAGAAAACTGTTAGGAGTTTTTATTTTATTAAAAAGATAATTTTTAAATAAATTAAACAGGAAGATATGTCGAATTTAACTTTTTTGAATGACGCTTCTGTTTTGTATAATTTAAGAGCTCGATATAAAGCCATGCTTATTTATGTTGGTTTTTTAAAGAATTTTTTTCTTGTAATATTTTTAAATCAGCAAGAATTGTTTTGATGTTTTGGTGATTCTGAATTAAGAATTAAGATTTAAAAATATTTTGAGGATTTTTAAGATCAAGTTTTTGAAAATTTCAATAATCTAAAAAAAAATTTCAATATTTACTAGACATATTCTGGCCTCTTCTGTGTTGTCATTAACCCTTACAAACGTCTACCAATATATACAGATTCTGTAGCCAGATTTTACATGGGAAAGCGTCGAACTGAAATGCCTCCACATTTATTTGCTGTTTCCGACGAAGCATATCGAAATATGCTTCAAAATAAAGAAAACCAATCTATGTTAATTACTGGTATTTAATTAGAATAAATTGGAAAAATTAAATATTTATTTTTTAATATTAAATAGGAGAATCTGGTGCTGGAAAAACTGAAAATACAAAAAAAGTACCTAATTAATTTATCTAATAAATAAATTAAATAATTAAAAAGGTAATTGCCTATTTTGCTTCTGTGGGTGCAAGCCAAGCAGAGGCGGCTAAAGATAAACCAAAACAAAAAATGGTTACTTTGGAAGACCAAATTGTTTGTTTTTTCTCGAGGAAAAAATTATTATAATTTCAAAGGTCCAAACAAATCCTGTACTTGAAGCTTTTGGTAATGCAAAAACTGTCAGAAATAATAATTCATCTAGATTCGGAAAATTTATTAGAATACATTTTAATAGAGCTGGAAGAGTTGCTTCTTGTGATATTGAACATTGTTAGTGTAATTATTTATTAAAAATAAGGTTCCAAAATTATTCTTTCTTAATTGTTAACATATTTCTTAAATTAAATTGCGGAATTTGATAAAAAGAATTTAAATATATTTTTTAATTTTTTAATAGATCTTCTGGAAAAATCTCGAGTAATTCGTCAAGCTCCAGGCGAACGTTGTTATCATATTTTTTACCAAATTTGTTCTGGTTTCAAGCCTGATCTAATGAAAAAATTAAAATTAAATAAGCCATTAAAGGAATATTGGTTTGTTGCTCAGGCTGAATTAACAATTGATGGAATTGATGATAAGGTAAGTAATTAAAGAATTCGGATGTTACTTATATAGAGTTTAGAGTGAAGGGGCTCATTAAAAATATTTAAACATGGTGGGCTGAGTTAGTGATTAAGCATATCAGTTATATTTGGAGTCTATATTATTAAGAGATGCACTTATAAAGGGATTTAAGCAAAGTGACCCTTTTACCACCTTTAGGGGCATTTGCCCCCTTTTTATCACTTTTTTGAGTGGCCATGCCCCCTTTTGGGATTTGGAATGGGTCGCCCAGAATTTAAGTAATGATAGATATATTTTAATTGTTTTTTATAATTTAAGGAAGAATTCAAATTAACAGATGAGGCTTTTGATGTATTAAATTTCAGTGAAACAGAGAAAAACGATTGTTATAAAATGATGGGAGGAATAATGCATATGGGTAATTATATAATTAAAAAATTATTATTAATATTGAATAAAAGGAAATATGAAATTTAAACAAAGACCTAGAGAAGAACAGGCGGAACCAGATGAAACGGAAGAGGCAAATTATGCTGCGGAAAATTTTGGTATCGATATGGAGGTATTTAATTATTTAATTTAAATATTTTAATTTATTTTTTAGCAACAATTAACAGCTTTAACTAAACCTCGTGTACGTGTAGGGAGTGAATGGGTTTCTAAAGGTCAAAATCTTGATCAAGTTAATTGGGCAATTGGTGCAATGTCAAAAGCTTTATATGCCCGAGTATTTGAATGGCTAGTCAAAAAATGTAATTTAACATTAGACCAAAAAGGACTTTCAAGAGATTCTTTTATTGGTGTTTTGGATATTGCGGGATTTGAAATTTTTGATGTAAAAATTAATTTATTTAAAAATATATTTTTACTTATTTATATGTAGTTCAATAGTTTTGAACAGCTTTGGATTAATTTTGTTAATGAAAAATTACAACAATTTTTTAATCATCATATGTTCGTATTAGAACAAGAAGAGTATGCACGTGAAGGAATTGCTTGGACATTTATAGATTTTGGATTAGATTTACAAGCATGTATTGAATTAATTGAAAAACCTATGGGTTGGTTAATTGAATATATTTTTAAATTATTATAAAGAAGGGAAGATTCAGCTGGCAAGTATTTGAAACTGATTAAGTTTGAGGTACATATGAGAGAAAACAAGGCCATAACCCGAGTAGCTCTCATTTGTCATTGTAGAGTTATTTACACATGGTGAATGCCTAACAATAACTGCGAGTAATTCCAGAATTTGAACTCAGTTATTACTTTTTTAAAGCTCCAAATCTTATCCCTTTCTCAATCATTTTTATTCCTTAATTCTGTTTAACAATCTTCTTTTTATTTCAGGAATTATTTCAATGTTGGATGAAGAATGTATTGTTCCAAAAGCATCTGACCTTACTTATGCACAAAAATTGGGTGACCAACATTTAGGCAAACATCCCAATTTTGAAAAACCAAAACCACCAAAAGGCAAACAAGGAGAAGCACATTTTGCAATGCGTCACTATGCTGGGACAGGTAATAATTTTATTTTTATCAAATTAAATATATTAAAAATCAAAAAGGAAGGAAAGTTAATCTCTCAACTCTCTTTCTTACTGTGGGGAGGGATAAAGAGTTGGTCTTTTTGACTAGATCAGAAATAATGAAAAGATTCAAAGAAAATTTTCCAAAATTATTAACACAAATTTCTAATTTCCTCAACAACCTTTCAATTATTTTCAGTTCGTTATAATGTAACAAATTGGTTAGAAAAGAATAAAGATCCATTGAATGATACATTAGTTTCTGTAATGAAAAATGCTAAAGGAAATCAACTAATTATTGATATATGGGCAGATTATCAAACACAGGAAGAAGCAGCTGAAGCTAATAAAAAAGGTGGTGGAGGAAAGAAAAAAGGAAAATCTGGATCTTTTATGACTGTTTCAATGCTTTACAGAGAATCTTTGAATAATTTAATGAATATGTTACACAAAACACATCCACATTTTATTCGTTGTATTATTCCTAATGAAAAGAAACAATCTGGAATGATTGATGCTGCTCTTGTTTTAAATCAGTTGACGTGTAAGTAGTAGAAGATGAAATAATAATTTGACTTAATATTTTAAAATTTTTTCGTTTTCAGGTAATGGTGTGCTAGAAGGAATCCGAATTTGTCGAAAAGGCTTTCCAAACAGATTACCTCACAATGACTTTAAAGTTCGCTACGGAATTCTAGCTGCTGCAGAGGCGCGTTCCAGTACTGATCCAAAAGTTTCTAGCGCTAATATTCTTGAAAAGCTAGTTAATGCCAAAAGTCTTGAAGCAGAAAACTTTAAAGTTGGGCACACCAAAGTTTTTTTCAAAGCCGGAGTTTTGGCACATATTGAGGAATTACGTGACAAATGTATGAATGATTTAATGTGTATGTTTCAAAGTGCCTGTAGAGCATACCTTGCCAAGATGGGGGCGGCTAGACGTCGAAAACAATTGGACGCTTATTCGATTGTACAACGAAATATCCGTTCTTGGTGTGTTTTACGTACATGGGAATGGTATTTATTATATGGAAAAGTTAAACCTTTATGTAAAGGAGATAAACATGCAGAAGAATTAGAAAAAATGGAGGCTGATCTAAAAGCATCGGAAGAAATTTTAGCCAAACAAGAAGAACAACGAAAGGCAATAGAGGCAGAACATAATCGTTTGGCAGAAGAACGTCGAAAATTACAAGAACAATTGGAAATAGCTAGAAAAGGAGGAAGTGCTGTAGAATCAGAAATGGGGGCTTTGAATGCACAGAAAACTGAATTGGAACGTCGTTTGGAGGATGCAAAAGATAAACTTAATGAACAACAACAAAAGTCGGAAGATAATCAACGAAGTTTAAAACGAGCAGAAAAAGATAAGGAATCACTTAATGACCAAATAGAAACATTAAATGAAACATTAAATAGAGTAGAAGAAGAAAAACGTAAAACAGAAGAAAGAATTCGTGAAAGACATGAAGCTATTGCCCAACAAGATGAAGCTATTGCTGCTGCAAATAAGGAAAGGAAAAAAGCAGAAGAAGAGAATCGAAGACTTGCAGAAGAATTACATTCAGAATCTGAGAAGGGAGGACAATCAGTTAGATCAAAAGCAAAACTTGAACGTTCAATAGAAGATATTGAAGATACTTTAGATAGAGAGCGTAGACATAGAATAGAACAAGAAAAAAGTAAAAAGAAAGCAGAATCAGAATTACATTTAGTACAGGAACAATTGGAGGAATTTAAAAGACAAAAATCTGAAGCAGAATCAAAACAACAAATTGTTGAACAAAATATCGTGGAATTAAATATAAAATTGGATGAACAAAATACTTTAGTTAGTAAATTACAACGTTATTTGAAAGACCAATCTACACGACTTGTTGAATTAGAAGAAGAATTGGAACAAGAAAGGGTTAATCGTTCAAGAAGTGATAAAAATCGAGGGACAGTTCAAACACATTTAGATGAATTGAGTGATTTAATTGATGAAGAAGCTGGAAAAGCTGCAGCACAGGCAGAATTAGCTAAGAAAAAGGATTTGGAATTAATCAGATTAAGACAAGAATTGGAAGAAATAAATCAACAAAGTGAACAACAATTATCTTTAATTAGAAAAAGAAATAATGATGAAATTAGTGAAGCAACTGAAAGACTTGAAAATTTACAAAATGCTAGAGGAAAAACAGAAAAGGATAAAGAAACGCTTAGAAGACAAATTGAGGATATTCAATCACAACAACAAGATGAACAAAGGCAAAGGAATGAATATGAAAGGCAATCTAAAAATTTAGGTGATTTTTAAATAAACTGAATAAACTATAATGTATCTCTTGGGCTCTTGGGGTATAAATATAATAGGTACCTTGGATTGGAGGTACCCTTTGGCAACTTCTCACAAATTTTAACTACGGGCAGTGCTTTACTACTAAATATTAATCAGAAGCCATTGATAAGAGCCTTACTGGAAAAAATTTGTAGTCTCTTCTTAGGGATGTATATTCTTATAAAATTTGAATATTTAGAATCACAAGTACATGAATTACAAACAAGATATGAAGAGCAACATAGACTTATTCAAGAATTACAAGCAGTTAAACAACGATTACAAACTGAAAGTTCTGATCAAGAACAACAATTAGAGGAAAGCGAAACACATTTAGGGCAAATAGGGAAATTAAAAGCACAAGCATTAGCTCAATTGGAAGAAGCTAAAAGATCATTAGAAGAAGAACATCAAGAAAGAATGGAAGCTAGTGCTCAATTAAAAGGTTTAGAACACGAAATTGAACAAATAAGAGAGGCTATAGACGAAGAAATACATAATAGAGAAGAAACTTTGAAGCATTTAAGTAAAGCTAAAGCTGAAACACAGCAATGGAGAGGAAGATTTGAAGGGGAAGGATTAGTTGCTGCTGATGAATTGGAAGAGGAAAGACGTAGACGTTTAAATCAAAAATTGGATTTGAGTGATCATTTGGGTGAATTAAATTCTAAATTGGCTGCTGTTGAAAAAACTAATGCAAAAGTTGGGGAATTTATTTACTAAAAACATAATTAATTGTTTAAAGTTGTTGACTGATGCAGAAGAAGCTAGGGCAGAAGCAGAACGTGCACAAACACAAATATTCCAATGGCAAAAGAAACAAGAAGCACATGAATATGTTATTAAAGATTGGCGTAGACAATGTGATGAATTAAGTTTGCAAATTGAAAGAACACAAGAAGAATGTAGAAGGAGTGTTTCTGATGTATTAAATAAATACCTAATTAAAAATAAATATTTTTACAAAAGGTTTTTGCTTTACAAAGTGCTTCTACTTCTCTTTCTGATCAGGCAGATGAATTACGCAGAGAAAATAAAACTTTGTCGTTGTCATTAAGAGATCTGCAGGTGTTGATTTTTAATTAATTACTTGACAAAAAATTTTTTTTAATTTCCTTGCAAAGCTAGAGAGAGCAAAATTAATAATTAATTAGAATATTTTGAGTTTTTTGTTATTTAATTTCCATCCTTCTTTAGGATCAATTGTCAAATTGGCATCGAAATATGCACGATATTCAAAAAAAGATAAGACAATTGGAATTAGAAAAAGAAACATTGCAACATGCTTTAGAAGAAGCTGAATCTGCACTTGAATTGGAGGAAGGAAAAGTGCAAAGATTGCAAACAGAAGTGAAAATAATGAATAATAATATTAAATTAAAAAATATTTTTTAAAGGTTTCTCAAATCCGAACTGAAATTGATCGGCGTATTCGTGAGAAGGAAGAAGATTTTGAGGTGTTATTTTAATTAATTAATTCTTTTTTGGGAGAAAGTTTAAGAAAAATAATTTTATTTTGAGCAAATTACTTTATTTTCTCTAAAATTATATGTAGGTTGGAACAATAATTGCCTTCTCTCTCTTAATTATAGCTAAATATAGTAAGTATTCCTTGTAGCGATAGTTCAAAGGCATTAACTCACTTTGAATTTTTATTAGTGTAAATATGGCAATTCCTAAAATTCCATTTTATATCTCAAGATCTTTCATAAAAAGTAGACTCATGTATTTATGTTGAATTTTGATATATTTAGTGATCCCCGATTTTAAAAAACACTCGATACAACAAACTTTTCTTCGGTCTCCATTAATTAAAAATTACCTAATTTAGATTTTACATTTTTAAATATTTATTCTTTATTTCCAAAAAAAAAATTTTAGAATACAATAAAGAATCATCAACGAGCTATAGAATCAATCAGAACTTCATTAGAAAATGAACAACGAGCAAAACAACAATTAATACAATCAAAAAAGAAATTAGAAACTGACATAAATGATTTAGAATTAGCTTTAGATATGGCAAACAAAACAAATGTTGAAGCACAAAAAAATATTAAAAAACAAATTGCTCAAATACAAGAATTGCAATTACAAGTTGAAGAAGAACAAAGAAAACGTGAGGAACAAAGAGAGAATTTCTTAATGAGTGAAAGGTGAAGGGAGGAATTTTTGAAACAAAAATAATAATTTTTATTTAGAAAATTAAATATAATAGCTAGCGAAAGGGATGAATTATTAATTAGGAAAGAAGCTATTGATAGAGAAAAATCTCGTATTGAGGCAGAAGTACAAGAAGAACGTTCACGTAAAGGTGAATATCAGGTTGAAAATGCACAATTAAATGCTGTTAAGAGACAATTAGATAATGATTTACAAATTGTTAAGGTAAAAGGAGAATGATTAAATATTCTTTTAAATATTTTTAATAAAAAAAATAAATCATTGAAAAGGGGTTCTACAAGGAATGGAATTTATTTTACTTTCCATCTATCGCTTTTGAAAATTCGGCAGGGGCCCGTCCCTGTTTTCCAACTAAAGTGAACAACTTCATAGGTGTAAGTTGAGACCGGACCAAGACGAGATCTCGATCGAAAATCTCGGTTATCGAGATCTCTACTACACTCCCAGTCCGGTCTCTAGGTGTAAATATATCGAGAAGGATTTTTTACTTTAGATTTATTATTGTTTTAGTAATTTTTATTTTCCTTTCCATAGTAAAAATTTATTAAAGACTTGATTAATCTAAATATTACTAAAAAATATGTAATCATAAAAATTATTTTTTAATATTTTTAGACAGAATTAGACAAAACATTAAATGAATTAAAAATAGCAGAAGAAGTATTCAAAAAAGTAAATGCTGATTTAACTCGACTTAATGAAGAATTAAAAAACGAGCAGCATCATCACGATCATTTAGAAAGACAAAAAAGATTATTAGATTCTCAATTAAAAGAATTACAACTTCGTCTCGATCAAGCAGAAGCTACAGTCCAACGTGTTGGTCAAAGGACTGTTGATCAATTACAACAATTAATTATTGCTAGAAATAATGAATTGGATAGCGAACAAAAACGTCATAAAGAAATTATTAGACAATTAAATAAAGTACTTTTTTGTATTTATTTATGTGAATATTTGGATTTAAATTTTTTTAGTCAGAACGCGAAGTTCGTGAGAAACAATTTCAAGTTGAGGAACAACGTAAATGTTGCTCTAAAATGCATGAATTAATTGAAAAACTTCAAGCAAAAATTAGAGTTTACAAAAAACAAACAGAAGAGGCTGTAAGCTTTTTGTGAATTTAAAAATAAATTAACAAACAAAAAATTATTTAAAGGAAGAAGTAGCAGCAATGAATTTACAAAAATTCCGACAAATTCAGTCACAATTAGATGAAGCAGAGGAAAGAGCAGATGAAGCAGAAAATTCTTTGTTGCGTGTTCGTTCAAAAATAAGAGTTAACGCAACACCAAATGCTTTAAGTTCAAGTAGATCTTCTGCTCATTTACCTAGAGCTGCTAGTTCTGCTTATATATCTTCTAATAATTTAGGAAAATAATTTTAAAAATTGTAAAGGGAATAATCGAATATAGATTGATTTTTAAATGATTATTATAATTAAATAATTTGTAGTTTTTTTGAATAAATTGATAATTTAGGAAATTAAATTAATAATTAAAATGTAGTTAAATTTTAAGTATTTTACGCTCATTTTCAAAGAGAATAATATTAATATAGTTTTTAAACTCAGACAAAAAAAAGAACTTGGGAACGAGTACCCGAACCTTCCTGAAAATTACACATTATTCACGGTTGTTGATGAAGGGTGACTAGGAAAATTATAGCCTTAGTTTAAACTAATCATTAAAAATTAAGTTCAACTTAAGTTGAATGGCTTATAGAAGTTGCCTCTCTTTAAAATTAAAAGGTAAGAATATTTGTAGTATTGTGATTTATATATTCGATTTATAATTTATAGTACTAAAAAATTTAAAAATAAGGAATATTTGCTTAAGTCAAATTGATGATTTAATCAAGTTTTGCCCTTCTTTCCGTTATTCATTGCGAAGGTGCAAGACTAATAACACCACAAGCCAAACGAGGCCCAGCATTGCCAGTCTTCTTGCTCTCCTCAGTCTTCTCATCCCCGCCATGACCTTAATCATTTTATTTAAATAAATTATGAGCGATATTTCATTAAATTTTTAAGTGAAAGTCCAAGGCCAACAAATAAATTGAAAAAAATTTGGAGAGAAATGTAAAAATGGTTATTTATCATTTGCTGGTCACCTGATATGCTCATTAATTTCTTTCTGCTTTTTTCATTGATTTTTGAACTTATTTTTAATTTAGATGGTTATAAACAAAAAATATTAGACAAAAAATTAAAAATTATTATTAATAAAATTTCAAAAATAATTATAAATAATTTTCTCATTTTTTCCTCAATTTTAAAATTTAATTTCTTAACTCAAAAATGCGTTATTACAAGCCCTCTCATCTCTACATAATATTTTATTATTTTATTTTCTTCACTTTTTATTGTTTTTATTCATCATCTGGTAATTATAAATAAATACTTTAAATTTTACCCTAAAAAATTTCAAGCCTTTAATTGGAAATGTGCTGGCTGTAAAACTGGTGTTGAAGTAATTCGATATCTTTATGAAGTATTTTTAATTTTATTATCTTTTTTTTTATTTTTTAATTTTTGTAGATGAATTACACGAAAACAGAAATTTTAAACACAGCAGAATATGTCTGCAGACATTTTGCTGATCAAAAATCTTTTGTTTGTAGAGGAATTACCTCACAATTTAAAGTTTAATTAATGTCCAAAATCTTTAAATTTTAAAATTTCTAGGACGAATTTCTTTATGTTTTAGAGAAATTGGTTTTTCAGCCAAGCCAGCTCTGTGGATTAATTTTGAATGGATGTGGAAATCCAATTAATCCATTTGACACGAATTGGTAGCCTTTTTAGACCCTAACCCTTTCCCCCTCCCTTCTTTTTTTAGGAATGTATCTCTCCCTCCTTCTCCTCCAACTTTTAAGAATTTTAAATCGTCAACAAATCAAACAAACAAAACAACACCTATTAGGATTTTGCAATTATCAGATATTCATTTTGACCCGGCTTATTTGGAAGGGAGTGAGGCAGATTGTGAGGAACCTGTTTGTTGTATTAAAATGCCGAAGAAAGGAGAACTTGTAAAAAAGAAAGCGGGATATTGGGGGACAGCAGCAAAATGTGATATTCCCCTTCGAACTGTAGAAAATTTGTTAGAACATATTAATCGAACTCATAAAGTAGGGAAATTTTTTATTAAAAAATTTTCTGTTGAAATTACATATTTTTGGAATTTTTAAACGAATAGGGTTTATTAGATACATATTTCATCCTTTATTTTTAGTATTAGATCTGATTTTTGCCTGTTTTTGCTGATACTTTTTAATTATTCCTTTAATAACTCTCACCTCTTTTTATCCCTCGAATAGAAGATTTTGTGTATTCCTAACATATAATTGTGATTAAATTTACAGCTTGATTTTGTACTTCTTTCTGGCGATTACCTTCATCATCGAGATTGGGGTAATTCTTTATCAATTAAACTTATTTTAATTTTGTCTTTAAATAATTTAAGAATTTTTTACTAGAATATACTCGTGAAGGACATCTATCAGCCATTGCCAATTTATCCGCCCTTTTACAACACCATCTACCACAAATTCCAATATTTTGGGCTCTCGGCAATCACGAGGCTGTCCCAGTCAATGCTTTTGGGCCTCACTTTGTACCTGATCAGTTTAGACCAACTTGGATGTATCGAGCTTTACTGGCTGAAGCACATAAAACAGACCAGGGTCTTTTATCAGTTGAAGCTGATGAAGATTTTGTTTAGTTAGTTTTTTCGTTTTCTTTGATAGCCTTTGCCTCCCTCTCTCGACTTACAGTGGCGGAAATTTAGTTAAGAAAAAATATTTTTAATAATATTTCTGAAAATTATTTTTTCAAACATTAATTTGGAATATTCAATTTTATATAATTTTGTAGCCTTATTTATAAGCTATCAAATGAGCACTCATTTATTAAATAAAAGTTAACAAGTAAGCCAGCAAAATTCATTTATCTAAATCGGGTCTAAAATTGCGCGGAAATTTAGTTAAGAAAAAATAACACACTTTTATTTTTCATAGTTCCAACATTGGAAAAAATCCACAAAAATTCCATCAAATATATATAGTGATATAATAATCAAATTTAAAAAATTAGGCCAATATCTCTGCCCAGTGTCAAAATCCGGATACTTCGAAAACGTCTAAATCAACGTAAAACTCGGTAGGTCTCTTTAAAAAATATTTTCGACCCCTTAAAGGTAAAATAGAAAATTGATTTTAGGCTCATTCGAAAGCCCTTGAAATTTACTACAAGATAGCCGAATCGAATTTATCAGAAAAAAATTTCATAGAGAGATACAGACCTGTAACTCTTCAGAAGCAACCGCAAGGGGCATTTTATCGGGTAAATTAAGCGTTTTCGTTGATTTGTATGAGTAACGGTCTGTATCTCTCTATGAAATTTTTTTCTGATAAATTCGATTCGGCTATCTTGTAGTAAATTTCAAGGGCTTTCGAAAGAGCCTAAAATCAATTTTCTATTTTACCTTTAAGGGGTCGAAAATATTTTTTAAAGAGACCTACCTGTGTTTTACGTTAATTTTAGACGTTTCGAGGTGTCCAAATCTTGGCATTGAGATGAGATATCGGCCTAATTTTTTTTATTTGTTTATAATATCACTATATATATTTAATGGAATTTTTGTGGATTTTTCCTAATGTTGGAACTATGAAAAATTCAAGTGAGTTATTTTTTCTTAACTAAATTTCCGCGCAATTTTAGACCCTCTTTAGTTTAATGAATTTTTCCGGCTTAATAGTTAACTTTTATTTAAAAGATGAATGGTCATTAGATAGCCTATAAATAGAGCTACAAAATTATATAAAATTGAATATTCCAAATTAATGTTTGAAAAAATAATTTTTAGAAATATTACTAAAAATATTTTTTCTTAACTAAATTTCCGCCACTGTAACGTTAAAAGTCATTGTAAAAAAGAAATATAGCGGTACTAAATATCACATTGGACCAAAATACTTTTATTTTTTGACATTTGAAGGGAGGGACGACGGAATATACTAATTATAAAAATTTTTATAGCAGAGGTTCTTATGCAGTTGATTATGGCAATCTTCGACTAATTTCATTAAACAATGGGTATTTTATTTTTAAAAAGTAAAATATTTAGTTAATTTAGTTATTGTGACAATACAAATATGTTTATTTATATTAACCAAACAGATCCGGATGGTGCTTTAACTTGGCTAGTTAATCAACTTTGGAATGCCGAGAAAAGTGGAAAGGTATGTTAAAATGTTTTATTAAAATTAAAAGAATGTTTATAATTTTTATTTGCCTGCGAAATTTTTTGAGAGTAATTAATGGATGGATTCTCTCATTCTTAAAATGTTTATTCCTTTTTAGGCAGTCTACATTTTGTCACATATTCCTCCAGGCGATGAAGAGTGTCTTGAAAGTTGGTCACGAAATTATTACAGAATTGTTGTAAGGTTAACTAAAATTTTTAGAAATTTAAATAAAATTGGATTGGGAATTGAATTTCTATTAAAAAATTTTTATTTTCAGATTTGAACAAACAATTAAAGGGCAATTCTTTGGACACACTCATTATGATAGTTTTTCCCTCTTTTTTACTGATATGAACAATAGAGGCACTGCACCCCTCTCTGTATTATTTACTGCCCCAAGTGTTTCAACTTTCGAAGAGCTTAATCCGGCATATAGAATTTATAGTGTAAATCCAACAGATTGGGAAATATTGGATTATGAGGTGTTTTTTGAATATTTCAAAAGAAAATTTTCCTCTTTTTTAGACTTATTTTTTAAATTTATCAAACACAAAAACTTCCAAAGAATCCCCAAAATGGGAATTTCTTTACTCTGCTAAAGATGAGTATAATTTAAAAGATTTGAGTGCTACAGAATGGAATGAATTAATTAAAAGAATTGAAAGAGATCCAGAAATTACTAGAAAATTTAATAAGTAATTTTAAAAGAGAATTCAAAAGAAAATTGTTTTTTTAAGAAATTATGTTCGTCGAGATGATGTATTTTGTGGAAAGAAATGTTTAGAAAAGAGAATTTGTTTAATACGCGCCTCTCATCATAATCAGAAGGAATTGTGTAAAAATGAGAATAAGAATAAAAGGATAAAATTGAAATTAAAGGCAATTTTGAATTTTTTTGATTTTTAAATTTTTTAAAATTAATTTTCTACTTTTTTCTTCCTTCCAAACTGATTTTCGGGGTAAAAAATCAGAAAATACAAATGAGCTCGTTTGAATGAGCTCGTCGAGCTGAGTCGAATGACACCAAAATCAGTTCGATTTGATGGTGCAATCATGTCAGATTTCGTTGATTTCTGTGTAATACAGCTCATCTCGACAAGCTCTTTCGAATGAGCTAATACTTTTATTTTCGAATTTTTTATTCAAAACTCAATTAAATGGTTAATATTTGGTTAATGTTAAATTAAAAATTGGTTAATGTGAAGATATTTAATTAACACAAAATCATAATGCTGAAGTTAAATTACTTTACTTAAAAAATTGTTGTTAAAAACTTTTTAATTCAACATCTTTTAAAATTATACATATTTACCAAAACAAAAAAATATTTAATTTTAATTAATATTTATTTGTTTGGTCCAACATTCGGCTTAATTTATTCATATCCTTAAAAATATTAAATAATTTTTAAGACACTAAATTAACAAACATGTTGTATCATGCATTGTATGGGGGTAAAAAAACAATTTTTTGAAACGCCCCCAATTAATTTTAATTCCTTTAAAATTAATTATTTTTTAAAATTATTTTAAATAAATTACTTGTTTTGATATTCTAATTAAAGAATTTCTGGTAATTGGAATCAGAATTTTGTTATTTTCATTTTGATATGAACGTTGAAATGATCTAATTCGGCGATTTTGTAAAAGTCTTTCCATATTGTAACTAAATTAATTTAAATTTAATTTAAAAATGTTTTTTAATTTCTTAAAATTAAATAATTCCAAAAAATATTTTTTAAACATTTTATGTTTACTACATATTTGTAACAATTTTCGTTTAATTTAATTTTAACAAAAAATTATTTCCTCTGGGGAAATTTAAAAAAATATTTTTTAAATTAAGAAATAATGAATTAAAGAATAAATAAATGTGTTCTGTTTTTTCTTTAAAATATGAAATACTAGGATTAAATTTTTCAATAAATTAGACCGGTAGATAATTCTAAAAAACTAAAATTTTTTCTTAATTGAATCTTTTTGATTTTTAAAATTTTAAATCTTTCCATTTAAGGTTAAAATATTTTTTAAATTTATTTTTTCAATATTTTCTTCAATCTTTACAAGAATATGAAGAATCAAAAAATAATTTCAGAAGAAAAAAGAAAAATAACAAAATTAAACAATTTATTTAATTATAATTATTTATTTAATTAAAATTATTTAAAATTAAACATTAATTAAAAAGTGTGGCGTTATTTATTTAAAATTAAAATTAATTATTTACCAATTAGTTTCTTTAAATAATATCAATAAAATAATAAATAAAATAGTATTTTGTTTTATTTTATTATTTTTAAACAGCAACATAATATTAATTTATTTGTTAGTTATTCTAAAAAAATTAAATTAAAATTATTAAAATTAATAAATATGTAAATTAATTAAAATATTTAATAAGTGCGTGAGAGATATATTTTTTAAATTCGTTTTTGAGTAGAAATAAATTCACAATATTTAATAGATAAGGATAAATTGTTTTAATTAAAATAAATATCCGCCTCTTTTTTTGTATTTTTTGAGAATGAGTGGGTTGAGGTGGAGGGAAATTAAATTTAAATAATTGCGGCAAAAAAGTAAAAATTTTAGAATTTTGTTTAAAATTTTATTTTTGATTCTTATCCAGTTTATGCGTCCCATGAGAATTCATGCGTCAGCTTGTCGAGCCCTTTCGAATGAGCTATTGTTTGTATATTCGAATTTTTTCACCCCAAAAATCTCCCCTTAAATGACCATTTCGAGACCTGTATCTCGGCCCATATATGAGTCCGCGGGCTAATTTTGGTATCATTCGACTCAGCTCGCCGAGCTCATCTATTTATAGATCACGTTACTAAAGTGTAGTTAGGCCGAAATTATTTTTTAATTATTCTTGTAGTATTTTTTATTCGTTTATTGGATTTGTTTTAAGGCTGTACCGGCACCAAACATATCGCAGCGTACCGTGATAACAAGCCTCATAAAAATTGATCAACTAATATTTTTAGGTTGTTTTAAAGACTTGATCAAAACCCTAAGAAATATCTTTATTCAAGACTTAGTAAGATCAAGCATCTTCGACATCTAAAAAAGCTCAAAAGTTGTTGGCGATGGCTATCGTTAAAACGGAAATATAATTGACTGTATGAATCGAAATTTATCTATTATTGGATTTAAGTAAAATTAAGGTAAAGTATCAATCTCAAAAAATTGAGAACAATATTTTGGTGAATTTATTTGCTATATTTAAAACTATTAAATAAAATTGTGTATTAAAGCCTAAATGTTTCATTTCTACAATTGACACTTTTCACTAAATTGCGTTTAAATTATAATTATTCCGGATGGATTAAGAGGAATACCGGGGATAAAGAAAAATATCATGGAAGTAAAATCTTTTAAATATATAAAATTGATAGCTCTACCTGAATAAAAATTGTCACTAATGTTATAAAACAAAAAATTCATAAAAAAATATAAACTAAAAATTTTAACATTTAATTGTCTAATTTAATTGTCTGTTCTCTTTTCAGGTCCTATAATTTCATTATTTGGATTCTAAACCGAAAAATGGATCCTTCTGTACGCACTCAATTGCAAAAGGAAAATTTCACTGTTGAATTGTGTTTATTGGCAATTATGTATTTTGTATATTTTAACCCATGGGATTGCTCAACTTCAACATTTTTTGCTTTCTCGTCCAATTTAAAATTTGATAAGGAAATATAATTTAGGATAATAACAGGAACCATTTTTGAACAGTCTTTGGATGTTTTTATATGCTAAAATTTTAATTCATTTTTGAGTAATTTTTTAAATTAACTTTAACAATAAGATCATAAATACGTGACATTTCAAAACAATTGTTACTTCTTAAACAAAATTGAGGTAATTTATTTCCTTCATTTGTTAAAATATTGAATAGAATATTTATTTGATCCTCTGAAATATTATCTCCGAAAAAAGAAATAAAAGTAGATTTAGAAATTGATAGATGATTTAAAACGAAGTTCAAAGTATTTTCAAATAGTATATTCTTTCTAAAACAAATGTAGGGTCTTTGTACGTGAAATTTTAGTGGCATTAATTTGTAGTTATCAAATAATAAATTAATTAATTCTGGATTAAATAAACATCCAAGAATATTGTAGAAACGTTCAAAAGCACAATCAAAAAGCCTTTCTAACCAACATCGGATAATAATCATTTCTTTTATGTTTTTGGGAAAGTCTGGCAATTTTAACATATAATAACTGAGTTTCTCATTCCTTGTTCTCTCCAAAACAATAAATATATTTCCAGATCTACCAATATCATGCAAAGCTAAAGGAATTAATTTATCTATCGATGTCTGCCACTAAATAAATTTAAATGTAATTTGTGTTTAATATAATTAATTAAACCTTCTCTTCAAGTCGATCATTTAAAGTAAATTTAAAAATTCCGGATTCCACATCAATAATTTTATGTTCTAAATGCTTTAGATCAGTAGGGTCAATGGAACTCTATAAGAATTTAAATTAAAATTAAAAATAGCTATTTACTATTCTAAGTCCATTAAATTTCATTCTCGCCAATCCACTCTCATATTTACTAATAAAATTATGAAAATAAAAATTTGTTTGTTTAACAGAGAATATTTGATCAAAATTAAGACATTTTAAAACATCGAGTTGAACTTCGAGTGGTAGAGATTGCATTTTTAAATAGCTAAAAATAAAAGTTATCTTGATTTTGTACAAGATTTTATTATTTAAACCTAGAAAATTATGAGTTTAAAAAAACTTTGAGAAAAAAATCTGTTTTATTTAAAAGTTTTTATGTATTATTAATGATTTGAAAGTTTAATTTTTAATAAAAATTATTTTTCTTCCTTTATTTATAAGCCTCACTCAGGGTCAAAAATAGGGCAAATGCCCTGTAAATAAGGTAAAAGAGTCACCATGGCCTCACTACATTTTTTAAACTTGAGCTTTTTATGTTATTAGCAGAATAAGGTTAATGGGCACAATTTAAATTTGAAGAAAGGGAATATCTAAAATTAGTTTGAGAGGATTATTTTAATATGCTTGGAAATATGTATGTAGGTAAAACTAAAAAATATTTAAATGATGAGAAATATTTACAGTTGTTTATTAATAACATTAAAATATTTTTTGAACATTCGCAATGCTTTATCCAATAATTTACATGTAGTATACTCTAAACTACCTGTCTAATTTACTAGTACTCACTTTTTGTACATTAATTATTTTTGTAAAATCAAAAATCATTTTTTAAAAATGTCAAAAATAATTTGTTTATTATACTAAAAGATTATTTTATACTTTTTTTAAAATAATTTTTGCTACCTTTATAAAAAAATGTCAATTTTAGTCAAAAAAAAACCTTTTTTACTTTTAGTCATTTCTTCTCCACTCCATTTCCGTCAGAATTTATTTTAATAAAAGCAAAACTTTTACTTTTAAAAAACCTTTTTAACAAAGTTTTTAGCCTTTTATTCATAACTTTTCGGCACTTTATATTTTTAAATTATATTGTTAAAATAAATTGAATAAATAAATATTATATAATGTTACTTTATTTTATAAAAACTTCAAATTATTATTTAACATTTATATTTATTTTAAATTTATTTAATAAATAAATTTTTTTCAAAATTTAATAAAAATAATATATAATTGGATAAAACTATTTAGAAAAAATAGATTTAGGAATAACTTGGATTTTAGCTTCTTGTTAATTTTAACATTAATATTTTAGTTCCACAATTTAATATCAAATTTAATATCACAACGGGGAGGGAAATGAATCTTTGCAAGAAAATTTCGAGTAATCTTCAGGTGCTCTAGAAATTAAAAATTCACCTTTCCATCGTTGGGTAAAATGTATAGGGGGAATTCGGGGGAACCATGAGAAAAAGGGGACGGTTACCTTTTTGATAAAAAAATTTTTAAAATTATGAGCTTTTTCTGTTTTAATTATTTAAATAAATTTCAGAATATGTAAATGTAAAATATATATTTTATAAAGGCGGAAATAAGAAGTTTAAAAGGAAACTTTCTTTCTAAGTTAATTTTTTTTATTTTTTAAAATCTACGCAATCATTTAAATTTCAAAAATTCATTTTTAGCAAATGATGTACATAAATAAATACATTCAATTCCATGCCGACAATACGTAATTTGCATTAACGTAAAAACAACTGACGTTTTCCTTTAATTTTTCCTTTCTCCCTTTTTTTAGTCTGTCGGTCGGTGTGTTAACTTTTCATCTTCTTCCTTTAAAATATTCTTCCTTTCAAAGCTTTAAAAAATCATTTTTCCTATTTTTGGGAATATTTCCTTTTTTATATTTCCCAAAATTTCTTTTGAGGTTTTGTCCTTATTTGTTTATTTATTTATTTTAAAACTACATACAACGTAACAAAACAAAAAACAGCTGTCCAAACATTGGGAATATTTATAAATGTTTAAAAATAATAATTTTAAAATTTATGAAGCTACACTTTTTTGTTAATTAATCTGTAAAATTAAAGTTACTAATCTGTAACATGGATTTATTTAAATTATTAAAATAACTTATATGTAGTATTCTAACTATTTAGAAATATAAAAATTTTAAATCTCTGAAAAGTTGATTTTAAATATTTGATAAATTATTAGACTTTATAATATTTACAAATTCTTGTAAATATTTTAGTGTAGTACGAATTTTGATGATTTATCAAACACTCACTGACTTTGTCTCAATTTAGGTAGCTAATTTTAATTTTTAAATTTTTCAATTGGGTAATTTAAAATTAAATAGACAACCTTTAAATTTTATTAATTTATTTACCCAAAACATTTAATGCCACTTTTAACATCATTCTCACACATCAATTCCCCCCCCCCTTTCCTCTTTAAAAATCCCCTCGAAAAAAAGTTTATTTCCTATCAATTCCCTATATTTAGATATTTACTTTTTCCTCGTTATTTCCTCCCCCGCCACATTTTTGGCAACTACCTAACCAAAATAGCCACTTTTGGGAGCGGAAATTACGTTTTAAGCATTTAAAAACTTTTTTATTTTTTTGTCACTTTGCTTTATTTTTATATAAAAATCGCCCTTTTCCAATTTAGTACAATAATAAAAAAAATTTTTTTTATTATTTTTTTATTTTGATTATTTAAATGGGTTGTTTTTCTAGATAATTATTCAGTTAAAAATACTTTTCTAAAAAATTTTGGAATTATAATTATTTTAGCTTCATTTACTAAATTAAATTAAAATTAAACTTTTAAATAATCAAAAATTAAATTCCTTTTTTAGGGTTGTTCCCCGTCTACGAAAGTCGGGGAATTTGAGACGTTTTTCGATAATTCGCCGTCACCTCCCACGTGGCGCTACTTCCACGAAAATTGTTCCCCGAAGCCCCCATCTCCTCCCGTCGGGGAACAACCCTATTTAATATACCTACATATTCTTTTCTCTTTAAATAAAAATATTAATTAATTAATCACAATCCTTCTCTAAAATTTACATAATTTTATTTCCACCTCTCTCCCTTCTTAATATTTTCTAGGAATATTTATTTCTTTATTTTTTGTCTACTTCCAAGTCAGGAGAAATTATTTTAAAATAATCTAATGATTTATTCATTTAATTTTTTATTTTTAAACATTTCCTTGAAAAAGGAGCAAAAAAAGAAAAAAAAGTTTAAATATTCATTGGAGCAAAATAAATTGTTTTTGGCACTTTAATTTATCTAAAAATTTATCTAAAAATAATTAATTGGACAATAACCATAAAATTTAGACTTTTTTGTTGAAAAAAAAAGAAAAGCTAAAATAAATTAATTTTTATTTTATTTCCTTTTTTTATTTGGGTAACAGCAATTTAACATAAAACTTTAATTATTTTTAAATAGCAATTTATTTTATAACATTTTACTGTTTATCAGAATAGTTTTGGCATTTTTGGAAGTATTTTTAAATTTTATTTTAATTGATATTATTTAATTGATAAAAAAATAAAATATAGTATATAATTTATTTTATAAATTTATTTGGACTAATAAATAAGATATACATAAATATAGCGAGGTGTTTTCTCTAAGCAAAAACGGGGTTCACTTTTAGATATCTTTGGGGCGAAAAAGGATAATCTTAAAAGGATGATTACTTAATTTTGAGATATCGGTTAGCTCCCTCAAACAATTACAGTCAAATTAAAAAAATATTTTAAATTGGGTATCTCTAATTTTGGTGTTGATTGTAAGTTTGATTGTATAGTGGAACTGAGAGATTTTTACTTATTCCATTTTATTTTTTCACAACATTAAATTCCATTTAATATTAAATTCGCCCATTAATTTCTAAAAGTATGCTTTAAGTAAAATTATCCATTTTTGCTTTAAAATGTATTTTCTCCAAAAATTTTCCTTCAAAAAATATTTTTAACTTTTTTACAATTCAATAAACAATTTTTTAACCTTCACGTCATTAAATTAATTCTCAAAAAATTTAAATTTATTTATTTTTACAATTTCTTAACATTTTATTTTTTAATTTAAATTCTGTCAAAAAGTTTTTCTTTTAATCAAAAATAAATGTCAAAAATAAATTTTAAATATATTTTACATTTAAACGTGTTAAGTTCACGCTATCAAAATTAATTGGAGAGAGGGAGTAAAAGTAATGACAGTTTTTTTATTTATGGAGAAGCTAATTTAAAGTTTTTTTTTTTGAAATTAATTTTTAGGAAATTGTTTTTCTTATAATATGTACATTTTACTTTTTTTAGTAGAAATACTTTTTTCTTAAATAATTTCAAAAAATATTTTCTGTAAGATATAAACTTGCTTATATTTTCCCAAAGCTAAGCATTTGGAAGTTTACTAACCTAAGGATTACTATTAATATTAGGGTTGCTCACGACCGGTTATTAACCGATACCTCCGGTTTTAAGTTTTAGACAAATACGGGTTTTATTTTGGGGGAATTTTTAATAAAATAACACATTTTCAGAAGTTTTCGGTTTTTTAAATTTTGTAAAAACGGTTAATTTTTGGCAAAAAATATCAAAATTAATATTTAAAAACTTAATTTATTTAAATAATTTATAAACTAAAGTTTGTATTTTTTAAATAAATTTTTGATTAAAATTCTGTCATTGTTTTATCTTGAGTAAAATGTAACAAGCTGATTTGAGAATTTGATGGCACCAATTTTTTAAATTTATTTTTCTATCGAGAAATATTTTTATTTTTAATCTTCCTAATTTATTTATTTTAGGTTATACTTATTTTTAAATAATTTTATTTTTAATTTTTACATCAAAAAATGGACACAAAAATAATAAAAATTAAACAACACCAAGAAAAATCAGAAAAATTAGAAAAACTTTTTCACCAAAAAAGAAAATTAACAAAATATTCTTCAATTAATTCTTTAAATTTAAAATTGTTTTTAATGTGCTTTTTTGTTTGTTTTGACAATAATAACTGTTTTTTGTTTAAAAAAGCAGAAGCAATGCCTCTTTTACATTTATTAAGAATGTATAGAAGCAGCAATAATAATAATCAAAATGGTTAATAATAATTTTATTTTTAAAATTTTATTTAAAAAAATTAAAAATTTGAAAAAAGGGGAGAGGGAATTTCCGAAAATAATTCAAAATTTAATTTAGAACAAATAACCACTTAAACTATCATAAAGTTTTAATCTTCCTGTAAAACTTTTCCACACGCTTTTAAGATTTGATAGACTACTAGGTGGGTGGGGGAGGGGTTGATTAAGCGATATTCCCTATTTAATTCCACACTAATAAAACTTTTAACCCCTAAAATTCTATTTTTCCTATCTAAGTCCAAACTTTAATTAAAAAATAATTTTTTTTTGCTTTTTATTTTAAATTATATTTTTTAGTAAATCCAAATGGATTGCTATTTACAAATACAAATTACTTTTACCATCCAAATCAAAATAATCAACGACTTAATTATTTTGGCAATACTCTTTTAAGAATGAAAAGTAATAATGTAAAATATGACGAAATGAAGAAAAGAAGTAATAATAATATTGTAAGTTTTCTTTAAATTAAAGGAAATTTAATTATTTAAAAATCAATTGAGAATCTGTAAATATATTGAAGATTTGGATAAGTTAGTCCTGTTTCTTATTTTTAAGTTGCCTAAAGTTTGTCCAATTCAAAAATATATTTATCAATTAGTCCTAAAAAAGTTTGCTTTTCGGGGCTGTTCTTGGTTTCCTGTTAAATATTTTCTTGCCATTATCAAATTCAGACTTTATCGCTTCTCAAATTAAAAATATTTTTTTCTATTTTTATTAAAAATTCTTATTGTATGTACTAACAAAAAAAACTTATTTACACTGAAAGTACATTATATATTAAAAATTTAAAAATATACGCACAAATATAGATATATTTGCATAAATATCGAAAACAACAAAAATATAATTATTTATGTAAATTAAAATAAAACAAATCTTTTTCTAGTTTAATAACCAAGCATTGGACGATGACAATGATGCTATTGTGGCTGGACTTCTTCGTCAAGAAAGGAATGAAATGAATGCAGGAGCACCAAAGATGTATGCCCAAAATATTGGGGAACTTGGAAGTACGATGTTTCGATTTGGATAATTTAAAATATGAATTTCCTTCAACAAAAGAATATTTAGAAAGTCAAACACAAATGGAAAAATTGTCAATGAACAAGAACATTAATTTTGATTTTATTAATTTTTATTGGTTGTTGGTAATATTTTCTCGTCGATCTCTTGTCTTTATTTTGTGTACCTCCCAGATATAATACTAATAAATATGCTTAATGTTTTGTGGTTAAAATAGAGTTATAAAAATGATTTGTTTTTACTAAAACTGAACTAGATTTAAGCAAAATTCTTTTGATCAATTCTCATATCTTATGAGGTTAAAGCTTCGTATTTGGAATTAATTTTAAAATAAATCTGTGCATATAGAACTAGAATTTCCTGAAAATCAAAAATATTTATACTTGTTTTTACTTTACTTTTTAAAATGTAAATAAAGTCTCAAAATAGAAATACAATGTAAATTTGAGAAATAAATAATAAACATGTAAAAAACAATTTGTAGGTTATGTAAAGTGATAAAATACCCCAAAACAATATGGGGATAAAAATAAAAGGATTGACAAATGCATATACCCATAACAAGATATAACTGAAGATTTATAGAATAAAATATTTTTAGACTCACTAGTATGCAGTGATGTAAAAGTTCCAAAATTTCTCTGGAACTAGTTACAGTTCCAGAACTACGTTTTTAATTTTTGTAATTCCAGTTCCAGTTCCGGAACTCCATTTTTGAAATTCTTTAGTTCCAGTTCTGGAACTAGTTCCAAGCTAGTTCTAGTTCCTAATTTTTTAATTTTTTTGAATATGAAAAGATTTATCAAGTTTAACAAATAAAGGCATAATTTTATTTAAGTTTTCTCTTTTAAATAAACGAAAAATTTAATTAAAATAAAAACTATCAAAACATACATAAGAAAACTGTTATGGACTTAAATAAAATTAAATATTTTTTTGCTTCCCTTCATTAAGAATTAGGATTTCCGGTTATAAATGTGTGTTTAACGGACACATTTTTATATTTAAGTAATAATTTAAAACAATATTTAAACCAAAATTTTCACATTAACCCACATTTATAGAAACTTTATTTTTTAATTATCTCGTGAGTATTATATAATAAATCACGGTCAAATTTTAGAACAGTGAAATTATTTAAATTTAAAATTCTAACGAGAGGGAGTATTAAATTTTTAGTAAGATTTTTCCTCTTTTAATCATGAAATTAATTGGCCCAATATTACTGTTTCATATAATGTATTTATTCTTGTTAAAATAAATTTCGTGAAAACTCTTGCGTGTGTAAAGTATTTTTTAAGTTAAATTTGAGTTAAACTGAAACCTTTTTCAAGAATTGAAAATTTTTTTAATAAATTTAAATTTAACTAACACGCCAACTATAAATAAAAATATAGTAATTATCTAAAATGTTAGGAATTGAGGAACTAAAAAAATTAAAACAATTTTTTGTATGTTAGAATTTTCAAAAAAATTAAGATTTTTTTATAATACATAATTTAAAAAGTAAAGAAATGTTGCGTGTTAAAAGGATTTTTTAATTTTCAAAATCTAGGAAGTAAAAAAATTTTGTCTGTATTCGTGTAATAATTTTATAAATTCAAAATTTAAACACGCAATATACCTACAACCTTTTATTAAAGAAATTTATATAAAATGAAATATTTTTAAGCAGTTTTACTAACATTTTTCCCAAAAATGAGCCAACAAAATTATTCAACAGCTTTGGAAAATTATCGCCAAACTGGAGATATTTGTGCTTATTTAAATATAACAAAAACAACTAAAAGTGATGTAGAGAATTTAGCTGATAAATTAAATGCTTTAGATATTTATCAGGGAACAAATAAAAGTTTTTTAACAATTTATTTGCCAACAATTGCACATCAATTAATTGTTGGAGAATGTTCTTATAATTTTAGATCTAAACAGATGAAAGTACTAAAAATATTTTTTTAACTAAAATTTAAATTTAAAAAATTAATTAAAGAGTTTTTACCCTTTTCTCGAAGGTTCAAACCCTGAAAACTTGATAACATGTTAAAAGAGCCTTTGAAATGCCAGGTCATGCCCGTGACTTGGTTCGAACTTTTGTTCCTTTGAGATCCAAAATGATGGGGGCAGTGTTTTTAATGTAGTCCCAGTGTGCACTTAAAGAGTTGAAACAGCCCTTATGGACAAGCAATTTATCCTTTCCTTGTTTCTCTAAATTTTATTTAAACAGATCAACTTTTATAGAATTAAATAAAAATTAAAAAATTCTTTAGACACAAGCTTATTACAACAGTACACTTATTTATTATGATGAATTAGGTTATATTAAACCAATGATTCCTTGGATGGTTATTCCAGGAATATTTACAATTATTTCTATAATTTTAAATATTTGTTTAATTTATGTTTCAATTCGAAAAATGTAAATTTTTTTAAAAGATTTCAAAAAAAAATTCAAAATTATATTTTAAAGTCCAATGGTTAGAATCTGCAATTTATTAATTGTTTTCGACGCTTTTTGTCTAATTTTAGCTGATTCTCCCTGCGCTTTAAATTTTGTAGCTTTAATTTTAAATTTTGTGACAATTGACTGGCGTGTTTGTTTTTATTTTCATTTAATTTCAACAATTGGTTTTTATTCCTCTTTTTTGGCTATTTATTTTATTTCTTTGGAAAGAGTTTTAATTATATTTTTTCCAACAAAGTTTGTAGTTTTTAATTAAATTATGAAAGATAAACTTTAAAATAAAATTAAATTTTTTTTAAATTTTAAAGACATTAAAAGTACATGCATTCTTAGGCCTAAAAATAAATTAAATCGGAGTATTTCCATAATTTATGGGTACTGTATTTGCTCGAATAATTACCCTGGGTAATTATTGTTTTGACCTCACGCTGAAGGGGGTAATTATTCGAGAGGAGGTGCTAAATTTGGGTATATCTCAATAAATCGAGTAGGAAATTCATTAATTTTGTGATATTGATTAATAAACCGTAACAATGATTAAAATTGACAAGGATTTAAGATTTGTGTAAGAAAATGAGGGGGTAATTATTAAAAAGGGTAATTATTTGAGAGAGGGTAATTATTCGAGCATATACGGTATTTCCCCTCATCCAGAAAGTAAATCAAATTTAATAAATGTACTTAAATTGAGTATATTTTTGTGAATTTTATCAATGAGATTCGACTAGTTTATTTGAAAATTAATTTAATAATTAATTTTAAATTTAATAATATCAAAACTTAATTTTAATAAATTAAAGAATGCACACAATCCATACTTCTACAATTCACCGTATTTCCTTTTTAATTTTTATTGTTTGTATTCTGTTTGGTATGATAATGGTATTAATTGAATTTAATGTTTGGACTATACTTAATCTTCCATTTTATAAGTAAAATAATTAAATTTTTATTTCAAAACAAATATTTTGTTCTAGATTATTTTATTGTAATCCTGGTTTATATTCTGATATTTTAAATTCAATTCCCTCATATTTTATTTTGTCTGCTTCTTCTTTAAATTATTTTTTAATTTATTTTTCAATTTATTGGCGGTATTTAAAATCGAAAGTAAAAAATAATAAAATAAATAATCAACAAACAAATATTCAAAATTCTCCCCCTTCAATTCCCGATCCAAATCTTCGAATTCTTCGTTCAGTTTTTATAATTTCTTTTATAATTATTTTTGGTTGGATATTTGGGGCTGCTGCAAGAAATGTTGTGACAAATTTATGTACAAACATGGCTACAGCTATTTCTAATATTTTTAAAGACAAAAAAGGCAATCCATCACAAACAATTTCTGATATTATAAACACATATTCGATAACTTTAGTTACTTGTATTAATCCAATTTCTGCGGGAATTAACTCGATAATTCTTTTTACTTCAAAGTAAAATTTATTTTAAAAATATATATTTAAGAAATATTTTATTAAAGTTCTGAATACAGAAATGCTTTCAAAAAAGCTTTTGGTATTAAACAACAAACAAATACAGTTGCTATTGGACCGTATTTTTCAAATCAAAGAACTTGAAGAAAAACAATTTTAAAAGAAATTTAATCTGAAATATTTAATTTTAATATTCAAATATTTTTATTTTCATTTTATTTTTTCCTGTAAAAGCTGTAGATAAAAATACTTTTTAATACTTGTTTAAAATTTGCCTACTAAGTGGGTGGGGGAGGTGTTGCCTAAACGATATACCCTGTTTAATATATACAATAGGGGTGGACAAAACCGTTTAACTAAACGGTATACGTTAAACGGGTTTCTAAATTTAAGCAAAAATTTCTTTTATCAGTTCTCATATCTTATGAGGTATTTGGAATTAATTTTTAAATTAATTTGTGATCTAAATTTCCTAAAAAACAAAAATATTTAGACTTGTTTTTACTTTTATTTTTAAAATGTACTAAATAAAGTCTCAAAATAGAAATACAATGTAAATTTGAGAAATAAATAATAAACATGTAAAAAACAATTTGTAGGTTATGTAAAGTGATAAAATATCCCAAAACAAATATGGGATAAAAATAAAAGGATTAACAAATGCATATACCCATAACAAAATATAACTGAAGATTTATAGAATAAAATATTTTTAGACTCACTAGTATGTATTTCTAACAATTTTTAAAGAATTTATAATAAATACAATTCCTTTCATTAAATAAAGTTGTTAGTAGGAGTCTATTGTTAGTATTTCGAGAATCACTCAACGAAAAACAGACGGATTTTGAATAAATTAATAAATTAGTATTCTAAATAAATATTCTATGACGAGGTTTAACTTTAAAATTTTCATTTCCATCAATTCAATGATGGAGATGTGTTTGAACTTGTTACACTACCAGATACAAATCTCCGCATACGAGCACTGCCAAAACCTCCTTCACAAATCACCGACCCCATAGTAATTGTCTCAATATTCTCATCTTAATAAATTTAAAATATATCAACTTTAGTCAAATCTTCTATACTTGACATTTGTTGCCGGTCCTCTTTTACAAGTTCAGCAAACATATCAACTTTTGATGGATTTTTTGTCAGATTTAGTGAATTAGTTGATGTATTTATGTTATCTATGTTGTCAGAAGATTTGTTATTTACACGGCAGAAGAGTTTACCAGTAACAGAAATGGGCGGTGGACGTGTTTTTGGAGCACTAGTTTTCCTTTGTTGATCCAATGGGGGTGAGTAAGCAATAAGAGGCTTAAATTTTAAAAATCAAAAATTTATTTAAATTATCGTTAAACACTAAACTATGGATATAATAAAGCGGGAACTATTAAAAGGGAAGAAAACTTTCATTAGCCACAAAATCTATACTAATATATTTATAAATTTTAAAGACTAACCGAATTATCAAGTTGTGATAAACCAGCGGCCACTTTACGACCAATACTAATACTTGCGTCACTATCGCATTCTTCAGATTCTGTGTAAATTAGTCCATCAAGTTTGTCCGTCCAAGGCTGGCTGTTTGATCTTTGTGGTGGCGCAATTACAGGAGGAGGAATGGACGGAATTATATGAGGAATAGGCGGTGGAATGTGATGAATAAGGGAAGGAATCCGTGGAAATCGTCTATCATGTTCGACAAAACTAGAAGGGTAACACATTGAACAGAGCTTAGGCCACCAAGGGCCGTCAGGAGAAGCTTTATAGTTATGCCATTTCTCAATATTGTCATGCCATACAGAAATGAATTTGTCTTTTGTATTAAACTAAAGTTTATGAAATGTTATTAACATTTATTTTTAGTTTTACCTGTGCCAAAATTCCATTTTTTATTCGAGTCTCTACAGGATTCCCAATTGCAGCAAGCGAACAAATACTAATTTTCTGTCCCAACGCGAGATTACTAGTGCAGTGTCTATGTTCCAGTTTATACCATTTACCAATCTCTGGACTTCCACTAATTCTAAAATTAAAAATATATTTCAAAATTAAAAAAGGTTAATAAACTTGTTTGGCGGATCTGAATAAACTCGATGAGAGAATTTTCCTTGCTCCTTGTCAAAAAATAAAAAGACTGAATCTCCATTTTGTCTAACAGCCATCAGAACAGCCATAACCATTTCTGATGGACCTTGCTTGTATACAGAAGCGCTATAACCAACAATCTGTCTCTGTTGTGGCTTTACTGATATTTGATTATCCTGTTTTTTATCCTGTTCTTTTGTATCATTCATGATAATTACTGGAGAAGAAGACTGCGTAGATACATCACAATCATTATTCTTAAGATCTTTTTTATTATTTAAAAAATACTTCAAATCATCGAAAGAAAAAACAAAAGAATCGCGCATTCTCCTTGCAAATTCCTCCAATTCGCTCGGTTTAGATTTATCCTTTTGAAATTGTAAAATATAATGAATAAATTTTTCCCCTGCCGAAACTCTAATTCCTTCGCCATTAATATTATTTTCTGTCATACTTCCATTAGTTTTTGTATCTACCACATCAGATAAACCCGGGAAACATTTTCGACATAACCATGGCCACCAACCCATATCCTCGTAATAACAATTCTTTTCCAAGCAGGGGAAGACAGTATGCCAAACATTTAGGAAACGATCCTGCTTTGTAGAGAACTAACAAAAAAATAAAACTAAAAATTTTATAGCTGAATAAAAAAACCTGAGCACAAAGTCCATCTCTAACACGAGTAGTAACAAATTTATCTACTTTGGAATAAGCCAGTATAATAATTTGTGTTTTGTTTTGCGGAATATCCATATACTCCAACTCAAACCATTCTCCAAAATTAAATTCGAAAGAAAGGCTAAAATTGTATTAACAAATTTTAAAAAACATTAAAAACCTTTTATGGAATTTAGCGTAAGATCTTTGGGTAAATTGACCCGTCTTTGGATTATAGAAAAGAAAAACAGCATCAAATAGAACAGCTCGAACAGTCATCAAAACAGCAACAGTTTTCTTTCTTTCATTTGAAGGTAAATGGAGCAAACTAAATTTCGAAAAATGACATTAAGTAAAAAATATAAATTACTATGTAGAAGGCGAATATGAATCATCTCGATTATCAGAGACATAACCATTTGATTCATACCTTACCAGATCGTTGCTGTTAGACTTAAATTTTGAAAAATGAACACAATACAAAAATAAGACGTAAGGAAATACAATAGTTCAAAAGAAAAGTAGGCAAAATATATGCTCGAAAAGCATGACTTATTTAATTCAAATACTAATCTAAAGGGGTGAGATATAAAAAGAATTGCCCCTTGAAAATAATCAGCTGAAATCCAAGTTAAAAGCTATTGTTTAGACTTTAGGAACTTAACAATGCAGGTAGGCTCCGCTAGCTAGTACTGAATTTGAGCTACAAAAAGTAAAGTACCCATAACCAACATACATAACTGTGTAACTCGACTTACTTTGTTTTCCTTAACAATATCTACAACAGTCCATGCAACCGACCATTTAGCTAAATGCCAAGTAGGCCTAATTTGCAGTTTCAATGGCATTTTATCATCCTTAAATTGAAATAATGATAAGTCTACCTAATATTAAAACAAAACCTTTTTAGGATCAAATTTTTCTTTGATAATTAGAAAAGGATCCATAAGAATACCCAACCACGAAAGAACATAATGTGAAGTTGTAGATTTACTAGAAGTAAAATCGACATTCCTTAATGTCAATTCAAACTATAAATATAAAATAAAAAAAATAATATACTAAAAAATACCAAATCGCTTCTAACTTTTCTTAATTGCAATCGTTTGTCAGAAGAAACATTAACTATTTGTGGGCAATCAATAGCAATAGTAACAGGACAATCATAACAATTAAGCTTACTTAAAATATTAATAAAAAATATTTTAATTAAATTAAAATTCACAATTTCCAATATACTCTACATTCCCCAAATAAAGCTTTTCGCCTTTCAGGCACAATAGAAACAACCATTTCTGCACTCTTATTAAGCAACATACAACAATAAAAACTTTTTACATCCCAAGGGCATGCAACTTGTTCTACCACAATTCCCTCATCACGCAAAGGTGAGCAGAAAATAGATACAAACGGGTACTGAAAAAAATTAAAATCTTTCGCTTTAAAGAACATATTCAGACAAACTTCTTCATAATTCCAGGGTTTAATTATCCCAACATTTTGAGGTGTCCATTCAGGAAGCACTCCAACTGCATAAGATCTTGAAAAAAAAGGAGAATTATTAAAAAATGGATATTAATTAATTACAAATTAATCTTAAGAGAATATAGTTGATCCGAATAAGAACAAAAACCATACGACCATTTAACAGGCGAAATGAACTAAAATAAATATATTTAATCACTTTGAATAAAACCTCGTTTACATCCGTTCCAAAAAATGGGCAAATTGGAATACCAAGAGAATTTGGGTTCTTCAATGAAGGTGTATGCCCAAACACATCCATTCCTGACAAGTCTGGAACGAAAAATACTGGCAAAACTAACTTAAATTAAAAGATAAAAAGGTAAAAATACAATTTAAAAAACCTCTATTGTTGTCTTTCCAGAACCATTTTTTTCAATTTGACGAATCAAATTAGTGGGCACAAAATTGGCAACATTCTTATAGGATCTTGTTTGCCCATTTTCCTCCTTATACCACTTTCCAATTATAAATTCATCCTCAGATTTACACCGTCTAGTCAAAACACACATAGGATCATCCAAACGTATTAGGTGAGCATAACTAACTTTATTATCTGTAAACCCAACACCCAGACAAAGCACCAAATCGTTCATTCAGATAGATATCTACAAATAATAAAATAAAACCAGCATTAGCTTTAATGCATTTGTTCTTAACTGAAAGAAAAATAATACAAAATCATTTTTAAAATCTAAACAAAGAAAGGCATTCAAAAATTGAAAAATCAATTAAATATAAAAAAATCGACTAAAATGTATGAATAACTCACAAAAAGACGAGAAAAAGCCACTAAAATCAAATTAAGCCTGACTATGACAAGTTGTCAAATTTAACCCTTAATGGCGAATTGTCCAATTGACAATTATCCAATTTTACCCCTATTGGCAAAGTGTACAATGATAATCGAGAATTTTCATGAAATTTCTTTACTTTTCTGCTTGTTTTAGGACGTTAATTTCAATACTTTTGTTGCGATTTTATGACTATTTCTTTAAAAAAATTTTTTATAATATTATTTCTTTAATTTTTATAAAGAATCAATTTTTAATTTTGTTATTTGGTTTTGTAATTTTATTATGGCTGGAATTGACTTTGGCAATATGAATTGTTATCTGGCTGCGGCCAGAAATAAGGGAATTGGTTATTTAAAAAGAAATTTTCTTTATAAATTATTATATTTAGAAGTGTTGATGAATGACTATTCCCTTCATGCTACCCCGTAAGTTTTATAAATATAAGATAATTTTTAAACTATTTTTCTATTAATCATTCTCCCGTTATTCTTAACAAAACGTCTATTTAAAAAAACCTTGAGAAGCAGTTTTTTATTTTCCTCAGGTCATGTATTTTGTTTGGGCAGACATCGCGTTTAATGGGCTTTGGTGCACGCCAACAGTTAAACATGCACTACAAGAACACAGTCTTATACTTCAAACAATTATTGGGAAAGCAGTACTCTGAGGAATTTATTCGTTTATTTGGCTCTTCAATTCCCTGCGATGTGAGCTTCTTTATTAGATAAAACCTAAAAATTTGCAAAAATTTAACTCATTTTAGATTGTTCAACTCAAAAATGGGGACATCGGCCTAAAGGTTTGGTTAAATCTTTGATCGAGAAGCCCCTCCATAATGTCATTGATTTTGTTTCATTGGATTTTTAACCCATTGTTATATTTTATTATGATTTGACATACATCCTCATCTCTTTCTTTCGACCAAATTTTAATTTAGGTGATGTATTTAAATGAAGAGAGGATTTTTACACCTGAACAGGTTCTTGCATGTCTTTTTACACATCTTCGACTACTTTTGAGTAAATCTTTGGGAGCTGATATTAACGAGTGTGTTATGAGTGTATGTTTTTAAATTTCATTATTCTAAATATACATAATGTTTTTTCAGGTTCCTTTTTATTTTGATGAGAAACAGCGTTTGGCTGTTATCGCTGCAGGTCAATAATATATCAATTTTTCTTTAAATATTTTTAGGGAAAATTGCTTCGTTGAAAATTCGTTTAATAAATGAGCATGCTGCTTTGGCCTATAATTATGGGATTTATAAGGGAATGAATTTGCCAAAATCGGAAGAACCACCAAAGATTGTTGCTTTTGTTGACTGTGGGCATTCTTGTGTACAAACATCCTTGATTGCCCTCATTGCTGGAAATGCTAAAGTTTTTTATTTTCTGTGTTTTTCTATTTTTTTTATTCAGGTACTCAGTGCTGCTCACACTTTGGAAGTTGGAGGACATTATTTTGACTTACTCTTACGTGATTATTTTGTTGTACAATTCAAGGAGAAATACAATATTGATGTAACTAAAAATCCGAGGGCTATGTTCCGTTTATTGGATGAATGTGAAAAGGTTTGCAAATCAATATTTGCTAATTATTTTTTGTTTTTAGCTTAAAAAGCAAATGTCAGCAAATAGTCAAAATATTCCGTTTCATATTGAATGTTTCATGAATGATGTTGATGTTAGTGGAAGCATGCAAAGGTTAGCATTTATTTAATTAATTTTTTATTTTATAATTTATATAACCTTGTTAACATTCAAAAATCTTTTAGAACGCAATTTGAAGAAATGGCTCACCATCTTTTTGAGAAAATAAATCTGATGCTTCATACGTTATTTGAGCGTGCACAGATAAATGTGGAGGACGTTTCGGATGTTGAAATTATCGGTGGATCTTCTCGAATTCCTCGAATTAAGCAAATTATTGGAGGTTTGACTTCTATCCAACTTCACTTTTACATATAATCTTTTAAGAATTTTTCAAAAAGGAGCCGAGAACTACAATGAATCAAGATGATGCAATTGCAAGAGGATGTGCTCTTCGTTCTGCTATGTTTTACCCCGCCTACCAAATGAAAGAATTTGCCTTAGAAGATCCTTTTGATTTAGTTTTGGAAACTAGTAAATTGCCTACTGAAAAGTCTGTTGCGGAGCTACTTAAAATTGAGGTATATTACTTATTTAGATAGCCATTTTTTAGATAGGCCTAATAAAGACTAATCAGACAATGGAGGAGGGATGATTCGGTTTTATTTTTACCTCGTTAACAAATTAATCGTGAATATTCCCTTTATGTATTTTTTGTTTAAGAAAGATATGCAAGCCGCTGATCAGAGAGCTACTGAACGTTCTGATGCAAAGAATGCTTTGGAAGAATATTGTTTTAGAATGCAACATACTTTTGAAAATACGAAAGCTGTAAATTTTTTAAATATTTATTTGTTTAATTTTGTTTTTAAGTGTGAGGGTAAAGTGACAGAAGACGTGCGACTTTCTTGCCTTAATGAATGTTCTGAAGTATTGGAATGGCTTGATATGAATTCTACTGAATTACAGAAGAAGGTTATAAACTTTTAAATTAATTTTTTTAAATGATTATTTTTAAGCAAATTGAATGCCGGCATTCTGAACTTGAAAAGTATTGTAAACCAGCTCTTAGTAAATTATTTGCTGTATCTGAAGCGAAGAAAGAAAAACAGGCTGATGTGCCAAAACAAGAAGATAGTAATCAGAATGGAAAGGATCAGCCAAATCAAGGTTATATTTTTAATTTGGAAAGGAGCATGTGAGGGGTGTAGAAAATGTTTTTAAGATATGACCAGTTTTTAAATTATCGCATTTTTCCAACCCTCTTTTATTTTCTCCTTCCGTTCTTAACCATTTCTAAAAATTATTTTTAGATATTGAAGCAAAATGTGAGGATGAGAATGTTGATAATAAGACAATGGATTCATCCAACCCGAAACCTGAATGTAATGATGCTGAAATGGATTAAGAAATATAAAATATTGATTATATAAAGGGATTCAAAGGGAGGAGAGCTTTTTGACCTTTTACAATTTTCTTCATCGTTTATAAACAAATTGAAATGAGTCTCGATAAATTGTTATTTTTTGAAATTTTATGAAAATCAGAATTAGGTAGGTAATTCTAGAATTGTTGACGCGGCATCCCTTAGAAGAATAACTTAATTGTTTGCTAGTTTTATTTTATACCCGAAGGTTTTGCAATTAATAGAAAATTAATTAGATGACATTTAAACGTTTTAGCGAGCTTTAGGATCTATGAAAGTCTGGCAAGTAAACTTTTCTCATAGTGGTGTTTAATAGATTTTTAATGGATACTGATTAAATATTGTATTCTCGCATTTAAATACATAGTAATTTAAACACGTTAATTTACTAATGTCAAGGTAAAAATTAAGATATTAATGTCTAAGTTTCATAATTATATTTAGTTCTAGTGAAAATAAAAATTTTAGTCGTCTGATTTATTTTTTAACTATTTTCATATAACTAGTAATTTTCTGTTTTTATTTTTTTGGTTAAGTTATAATTTAAACGTGAGTAAATAACTAATATGTTTATCTCCATGACAACTTGAGTGCTAAATTTTTTATTTAAAATTTTTGTTTTAACTTTAAATTCTTGTATGTATTGTTGAAAAAATCGCAAAAAGTATTCTCTTAAAAATTCTGAATTTCCTTAAAATATGGAAATTGTTAATCAGCCTGGTACTGCACTTGTATTGGAGCCGGGTGGACTTGATGCACCTTCTATAGGAAATAATAATGTAGAGGAGATACAGTGCCAAGAGAATATTAATGGAGGTATGGAAAATAATTTGGAAGTATTTTTCTCCTTTAAAGTTTTGGAAAGTTTTTTTCATCTCTATGTTTCAAGTTTTTGTGCCTCTTAAATTCTCAGTCAGAATATTCTCGTTCGACTTAATAATGAATTTCTTTCAGAGGGGTGGATTGTACTAAAAAATGAGAATTAAAGAATTAATACAAATTAAGATTAATAAATTTAAATGTGATCTAAATGTACCCTTAGCTCTCCTTAAATTATACAAAAAAGAAAATGGCAAATTTAATATTTAAGAAAATCAAAATGTTGTAATTTCAACTAATCCTGAACAACAACGTGAGGCTGATGAAGAAACTATACAAATTGATGAGGAAGAAGATGAGGCCCGTAGCCGTGTTATTGTTCATAGACGAGTAACTAGAGGCGGTGGATTTTTTTCTCGCCGTAAAGATAATATAATAGCAACAAATAATGAAGAAAAAATTATTGAAAGACAAAATGGTAAAAGTAATATTGAATGGCAACCATCAGCAACAAATGTAAAACCTGGATATTCGAGTTTTAAAAGTGGTATAATTAAATTAACACCGGAAAGCTTGAAATGTAAATTGTATTGCAGGTAAGAAATTGAGAGGAGTTTGAGAAGAAAAAATTATTTTAAATTATAAAATGGAAGTTAAAATATGAAAAATAATTATTTAGATGTTGAGGGGGTTAATAAGCTTTTTATAAATTTAAATTAGAAAAAATTAGAACGGCTGAATTTTTATCAAAAATTAAACAAAAAATACAGTAAATATCCTAATAGAAGCTCATGCCCTATTAGAGCCCACTCGATGAGGGGTATTGAGAAATACGAGCCCCCAGGGCTTCTATTAGGATATTTACGGTATCTAATAATTACATTGTCTCCGGTTGTACCAACAAGATAGTTTCTACTAAATTCCTCTCCCTCCTTAAATAAATTTACCTAATAAAAATAATTTTTAAAGAGGTTCAAAGTGTATTTATTGCAATCCAGAAAATTGGAATGAAGATCAACAAGCAATTCGTGGTGTTTATTCTAATTGGTGTGTGCCTCTTTTTTTTAAATTAATATTTTTATTTAATAAAATTAGGATAGATGAAAATATTTTAGCTATGGCACGTCCAACAGAGAGAACATTTAATGAATTTAATTTAATAGAACAATTTAAAAAAGAAAAAATAAAAACTTTAATAAATCTTCAATGCGTTAATGAACATGATTTTTGTGGTCCCCAATTAATTACTCATACAGGGTTTTCTTATGACCCAGAAATTCTTATGAGTAAACAAAGTTTGGGTTTTAAATAATTAAAAGAAAAAAAGTTTCTTTTAAAGTTTATTATTACAATTTTGGAATTCCTGATTTTGGTACAATTTCTGTTCATTCAATTTTAAATATTGCTAAAGTTATTTGGTTTTCACTTAAAAAAGGTGAGAGAAAATATTTTTTAAATAAAAGGAGAATAATTGAGATAAAATTAATTTGTAAATATTATATTTACATACAGTGGAATCCCACTAATGCGTCACTCTCGGAACCGATGTATGATTATGATGTATATTACCGAGATTCCCTGTATGAGAAAGGAAAACAGTATTAAATATTTTCTAAAGATTCCTATGAGAAAACTAAAGACTATAAAATATACATAAATTATTTTTAATCTAGGCCGTGTAGCTATTCATTGCCACGCTGGTCTTGGTTTGTTTTAAGTGATTTAATTAAATATTTACTTATTTCTAGGTAGAACAGGCACATTAATTGCTTGTTTTTTAGTTTGGGCTAAAGGGATAAGTACTTCTGAAGCTATAGATTTTGTACGTAATGCAAGGTAGAGTTTAAAAATTTATAAAAATATTGGCCTTTAATTTTATCAAAGGCCCAACTCTGTCCAAAGTTTGGAACAAATAAATGCAGTTGAAGGTAAATAAAGAATTATTATTTTAAATTAAAAAATAATTTTTAAAAAGAATTTTCTTATCATGTTTATAAAAACGGCACAGCTTTGCCTAATTCTTTATTTATTTCAAATAATGGAATGATTAGTTTAAGACAATTAATGACACGCCAAAGACAATTTCTCCCAAATGAACAGGCACGTCGGTTTGCTCACATTCCAAAGGTGTTTTTTTGAATTATATTGGAAATCTTATTTTTCTGAGACCTCTAAAAAGGTCAAAATTCTAATATATTATATTAAAATATTGACAATATAGGGATCTGATTTTTTTCAAAATACGTTTAAAACTTTCTTAGTTCGAATCGAGAAAGGCCTGGATTTTGTGTAAAAATTATTTATTTATTTTAGTTACTTTACATGCTTGGAGATAATCTTCTTCGAATGGTTTTTGGACCTCAAGGAATTTATTATGCCCCTTTAACTGATAAACAACACCACGCCCGTTCATGTACTTTTGGAACAATTCATGTAAATTGGAGAAATGCTTTTACACCTAAAGGGTTTTTTTAAATTAATTTTCAAATAAAAAATATTTTTTAGAAAATTACAAGTTCGCCAAGTAGTTAATTTATTTGCTCGTTGTTCTGCATTTCCTTATGAAAAGGACCAAAATTTAATTGGAAAATTTCAACAAATTAGTTTGGTTACTATTGACTCTTTAATTAAAGAAATGGATATTTCACAATTGGTAAGGGAGGGAGGGGTATTTTAAACTGAAAACTTTTTTCAAAAAAAGATTTCTCTTTTAAATGCTTTCTTGGAATCAATTAAAAGGCCTTATTGTTCACGTCGAGTATTAATCGAAGTATTAGGCCAATTCTCTCCTGATAATCCAATTGAACCAATTAATAACCAATTAATTGAGGAAAATAATAAAAATGAAGAAAATTTAAGTGAAAATAATACAAAAATAGAAAATGAAACGATTAAACAAATTGAGGAAAATTTAAATTTGGAGGAATCTAAAAATGAAGAGGAAGAGAAGAAGGAAGAAGAACAAAAAGAAATGGTAATTTAATTCCTTTCCTAGTCAAATCAGGCCAAAATCTTCTAATTCCAATAATTTTTTTCTTTTTTTAGTTGCCATCCACTAGCAACGATAACGGAAATGAAATAAATAATGATAATCAAGAAATTGATGAAATTGCTAAACAAATTGAAAATGAAACTCCTGTTAATGTAAAAATATTATTTTTTATTCCAAAAATATAAAATAAGTTTAAACTGAGAAAGAATATACTTATATAATCACTTTGAAAAATCTGGAACTAATCCAAAATAATATTTAAATAAAAATTTAATAAATTTAGGAAATATCGGACGAAACTGCTAAAAATGGGAGGACATCAGTTGATGAAGAACAAAATTTAAATGTAATTACTGGTAAATTTAATAATTATTATTTTTATTTTAACTTCAATTTAGAAGAATTGCCAAATAAAAATAAATTAGAAAAAAATTCAAAACTTCCAATATCTGCTGGAAATTCAATTGAAAGGCCGACAACAATGGATACAGAATATGATAGTTATTATGATAATAATAATGAATTTTATTTGTTTGATATTCAAGATTTACATACAAATAAAGATGCTAATTTATATGCGGTAAATATTTAATAGAAAAATAGGAGGGGGAAGGGAATATTAACAAATATTCGAGATAAATCACTAATGTTTTTTCAAATCTAAGCCAGAAATTATTAAGATAATTCTTTTGATTTTTTAATTAATTAAATACTTTCCAACCAACAAATATAATTTAATTTTTATACCCATTTATTACCTTTAATTTAATGACCGCCATTTTATTTTTCAATCACCCTCCTGCTTGAAGTGGGGGCGTTATAGAATATTAAATGTTAAAAAATATTTGTGGTATTTGTTCAATTAATTATTCTTTTCCTAATATGTACATAATTACTCTACTTTAAAATAATTTTATTTTAAGGACTGGCAATGTATTGTATTTTATGTTTGTAATATTTTGAGTTATTTAACTGGTTAATTTTAAATTATTTTTTAATTCTGAATATTTTTAGGAGAAAATTATGATTCTGTTGTTGATTTATTAACTTTTTGGTTTGCTGGGGACAGTAATAGAGATGTTAAACAAGCAATTTAGTTGAATATAAATAAATACATATATTTATTTTTAAAAATTATTTTAAAGTTGTCACATGAGGGATTTATTTGCAAGAAATATGCGTCAACAAGAGCAACAAGCAACTGCTTGGAGACGTAGAATGGGATTACCTGAGAAACTTAAAAATTAATTTAAAAAATATTTATTTATTTTTCATATTTAAAATCAAATTATAGTAGGTTTTTAGAAAAATTATTAAAAAATTTGCTTAATATCTTTTATTCTAAAGAAACTTTTTTTTGATAGAAATATTTAATTCAACATATTCTTTAAGTTGAAAATAAACTTTTGGACCCTAGAAATGAACACTTTTTATAAATTTGAGAATTGTCAAATTATTGTTGCTGTTGATAAAATTTGTATTCATTAGAGAGAGCATACTCTAAATAGTCTATCATCTTAAGTTATAAGGTAGCGAAAAAAATATTATCAAGTGTGCATAAACTTTTGCAGCGCAGTGTATCCTTTGAAATCCCCAATATCTCACAAATTCACTTATCTCTTTTAATCTGGCCAAATATGCTGATTTCCTCATTAATCTCAAAATTTCCGATATTTCTTATAATTGCGATACGAAAAAATGAAAATTTTTGGACGCGGCAGGTTGAGCAGAGGTAAGAATATCGACACTCCCGGATTGTCCATTGATGGACGTCCAGTCCCGACATAAAAAATATTAATTTGGGAGTTAAAAACTCCCATTCAAAAATATAAAACAAGATGTTCAAGAGGGGGTTGAATTATCCTGATAGGAAAATATTCGTAAAAAGGAAAAAATTGTTAATAAATATTAGATATTTAGCAAACAATAGTAAGAGAACAATAAAAATAAACATTATTTTCCTCTTCTTCTTTATACTTTTTTTCTCTTTAGTTAACTATTTATTTTCCTCACAGTCTCTAATCTGTACACTTTTTTCCCTTTCTAACCTACATTACCATCAAAAGTTTTTCGAGAGAATTTAATTGGCGCTGAAACGACCTTTGGTTGTTGGTCAGGAATATTTTTTTGAATTTTTCCTGAAAAAGGAAATTATAATTTTCTCGTTACAAAAAATTACATAAATCCTTTATAAAAAATTTTCTTTTACAATTTAAAAAATATTTTTAGAAAGCAGCAAATATTTAAATTAATTGAAAATAAAAAAATATCAAAAATACATATAAAGAAATTTCTTTAAAATATTTAAAATAGATGTGAGGAATTGAAAAAACCGCAGTGTAAAAATTTATTGGATTTTAATTCACAATGTTATCCAACAAGAAAAAACAAGAAAATATTTTTCACAAAAAATATTTAGCTAATAATAATTAAAATATATTTAAATAATTAATATATTTCTTTAAAATCTATTTTTAATCATATTCCCCACCAGCCATTAATTCCCAAAATTCTAAAAATTAAAATAATTATTTAATTTCATTTCCATTCAATTACCCTCAAATTCAATTTTCCCCGATCCATCCTCATCTATTTCATCAACAGCATCATCCAATTCTTTATCACTAAGATCTGGGGCTATTTCATGTAAAAGTTCTTTTAATGTTCCCGTAGAAATATACCCATAACCCTTTTTAATTTTAATTTAAATATTTATTTTAATTAATTTACTTCTTTATCAAACAATCTAAAAGCCTCTTTTAATTCATTTCGAAGTGTCTCTTTATCTACACTATTTGCTACTGTATAGACTAAAGCACAGAATTCATCAAATTCTAATTTTCCAGAACCATCAGCGTCGAATTTTCGAATTAATCTTTTTTTAAATAATGAAAAATAATTTTTAAATAATAAGAAACAAAAAATAGTTTTATGTGTACTTTTCTTGCTTCAATTTTTTATTTTTTGCGAGCAAAAAACTCAATTCTGGATTTCACTTTATTATAATTTTTTAAATAATTTTTTTTCCTTTTTTCCTTATAAAAATTACTTTCTCAAAGTTTTTTCATCATAATCCTGCTCCATAACATCCATTATTTGGCTAAGTTGTGTAGCCATTATATAACCATTCTTACCTTTATCAAACAAATCAAAAAAGTGTTGATATTCTAAATTGAGAGAATAAAATATAAAATGAAATTCAGAAAAAGTAAAAATAAATTATGAACGGGTTTTTAAATAAACTTTAATTTTTTTTTTAAAAATTTTTAAAACCTTCAATTTGGTCTTCATCAATTTCTGCTAATATTTCCTCAATATTTTCAGCCTAAATTTTTGTTAAATTTTTAAATATTTATAAGGAACGATTTTACACAAATTTACCATTTAAATAGAAAAAAACAAATAAATTATTTTGTAGATTAGAGAATATTTAAGAGAATAATATTAGACAATAATTATCAAAACACAAAAGAATTTTAAAAAGTTGCTTTGACTAAAGTTTCATTTTAGAAGAAGCTTTTCATTTATTTACTTTATCAAGTATTAGCTCTTTGTTTGTTTGACAATCATACTTTTTCAAAAATATATTTAGAGAGATGAAGAACAGCTGGAAAGAGAGGAAGGATAGTATCTTTCAAGATTTGCGCAATCACTTTAAAGTATTTAGTAAATGGGGGGATAAGTGTTTCTTCCTTAAATTAAAGCAAAAACTGATATATTTTTAGTGTAAGAATAATGGTGAAAGATTTTATAAGATCAACAGTTTTACTATAATGAAAAAGTTAAGACTTTATCAATTAAAGTTTAGTTTAATAAATGAGGGAAAGAAAAGAAAAAATTCATTGACAAGAATATTTAACTTAATTTCTAAGTGGCAGTACAAAATGTTAGATTAAGACGTATTTATTTCAAACAAGTTATTGTTTAACTTGAAATTAACAAAATACTTAGTATAGATTGGATGTCAAAATATTCAGTAATTTTTTAAACCCAAATACAACGTGAATTTTTCTGATTTTGAAATTTAATAAATTCCTCAGCTCCAGCTAATTAAATTTTGAGAGTATATTCAGATTTAAATAAGTTGTACTAGGAAAAGTTTTAATCCAAAAAATATCAATATAGCAGTAAACATTTACATACAATAAAGAAAGGAAATAAGTAAATACTCGCAATGACCAAAATCGAATTAAAAATAAATTAAAGGCACCCAAAGGGGAAAGATAACATTTTTAAAAGATTAATTTAGAAATAAAAATTAAAGTAAATTATGCTTAAGAATATTTTTCTGTCCATTCCCATTTTTGATAAGCATTAGCAGAATCACATTTTCGTAAAATAAGTAAACTAGAATCCTTTTCTTTATCGGCTGTTAAACAAGAATCAGAACTTGCAACACGAATTTGTTTTGTTTCCTAAAATGAATATGTATATTTTTTAGTTAATGACTATGTATATTCAAAAGGTGTTCAGGAAAAAACGAAGGTGATTGATACAATACTTTTGATACAATTTATTTCATACAATAAGTATGAAATAAAAAGCAGTACATATTATACTTTTTGCTTTTTTCATCAAAAATTTTTTTTCGATTCTACCCTTTATTTTTTCATCTTTTCCTACCTACACAATAAATTTAGATTATAAAAAAGAATTATCAAAATTATATCAACTTACCCTATTATAACTAAAAGGTCCATCCACTTTTCCCTTTGGGCAGTAACCACTATGTATTCGTCCTCCCCAACCACTTGAAGGTGTTAAACACCACTCTCCTTGTGTCATTTGTCCTTTTGTATTTAATTTTACAAGTTGATTCCCTCCATAACCATGACATGGTGTAGCACCAATTACTCCAGAACTTCCTTTTCCCATTGTATCAATACACTTATCTATGTTTAAATTAATTATTAAATAATTTTAAATAGTATTTACCTGATGCATGATTTTTAGCTTCGCCCCAAACATCATTCGGTGGGGGTAAAGGAAAATCATTAAAAACATCATAAGCAACATTATCCATAAACCATTGAAAAGATTTACATTTTAATTGTTCTCGTAAAGCAAGTTGTTTAGAAATATCACCAGGTTGACGATACAAGGCATTTGGTTCTCTAATAAAATAATATTTTCCATAATCATCCATCCAAGTTTTTATTACGCGAAGCAGATTCTTTAAAAAGAAACAAAAATTATCAAAACAAAATCTTTAAACTTACAGTAGAAATAACAGGTTTTCCAGATAATTTACCAAAATTATAAGGCATATGGTGTCTGTAAACATGCCCCACATGAGAACATGGTACAAAAAGAATTCCGCCTCCACATTGCCAAATCTAGAAATTTTTAGTCAATTTAAAAATAAAATTAAAAAACCTTAAAAGACAATTCATATTGCTCTCCACCCCAAATTTGTAATCCAGGATCATAATATCCAAGCTTTTCAAACCATTTTTTGTCTATTGCAAAAAGCCCTCCAGCATGTGTTGGAGATCTTTACAAATATTTTAAAGAAGTTAAAAATTAAAAAAAACCTAAAAGGTTCACTATCTTTTTGTCGATGCTTCTTTTCTCTGTCAGGCAAAGCAGTTTCTTTATATAACAATCCCCATTCAAAAATTCCACGAAAATGTCTATTTGCTTCTCCATAAACACGTTTATATTCCCATGTATTCATATCAATACCATCAATAACTGGAACTGTCATAACTTTTCTAAAATTAAAAAAAATAAAGAAATTATTTACAAGGGAACATTCCGAACTGTGACCAAAAAATTTTAAGTAAAAGTTCGGAAGGTTTCCTTGGTAGAAAGAATTTTTAATCAAATTTTGTAAAACTATCGTTTTCCCTACATTTTCAGTCCATCGTAATTTTTTACAACCTAACAAGGGCGTATCCAGGGGGTCGGTTTCGGGGGGGGGGGGCTAACACTGGGTGGGCGCAAAAATTTTTGGCGTTTACCTTGGCGTTCCGGACGCAAATTTTTTTGTACTTAAATTTTCATCTTTTCTGCGCCGCAGGCGAAAATTTTTTGGAATTTGGAGCCCAAGAAGACAGATTTCTTCTTTTTTTAGCGCCGCAGGCAAAAATTTTTTGGAATTTGGAGCCCAAGAAGACAGATTTCTTCTTTTTTTAGCGCCGCAGGCGAAAATTTTTTGGAATTTGGAGCCCAAGAAGACAGATTTCTTCTTTTTTTAGCGCCGCAGGCGAAAATTTTTTTAAATTTGAGGGTTGTAGGCGAAAAAATTTCACTTTTTCGACCATCCTTCTCCTAATTTTTTCCCCCTTTCCCCCATTTCGGGGGGGGGGGGGCTCTAGCCCCCCCAGCCCCCCCCCCTGGATACGCCCTTGCAACCTAAAACATATTTTTTTGAATTACGAAGAAACGAACACTATGGAATTTTCCAAAAAAATTATATGAGAATCTATGCCGATTAGCATATATTCTAACCTGACAGCAACTTGGTAGTTAAAAATAACCTATTTTTTCTAATTGGTGCCAACAAAGGAGGTAACCAATTTCTATTAACTTCACAATGTGCATCCAAAAAGATAACAACATCGGCAGAAGATGCTTTTGCCCCAATTGTTCGTGTATTAATTAAACCTTCACGTTCTTTATTTCTTACCAAAATAACTTTTCCATTAAATTGTTTAATATATTCATCTAATTTTGTTTTTAAATGTTCTAAAAAAGAATTTTTAAATTAAATGTTAAATTCAAAAAAACCTTTATCACTAGCATCATCAACCAAAATTACTTCTTTTAATAAATGAGCGGGACTACGCAATAAGACAGAATGAACAGTTCGAAGTAATGGGGACCAGCCTTCATTGTGAAAAGCAATGACAACAGAAGCACTAGGCAAATCTTTAAAAGAATTTTATTCAAAAGATTGTGTAAGAAAAATCCAATTGCTAGCAACTGGACGCATGCATGCTAAATTTTTAGTCTTATGATAATCCTACTAATGAAAAAAATCTCAGCGATGGCTCAGAGAAAATATTATTGGAAATGAAGAAAGCGAAATCTCAAAAGGAAGGCGGCGGTTCCGGGCATCCATAGACTTCCCAGGAACCGCAATCCTTAATCGAAACCCCCTTTAATTTTTCTTCTTGATTTCGATTCAATTAAGCGATTTTTTGTTGGAATTAAGCGTTTTTCAATATCAAGGAACTAAAAAATACTTGCCGGGGAATTTTAGGTTTTCAAGTTTAAAAAATATTTTAAAATAAAAATATAACCTTCCGGATAATGCCAATATTTACATCTAAAAATATTTTTTTAATTTTATAAATCAAAAAAACAACTAACTCTTCAATACGAACATCAGGAATTGATCTATTCAATCTTGTTTTATCACTAGCAAATGTGTTAAATCCAAATTCAGAAATTGCTTTTTGGACTTCTGGAGAATTTAAATCTGTCATAATTGGTTTTCCCTCTTCTCCTTTAAAAATTAATTTTATTTTTAATTAATTAACTCATAGAAAACCTGGAGCATTAACATCATCCGGTGGAAAAACGACAGGAATTTGTTCAAAATTTCCAATAATTCCATCCTTAAAAATTGTATCGGGATCACGACTTCCTGGCAGTTCTCCAGAATTTTCTGAATATTTCTCGTCCGAAATAGATTTTTGATGGACTTTTTTGTTTATCTTTTGAAAATCCTAAAAATAAAATAAACTTTTAATAAAATATAAAATTAATATTGGTGTAGGACAACCGGTTTTAAAACCGAAATTTTTGATTTTTTTTGCCAAAAATTAACCGTTCTAAAATCTTAAAAATCGGAAATTTATGAAAATGAGTGATTTCTTTAAAAATTCCCACAAAATAAAATCGATATTTGACAAAAACTCAATACCGAAAACCGGGGTCTTGAAATTTGGATTAACCGAAAACCGGTGGTACCGGTTAATAACCTGTTGTGTCCTACCCAGACTCGGTAATGAATACGATATGGATATAGATAATTTCGAAATGCCTGCGGATATCCGCAAAAAAAAATATTAAAAATATTATTTTTTGCAAAAAATATTATATCCGGATACCAGATTCCATGTCCATTACCAAGTTTGGTCCTACCCTAGTTAATATCCTCATAAAGTCCTAATTAGAGTAACTGGTTAAATCAGGTATTTTAAAATAAAAAATATTACTTTTAAAAAATTATTTTAAAAAATATACCTTCTCTCCATTATTCAAAGAATCAAGTTTATTATTTCCAGAACTGATGAAAAAAATAAAGCCAATAACAGAGATCAAAAATATTAAAAGAGAAAGAGGTCTAAAAATAAAATTTTAAATAACTTTAAAAAATAAACTAACTGTTTGTTAATAATCCTCTTAAATTCAAACCAACGTCTTCTCAGCGACATTATAAAAAATAGGAAAATTCAATGAAGCTCATAAATAAATTAAAATCTAAAATAAATTTATAATAAAACCAAGTTTTAAAAATTTCTCGTTCCTATCGATTTATTTAAAAAAATGTTTATGTGAAAAATAGTGCCACGTAATAAATGAAATGATAAATAGGTAAATTCTTTTGTATTTCTACCAAATTTATGAAAAGATGAAATAAATTTGAGAGAAATATGCTTTAAATTGAAAAAAAATTATTTATAAGAATTAAATGTTTGTAAAACCTTAAAAAAACACGTAGCATGTTTAATAAATTTATGTAAGCCTCGAAAAAAATATAGTATGTGCACTATCCAGAGTGTGTGGGGCAGGGCAGTCCGCAATTGCGGAGTGCGGATTGGTGAAATTGCGTGTTTTTTGGACTTGTGGACTGCGGCTACGGATTTTAAAATTAAAATTGCGGACTGCGGATTACAGCTGCGAATGGTGTGGGGTTTGGACAACTGAGCGCCACTTTTTTAGCCTTGATCTAATCTGACGAAAGACATTGATATGCGGAATCTTTTTCCAATTGGATGTGTCGGCGGAAAATTTCAATTTTAGGAAAATTTCAATTTTTCCGGAAAATTTCAAATTTTCCGGAAAAATTCAATTTTTCCGACGATTTAGGAAAATTTCAGTTAGTAAATTAATTTAATAGTCTGTTTAGCACTATTTCGCTTATTTTTAGTTTTTTGAGTATATTTTTCTTTTTTGTTTTTCCTTTGTTTTATGTTTTGTTTTTTTGGTTTGTTTGTCTTTTTTAAATATTTTTGTTTATTTTTTTAATTTTGTTTTTTAGTTCTTGTTTTTTTTTTAAATTTTTGTGTTACTACTGAATGGGTAGGTCGGCATTTCAATGCTGAAAATCGTTAAAAGGAATAGGATTTTGTTACTATTGCAGAACCCAGCGACCGTTGACTCCCGCGAGACGCGTGCCGCAAAACCCCGCGCGAAGCGCGGGGTTTTGCACAAGCGTCTCGCCGACTCCCCATAGGTTTATGGGGTTTGTTTTTTGTGTCGTAACTTATCCAAATTTATCCATGGTGATATTGTTTAAATGATGAAATTTATAGATAACCCAGAAAAAACAACAAACACAAATAACCCCAAAAAACATAAAACAAGCCCAGACTCAACTGACAACTTTATTAATAAATGAAATTTTCCTAAATCGTCGGAAAAATTGAATTTTTCCGGAAAATTTGAAATTTTCCGGAAAAATTGAAATTTTCCTAAAATTGAAATTTTCCGCCGACAGATGGATCAATGGGGTTGAAGTCAACACTCTCAATTGTTAGCACTCAACTGACCTTTACACAGATTTTTTGAAATTAACAATTTGATTTATTTTAGCCAAGCGATCTTTAGAGGAATCGACATTTTGACCCATTCTGGCCTTTCGATATTTTGCACGAACGATCTTTTAAGCAATCGACCTTTTGGTTAGAAGTCGAGTGAATTCAATTGTGTACTTTTAAAATCTGACGTAAAAGTGCATTCATTTTCTTTAATTGTTTAAATTAAATTAATTGATTTATTTTAACCACCATGTATTTTTTTTAATATTTTAAAGTTTTTAGTAAAAATGGAGCCACCAGTAACGGTTAGCTCTACAAACCTTCAAAAATTTAAAGGGCTTTGTTTTACAACTCTAATAATAATTTCTTCGTTTCTTGGAACTATTTATGTTTTAATACCTCTAACGCCCTTAGCCTGTAAGTTTTATTCTCTAAAAAATTAATTTTTTATTTAAATTTTAGATTTTAATCCAAAACTTTTTCGTTTAATTGTTGACTTTCTTATCGGATATTGGCTTGTACTTCCCACAGTATTTGTTTCAAATTTTTTAAATTTAATTGTTATTTTTTAGTCATTGGTAGAATGGATGTTTGGGGTGCGAATTCAAGTACTTGGTGATGGAATTGACCCGAAAAGGTAAAAATTATTTTTATAAAATTGGTTGTTGGTTTTGAAAGAATTGAAAAAAATATTTAAAATACCTGCTCACTAAAGATCTGTCTGGATCTGGATCCAGTCTGGATTTTTCCAGATCCGGAGTTTTCAAAATACCGATCTCTACTACTCACGCCAGAAGCGTTTGACAAGAGATTGAGTGACCGAAATAATACCCTTCTTGGCAGTTTACTTTCAGGCTGATTTACACTAAAATACAGACCTAAAAATTAAAATAAAACTTTCCTTTTTCATTATTTTTTAATTCATAAATTAACAAAAAAATTTTAATTTAGGCCAAGTCTTATAATTATGAATCACCGAACTTGTTTGGATTGGCTTTTCTTTTGGTGTGCACTTTGGCGTATTGATCCTAGCTTAATTACTACAGAAAAAATTGTTTTAAAAGGAGAAGTAAAATATTTGCCTGGTGCAGGTATTTTTTCTTTATATTTTTTTCAGAAAATTTTTGAAGGTTGGGCAATGGCATATAATGCTTTTCTTCTTTTGGATAGAAATTTCCTTACGGATAAGGCTCGTATTGAAACTTTTGTTGAATATTATGCTCGAATGGATCGAAAATATCATGTTTGTTTAATTCTTTAAAGAAATAATAATTTTTTTAATTTTAAGCTTTTGCTGTTTCCTGAAGGGACGGTATGTTTTGTAATTTAACCAGAAATTTTTTTGTTAATTTTTAAAGGATAAATGTCCTAGAGCAACTGAGAGAAGCAATAGTTTTGCAAAGAAAAATGATTTAGTCCAATATGAATATTTATTACATCCTAGGACACTTGGATTTGTTTTTTTGTTACAAAAAATGCGAAAAGGTTTTAGATTATTTTTAAATTTAATTTTATTCTTTAATTTTAAATGTTCATTATTTTTAAATATTATTTTTTTATATTTTTTCTAGAAAAATGTGTTGATTATATTTATGATGTTACTGTTGGATATGGGGACCAAATTGTTCAATCAGAAACTGATTTGGTTAATTAACAAAATTCTTTAAACAATTTTTAATTTTTAGGTTTTGCGCGGAATGTGTCCAAAAGATGTTCATTATTTAATCCAACAAATACCCGATTCTTCTTTGCCAAAAGATGATGAACAATTAGAGAAATGGTTAAAAGATAAATGGGCGAAGAAAGGTTTAAATTGGTTTTAAAAGGAAATTAGTTTTGAATTAATTTTTAGAGAAAATTCTACATAATTTCTATAAAGAGAAGGGATTTCGACGTCAAAATGGTTGGTCATCTCAATTTAAGAATTTTCAGGTTAAATTTTATTTTTGAAAAAATTTTTAAATAAGAGTTAATTGTATTATGTAAAAATTAATTTTTGAGACAGAAATTAATTTTATTTCTTTAAAGTTAACTCCAAAACTTAAATTATTGCAAATTGCTGTCGTTTGTATTTGGTTGGCAGCTACCTATTTTTGGTTATATTTATTTGTTAGTTTAAATCATCAAATTTGGTATTCGCTTTTGGCTCTAGTGGTTAGTTTTTAATTTTTTTTTAAATTACGCGAAGTTTATCTTGGCATGAAATCTGGAATTTTAGTGAATTTTGATTGAAATATTTTTTATTTTTATTAATTTAATAAAATATATTCTAAATTCGAAAAAATTATTTTTTAGTCAATTGTTGGTCTACAAATTTATTATAATGGTTTTGAAATGTTTTTGGCTCGTTTGTCTATTCGGTGATTAAATATAAATTAAGTTAAGTTAATATTAATTTTTGTTATAACCTCTTGATAGTTTGGTTGTTGGTAAATAATTATTTAAGTTAAAATTTTATTTTTTTTTTAAATTTTTAAGAGATAAAAACATTTGTGTTATTAAATTAAAAAAATTCTTTTATTTTATTTTTTGTCAACAACCATTCTTCATTCTCTCTATTTTTATAGGTAATAACTTTAAAATAAGCATTTTTGATCTTCTTTCTATTATTTTTTTCTTTCTATATATAATTATTTGTTTTTAAATATGCAAATAATATTTAGTACCAAATAAGGCTATAAAAATGTTTTTTTTCTCTTTTTCTAAAAACTTTGCTCATGTATTTTTTTATAAATAAATAAAAATTAATTTTTTTTTAATTTTTTAATTTAAATATTTATCTTTTTGTAGGATTTTTTAATGTTTATACTAAACGGAAAATTTGAATTTCAGCCCTTAATTTCCATTAAAAAATTATTTAGACGTAAATGGCTTCTTTGGTATTTCTTTACACTTATTGTTAGTTAAATATTCCCGAAAAACAGTTTAATAAAAAGAATAATTCCTAAATAATCCCCAACCTTATAAAGTTTTTTACTCTTTTAAAAGTTATTTTTTAGGTACTTTATTAATATCCCGCCCCCCACCCCTATTTGAGTCTCAGATTAATTTTACTTTTTATTTTTCCTGTCTCGGAATGGTCAATTTTCCTTCTTATAAATGCTTTTTTTGCGGTTGCCGTCTATTTTTCCTTCCTAGTACTTGCCTTTTACCTGCAATGTTTGAAGGAAAAATGATTGAAATTAAAAGAAGGGAAATTAATCTGAGACTCAAATAGGGGTGGGGGGCGGGATATTAATAAAGTACCATTTTTTATTCTCTTCAGATTAAGATAAAATTTGGGAAATTAAATTTTTTATTTATTTCATTTAAAAATCAATTTTAATTTTTCTTCGCACATTCAGCTACCCCTTGAGTAGTGCAATCTATACATTTTTGTTTTGTTGCGCCAGAACCTGATTTTGAGAAAAATCCGTCTTTACACTCTTTCTTACATTTTTTATTTGTACATTCAACACATTTACTTGCACATTTTGTATTTTTGTTGCAAGCTTGATGGCAATCGTTGATTGTTTTACTCTACAAAATTATTGAAAATTTTAAAAGAAATTTTTAAAAATTAAAAAAAAAACAATTTTTTGAATAAAAAAATAGAGAAAAGTCTTCTAGTCTTTAAAGAAATTTCAACAGAAATTTAAAAATTAAAAAATACTCTCAAATAAAATTTTTGGGTAATTAGTAACTGGAACAGAATACATTTTTTAAGTTTTAAATAATTATTTTAATTGGGGCTGGACACGACCGGTTCTAAAACCGGAAATTTATGAAAATGAGCAGTTTGAAAAAATTCCCCCAAAATAAAACGGGTATTTGACTAAAACATCCAAACAGAAATTCGGTTAATAACTGGTTGTCTCCAATACTAATTTTAATAATATTTTTAATAAATTAAAGACTTACTGATTCAACAGTCAAAATTGAAATAAAAATTAATAAAACAACAAAAAATACCAAACGTGAGAAAAGCATTTTTTAAATTGTGATTTAAATTCTAAAATATTTTTTAAAAAATGAAATTAAAGTTTAAAGAAAAAGAAAAGATTATTTTTAAACAGTTGTTTGAGGGAAGTCACATTTTAAAAAATATTTTTATTTGAAAAATGACTGAAAGGAAGAAGAAATGTGTTTTAAAAAAAAGAGAAAAGGGAAAAGTATTTTCGTTAAAAGAAACAAACAAATTAGTCATTTAATTGGAAAATGTTCTTATGAAATAAATAAAAATATTTTTAATGGATAAAAGAAGTAAAAGAAAATCTTTTGATTTTTTCAGATCTGTGTAAAAACCCCGTATATGACAAATAATTCCCCTCTCTCAAATAATTGCAGCGAGAGGTTGAAACAATACATAATTATCCAGAAGTAATTAATTATTCGATGATAAAGTAAAAATTATGGAATTTAAAAAGGGTGAAGAAAGTTACCAGCATAGATTTAAATATTTTTTTAATAAAATTTTTGAATTATGTATAAATACAGTGGTGGAAAAAAGTATGGAAGCAAGAGCTTAAAAAGTAAACTTCGTTAAATTCCTCGACGTACGAACCCTAAATCATTTTTTGTCTACTATAAATTTTAAAGTCCTATCGATTACCTCTAAAATGAGTATAAATAGAAACCACTTTTATCGAGTATTTATCTTTTTATAATTGGCTAAAGTAAACAATGTAAATTTTGCGCGGAAAAAAGTATGGAAGCAAAAAAATTTTACGTTCTAAAACAAGTCGAAAAAATTTTAAAAATTTTTTATAAACATTTCCATTGATATTGAATGGAATTATAGAAAAAAAGAAGTCTGTACTTGCTTTCTTCATCGAGATCTCAAATCTCAAAAATCACTGGGAAATCGGGGTACAGTACTTTAAAAATTATTTTAGCTCCCTGAGACTTGTATAAAAAATTTCTTTTAGACCTATCTGAAAGCCCTTAAAATCTGCTACAAAATATGGTTGGTTTCATGTTTGTACAAAAATTTGTCTAGGAGATAAGGAGGGAAACATTTCATTATGAGCCGAAATCACTCAAAATACCCTATAAAATGCTTATTTTAAGTTTTAAGTATTTCGTCCCTCCTTATCTCCTAGACAAATTTTTGTACAAATATGAAACCAACCATATTTTGTAGCAGATTTTAAGGGCTTTCAGATAGGTCTAAAAGAAATTTTTTATACAAGTCTCAGGGAGCTAAAATAATTTTTAAAGTACTGTACCCCGATTTCCCAGTGATTTTTGAGATTTGAGATCTCGATGAAGAAAGCAAGTACAGACTTCTTTTTTTCTATAATTCCATTCAATATCAATGGAAATGTTTATAAAAAATTTTTAAAATTTTTTCGACTTGTTTTAGAACGTAAAATTTTTTTGCTTCCATACTTTTTTCCGCGCAAAATTTACATTGTTTACTTTAGCCAATTATAAAAAGATAAATACTCGATAAAAGTGGTTTCTATTTATACTCATTTTAGAGGTAATCGATAGGACTTTAAAATTTATAGTAGACAAAAAATGATTTAGGGTTCGTACGTCGAGGAATTTAACGAAGTTTACTTTTTAAGCTCTTGCTTCCATACTTTTTTCCACCACTGTATTAACAGTTTTCATTAAAAAATAACTTGGAATATTTAAAATATAATTTTTTGATTTCAATATTTTATTTGCAAAAAATATTATTTTTAGGTAACCAACTAACTCTTTACTTCGCTTTTTTTCTTTAAATTCTCGGCGATGATTCATTCTTCTTTTTTACAAAGTCGAAATAAATAAATACATATCTTTAAGTTATATTCTAAGAGAAATTAATGTGGCTATGACATTTTTTATTAATTAGGCGAATTGACAGCCGATAAACCCAAATTATGTTCATATAATTATTTTTAATTAATTTTAAGTTATTGACAAAAAGTCAGTAACACCTAGAGGTAATTTTTTAAATTAATTAAAAAGAATAAAAATCCTTTAATTTTAATTAAAAAAACAAATATTCTCTTTACACAATTTTTAATTTAAATAAATCATTTCAATATTCTCATCTGATAATATTGCATTATCTCCCAGCCTCTCCCCAATCTTCTTTGCCATCATTTCGTTTTCTCCCATAAGTTGCATGGTTTTTAAAATTTTTCTAAAATCAACGAATATTTTAACATTTCCTTAAATTTAAGAAGCAACAAAAATATTAGGTAGACCGCAATATGGTTACTTTTTGAATAACCACTTCTCCATTTTATATTTTCCTTTTAGTTATAAAAAAAGGAAAATAAAATACCCAATTTAAATTTTTATCTTTTATTTCTTTTTAAAATTGATCACCTTTTTGTCAGAATAAAAATTCAATTATTTCCTAAATTTATATCAAAAAATAAAGCACATTAATTTATTTTTAGGGGGGATTTTGGTTATTTTCTTTGGAGCTGTTCTGAGAGTACAAAAAAAATTTTTTAATAATTATTTCTAAACTTTTCTTAAGGTTTAATAAAAGTTAAAATTAATAAAAGTTTGTAAGTCATTTAAGCCGTAATATCTACTACATATGTATATATCAACAACTCTATTATTGAGTTGTTAAGACACATAAGGGAGTTTTAAAATTTCTAAAGTTAATTATTTTAAAAATATTTTTAATTTAAACTTTTGTTTAAATAAAGGTGATTGATTAAATTAATATTTATTGATAATTATTTTATTAAAAAATTAAAAAAATTAATTACAAATATTTTTGTCTCAACAAATTTTCACCAATTTATTATCTTCTAATTTATTACTTTCTTTATTCTTTTTAAATTAATTTAATTAATAATTTCTCAAAAAAATATTTATTTTTAATTTCCGTTAATTTTTATTTACTATTTTTTTTCAATAATAACCTTAATTTAAATTTAAGTAAATGACTCATCAAAATAATTTATTAAAAGAAAATTTAAATTTAAAAAACAAAAAAGAAGAAAATAATTATTTAATTAATGATTCTGTTAAATTAGTAGCTTCTTCTAAAAGCCCGTTCCTGACACGACAAATTAATGAAAATATTTTGGAAATTAAAGGGGCGGAAATAGAAGAGGAAGGAAATGTTGAAAATAAAAGAAATAATTGGATAAATTTTAAAAATTTAAAAATAATTAAAAATAAAAACAACAATTTTAAAATGACTGGTAATAATAGGTAAATTAAATATATTATTTATTTCGTTTGGAGCTGTTCCGGGGATGAAAAATGAAGAATAACATTCTTTATACCATGAATCCGCTCCCTTCCGCTTTTTAAAATTCTGCATTAGTGTTAGACACGTTCGGTAATACCGCGGTACTACCGTCATTACCGGGCCGGTACTTTTCGATATGTACAACAGATATCAATAAGATTTTGGGAACCAGTACTGGCTCTTTCCGGCACTACCGGAAAAACCGGAAAAATCCATTTGCCCAACACTAGGTCCCATCTCTGCTTTATACCCACATCATGTAGATTTTCCTAAATTTCACCCCAAAATTTTCAATTTAAATAAAAAATTTAAGGAGAAAAGTTTGGAATAAAAAAATGGCTGGAGTTGGAATTATTGCTTTACTTCTTTTAACATGTAGTTTTGGAATTCTTGATTCATTTTTGGGTAACTCAGATAATGGAGAAGAAGAAGGAGAAGGGGATGAAGAAATTAGTGAAGAAGATGCTAAAGTAAACTTTTTAAATTGAATTATTTTATTGAATATTAGGATTATATTACTCTTTTAATATTTTAAAAAATAAACAAAAATTTCAAAATTAATTTCCCCCTCTCTTTAAAATCAGAATTATTTAAATCAATTTGGCTACATTGAGGAACAAGAAGGTAAATTAAAAATAAAATTAAAAAATAGATTTTTAAAATGTATAGGACGTGCTCGTGATGAAATACAAAAGCATAGAACGGCTGATCAAATGCTCGAAGATTTTTCTTTAGAATCTTTAAAGTAATTTTCTAAAATATTTTTTAAATTTTATTTTTTTTCTTCCAAAAAAGATCAGCAATTTCAAAATTTCAAGAATTTGCTGGTTTACCTTCTACTGGAGAATTAGATAATAGAACAAGAAAGAAAATGAAAAAGCCGAGATGTGGAATGCAAGATGTTGAAATGATTAGGGGAGGTAGAGGAGGAACTGGTTGGTAAATAAATACTTAGTTTTAGGAATAAAAAAGATAACAAGCAATCCATGTTTATTCCCTAATTTATAAGATTAGAGCTCGTCTCGATTTTTTGATAAAAACGGATCTATACTTCTGGCTAAACTCCAATGTAGAATAATATACCAATTAATTTTTTAATTAAAAGGTACAACATTAATGTGGAGAAAAAAGAGATTGACATATCGTTTAGAACATGCAACTAACGATTTGCCAACATATATGCAAAGGTGGATATTAGTAAATTAAAATAAATATTTTTTTATAAAAAAGAAAATCACTTAAAATGGCTTTTGATGCTTGGTCTCAACATATTCCATTAGATTTTGAAGAAAATAATGGATATGGAAATGTTGATATTAGAGTTCGTTTTGCTAAAAAAAGTCATGGTGATCCATGGTCTTTTGATGGAAGAGGTAGGAAAAGAGGAAAGAAAATGTTGGGATAAACATATTAATTTAAAAGGTGGTGTTTTGGCTCATGCTACATTTCCAACAGATGGACAATTACATTTTGATGATGATGAACAATGGGCATTTATGGATGCGGCAAAGATTGGAAGGTTTTAAAAAAATTAAATATTTTTTTTAAGAAGAGAGGAGGGGAGTGTCAATTAAAAATGAGGAATATTTAGTAGAATATTCAAAAAATATTCCAAAATATTTATTTTTAGTTATCGATATACAGATATGTTTTGGGTTTCTTTACATGAAATTGGACATGTTTTGGGACTTTCACATTCAAAAGTTGAAACAGCGGTTATGGCTCCATTTTACAAAGTATTTAAATTTAAAATAAATTTAAATAAAAAATTATTTTAAAAGGATCCATCAGAATTAGTTGATTGGAGAAATAATTATAAAATACCAGAGCTTACTCATGATGATATAAAAGCAGCTAAAGCTGTTTATGGTAAAAGAGATTGGTCTAGAAAAATTTTTATATTTAACAGGAAATAGAAATGGTCCAAAACCAGTAAGAAAAGATCCTCTTGTTGATATATTTGATAATAGCGAAGAAGGTGATAATGATAGACCGAGAAAAGGAATACCTGGTAATTATTAAATTAAAGAAATATTTTAAATTTAATTTTAGATAAAAATAATCCAGATAATGGTGAGAATGAAGAAGATGCATTAAGTAAAGTATTAAACGAAATATTTAACATATTTTCAAATAAAGGAATAAGAACGACAAACAATAATTCTAAAATTATTTTTATTTTATTTTTAACATTAACAATTTTTCTTTCAATTTAATTATTTTTTTGTTTGAGTTAACAAAATATAATATTGTACAAATAAATATATTTGAAATTTAAATCGCAGGATTTAATCTTTTTTAATTTGTAAATTGTGGGTCTATTTCCTTAAACTTATCGAATTCAAATTATTATAGACACACCTCAAGTATCTGAGGAGGTATAGGATGCTAAAAGTATTTCAAAATCCGAGTCACTGTCACTATATAGATTTTAAGGAATTTTCAAAATTCGTAACTTTGCAAAAATATATATACTCCACTTTCCCGTCTAATCCGTACCCCAAGGGTTTAAAAAACTGCCGCAGATTACGTTAAATTTAAAAAATTCCCCGAGAAGCTCGTTTGGGGACACCTCGTCTCCGGGCCCCAATAACTAATTTCGCAAACAAGTCCCCCGTAAAATCGGTCCCTGCCCCCCCCCTCCACGGCAGGGAATCGGAGTACACCTTTCTTGCAAAGTTACGGATTTTGAAATCAATATGTATTCTTTTAAAAGTGAATCCAAAAATTAAATCCTGTGACTAAAGAAGAAAAAGTACCGTGGTTGTGCCGGGTTATATTCTTATAAAATTGAGGTCATCAGAAAAAATGGAATTTAAAGTTCACTATGCTTTTCTTTGTCGATTACTTTGTTCTTTTCTTCTTTGTTATCCTCATTATTTAATATTAAGACTTCTTTTATTTCATTATCTAATTGTGTCCATTCCGGAATTATTCTCATAGCTGATTCTAATTTTGGTTCTTTTGTTTGAGGATTGTTACACTAAAAAACGAAACAGATTTTTAAATTAGTTTAAAATTTACCAAATCAATAGTTTTAGAATTCGTTTTGGAAGCATCATCACACCTGGCATAATTTAAAAAATTTACAGTTGAAGAATTTTCGAAAAAAATTGGAGTGGTTAAAAGAAAGACAGACTTAAAAATTAATTTTTCATTGATGAAATAACAAAAAATACTAACTATGTATAAAAGTTATATTTAAATAAAAATTTCAAAAATTACCAAGTTTCACACCAAAGCCATTCTTGAGGCAAAGAGTGTATTCTAACTTGATGTATCATATTATTTGGTAGATCTTGATCCAAATTTGAAAGAGAATTTGGATCAGAACTAAGCCCTTGATATTGCCCTCTAAGGCGATCACCAGCAGCAATTTGTCTAAATTTTAGAAGGTCCACAACATAAAGTGCGCTAATATGGTATTTCCGTCCAGCCAAATGAGAAGCCCAATATCCACTTTTCCAAAATCTAAATCCATCCATGGATGTTCTGCTATCACAAAAAGGTGTGTATCTAACAAAAATATAATAAAGTTAATTTTAAAAATAAAAAAATAATTAACCCATAAGGAGCTCCATGTAAATCAAGCTCCATTAATTCCATCATATCAGCACGGACAACTTGATCAGCATCAACAAAAATTATTTTCTTTACATCAAGAGGGAATAAAACATCCAAAAATAGAATTTTGTAACTGAAAAATATTAACGATTTAAAAATATTAAAATAGAAAACTAACCCCCACATAACTCTTTGTTTTTCAGTTTGTTGATGTAACCAACGTGGCCATTTATATTCGATTAATTGATAATCAAACCCGTAATGTTTACCCAAAATTGGAAGAGATTCCTATAAAAATTATTTTTTTGTAAAATATTTTATTAAATTATATACTCGAAATTGTGGAGAAAGGTAGTTGTTGAGAAGCCAGAATTTGACTCGATGTTTTGTATTTTTTAAGACCTAAAATTAATTTGAATTAAAAAAGAAAAAAATTAAATAAAAATATAATTGATACCGAAAGCATCATTATGCGCAAGAAACGTTCATATAAATGTCCAGAAGCCAAAGAAAAAATATTTATTACATCATACTTTTCACCACCCAATAATTTACTAAAAAACAAAAAAAAATCTTTTTAAAAAATTAAAAAAATACTTTGACAAATTCTCAACAACTTTTTTAGGCGCAAAATTGGACCATATTGAGCCCTCATCATCATCATCTTCCTCGTCCCTTTCAGATCGTTCACCTGCATTGTTTCCTTTATCACTTTCTTCACTTAACAAATTTCTTTTTTCCATTCCTTTCCGTTTAGCCACTCGCATTCTTATTGTTTTTCCAGTAAAGCTTTCAACCTAATAATGGGAAATATTTAAAATGAAATTTTATAAGAAATTAGTTAAAAAGTAGGCAAAACTTAGGAAAAAACCTAACAAAACAAAACTTTAAACTAGGCAAAATCTGTGTCAAATAAAAGATATGAAACTTACAAGAACGTGCAATTCTTCTAATTCTCCATTAGCATTGTTTCCTAATTTTGTCTTTTCTGCACCAACACTTCCTTTTATTTCATAAATTTCTTTGGAACGCCCTTCACGGAGACGTAATATCCAGGCACCTATTCAAATAAATTAAAAAATATAAGAATTTTATATTTTTGTTACCAGGTCCAGCTTTTAATTGAAAATATCCCAAATTAGCCATCACTATTGTATCAAACATTGCTATATTTGCACGTGTTCCTAACACAAACTGAAGACCTCTTGGAGGACTTCCATTTTGCTCATCGAAGCAATGGCCCTCAAGAAGAATATGTCGTAATTGAAAACGAGCAATAACTTCTTTTTGGACCTAAATAAAAAAAATAAATTTTTATTGAAAAAATATAATGAGACCAATGCCAAGCGAATATTGTCAAGGTCATGGTCAGACCATATTGGCTGCACCATCCACGCTTCTGGCACATCCAAATTTAATGTAAGAAGTTGTTTGTGAGGTAAGCCTTCAAAAAGAGCAACGTTAGGCAATAATTGTCCATCTTGATTAAAAGCAGGTGTGTCAAGAAGAACATAACGATAATAACTGAAAAATAAATTACAAAAAATTAATTTTTAAATTTACCGTTTTAAGGGAAGTTCAGTAATTTTAGATTTTGGATTCAAAGCCAAAGTTAAATCAACATTTAAAACTTTAAGTAATATTTGAAGAATTGGAATCAATTTTTGAGCTACACGAGAAATTGGATTAACAATTGCAACAATTTGGAATATTGGACGGTCATCATCTTTTGCCAACAAATTCAAAACACTTAAAAAATAAATCCACAATTTTGTTAAAATTAATTTACAAACCTTTCAAATTCCATTCCGACATCGATAGAATGGCGACGTTTTTGTATAGCAAAATTTTCAACAAAAGAAATAATTTGTAACAACGTATCAGAAGGATTTTTGACCTTAAAAAGCATTTTTAATATTTTTAGTTCGCATGTTAACTAAAAATTTTTAATCCTTTTCATACCTTTTTGTCATTCTTCTTCCACCCTTTAACCATTTCTGCAATTTTCTTGACACCCTTTCTTTCAGCTAAACGTTCAGCCAACGCAAAATCATCAAATCCAAAATTCTCATCCTTATCAAGAGGTCCATAAACCTTTAATATTAAAAAATTTTTTTAATAAAAATAATTATTTAAACAAACATTTGAATTAATAATAACAGCTATTTGCCCTTCAATTAAATTCAAATCATTAAGAGCAAATGCAGATTGAAGTGCCAATCTTTTTTCAACATTTCCATTCTTTAATTCAGCCAAAATAGGATCTATATTAATTCCATGTCCACCAATTTCTTTTAATAAATTTTCAACTGACTTTTCATTAAATATTTCTTTACTAATCTTCTCAATTTCTTCTAATCCAAGTAATTTATTTAATGCTCTTTTTGCTGGCGCAGAAGAAAGACGTGTCAATATTGCTTCACAGATGTGTGCGATTGTCCAAGAATTCTTTTTAATTTCAGGTCCATTGTAAATTAAAGTTAACCTCATATAATTGCTTTTCTTCAATGCTTTTAATGCATCACGTAATAATTGCTGTCCTTTAACTGAATTTAAATCTGCGACTAACCAAACAGTAAACCAATGAATTGATTCATCAAGCATTTCATCAGAACGAACCAAATAAAACCTTTCTTTTATCAGACAATTGAATCGATTCTGAGAGCTGAAAAATTAAAATCAAGTTATTAAAGTTAGGCCCGATAATATTGGACATTATAAAATTAGAAAACAATGTATTGAAGCGAGAAATTTTGCACACTATTTTTTAGGGGACACGCCCAAGTAAGCGCGAAGTCCTAACTAGCTGGAAAATTTCTGTACCTTAACGATTTTAGTACCGATCTCTTTAGTTCGATGAGAGGAATCGTGTAATACTTAAATTTAAAAGATTTCAAAATCTTGAAGCAAATGGCTTTGTGCCTACTTGGCCGCGCGTCTACCTTGGTTATGCGAGTTAATGAGGACACAATCGTTAAAAAATAAATTTATAGCACAAAAAATAAAACCTCATTTTTTCAAGCAAAGTATTATCTTCACACGAAACATCATCATTTGAAATTGAAATAAATGGTTGTAGTGTCTTCCTTTCATTAGTATCCTCATCATTATTTCCAATTAATCTGGGATTTAATCTAGGCAAAACATCTGGCCTTGACATAACCCAATTTAAAATATTTTCTTTATCTGTTAAACTTCCATCCATAACTGCTCGTTGCAAAGAACTTGTTTGTCTCATAATTGAAAAAAGTATTCCATCCTCAATTCTATCAGAAGATTCTAATGCTGAATTATCTAATGGAATTCCATTAACTAAAACTGTTGGCAATTTTTTAAGTCCACTACGACGATAAAAATTAATTCCAGTTGAAAGATTTTTGCTGTAATCAGAATTAAGACCAAAAATTTTGTCAAAATCAGAATCTTGAAAATGTACTTTAAAAAATTTGTGGACTTCAGAAACTTCAATTGGCGATGACAATTCTTCGTGAATCTAATAAAAAAATAAATATTTAAAAAATAAATCTAAAAGAAACCTTCAAAATAAAATGAACTGCTTTTAATATTCCTTTTTTTTCTTTTATAAATTCAAAAATATTATAAATAGCAACTTCAACATTTGATTTTCCATCTAATGAAGGTGTATCATCAATAACAAAAATAAAACCAATTCTTAAAGGAACTTGGTGCATGTAAAGAGAAAATGTTGTTTTTAATATATCACGAGAAGAAGGCAAAGAAGGATTTAAAATACAAACCTTTAAAGAAATTTTTTATAAAATTTTTCTTTTAATTTACTTACCAGAGAAAATAAATTTCGAGCAATTGGTCGAATCATTCCTGGGAAATATGGTTGAAGAAGTAACCGAACACTATTGCCCCAATCAGAATATTGTTGATCTTTGTCTAGATTCTATTTTAAATTAAAAAAAAATTATTTTTATTTTAAATGTATTTTTAAGTAAATAATTCTCAAGGGTTAACATAAGTAAAATTAAGTTTTTAAGATATTAAAAATTGGGAAATTCTTTAATGGTGATAAAATCCAACTTTCAAAGGGCCCGTCAGCAGAAATAAAAATGGGGTGAATTGAAGTCTCGCTCATAATTTTTTAGCTTATATTTAAAAAAATATAATAAATTATCAAGAAAAGAACAAAAAAATATACAAACATTTATCCAATGAGGATCACCATCTCTAAAATCCAAAGCCCAAGTATTTGACTTATCTTCTGACAAATCAATTGTTTGTAAAATATTTAAATATTCACGCTTAAAATTAAAAAAAAACTTAATTTATCTAATCAAAAAAAACTTTATATCCAATTTGTTTAAAATAATTAGCAAGTAAGTGTTCTTGTCTCAATGTTTCAAAAAGATGAAATAAATCGATAGAATCAAGATCATGTCCAATATTAATTCCATTTATCCACAGAGCAGATTCTCCTTCAGAAAGTTCTAATTCTTTATTCCAATGATGTTGGTTAAATAAAATTTCTTCACGAAATGATTGACTGACTTTGATTTTTGTTAACGATCTGAATAAAGGAAATTAATTTCAAAGAGCTTATAAAAATTTTAAACAAATCCCACCTTGATTTATAAGGGAAATTTTGCGATAAATCTATAAGTGAAGAAATAACATTTTCAGGCGAATTATTCATTATATGTTGGGCTGCCTTAAATAAAAATATAATTGAAATCTTTTAAAAGACAAAAACCTGAAATCCAATATCTTCAAGTTCGTCCTTCTCCAAAGGCGTTAAAATTTCTAAATCATTTAAATCAGATTGTTCTCTAAACTTTTTATTTAAAAATTTAAATAATTTTAAAAATAACCCATTATTTTCTTTTTCATTATTTACCAAAGCCAAATCATCTAAAGCTTTATATTCAGTACTTTTAACAGCCAACTCAACTCCATAACCAGATAAAGAAACCAGAGGGGTTGAAATAGCCTTTTAAAAAATAAAATTATTTAAATTTATTACAGAAAAAACCTTTTTATCAAAATGTCTAAAAACATATTTAATTAATCCTTTATTAGACATTTTAACAAATTCTTTATGAAATTGATGGAAAAGTTTTGGTCGAGCAATATTAGCATACAAAACAATAAGAGAAGTATTTGCTTCAGGTAAATTAATTGGATAAATATGATCAATAGCATAGATTGGGCTGGATTCTCTAAATTGAAATTATTAAAATTACAATAAAAAAATCAAAGAAAAAATAAAACGAGGGAAATTTTCTTTGTCTAAGAAATTACGAAATTTTCAAAGATATAAGCCTTGAACAAACGCTTAGCTTTGATCTTAACGAAAATTACGATTAACAATCCGGTCGAGGTCCAATTTTTAAAAACTATATTTTAATTAAGTATTAAAGAAGAAATCCGTCATATCAAGAAAACAATTTTTAAAAATAAAAGAAAACCTTTCATTTGCCTTTTCAAGTAATTTATCAATTTCCGAATATTTACAACTAACAATTCCATGTATTTCATAAAAGGGGCTGTCATCTGAACATTCTTTTTCTTTTAATTTTGGTAAGAGACCATTAGCAATCTTAAATTCAAAAAATATAAATAAATATTTAAAGTTTAAATAAACTTGTCTATGTAATTGAATACGCGCAGAATAAAGCCTTAAAGACAAAGATAACCGAAGAAGAGAAATTCCAGACTGCCCATCAGGCAAAAGATTTTCAGCAATTTTAAGTGCCAAATTAAATTCTTGTTGATAATTATTTAATTCCATATTTAAATATTTTTCATCCAAACATTCCTCCACAAAATTCCAAAACAAATTCCCGTTAGAAATTGTATTTGCAACAAATTCGCTGAAAAATACAAACTTTTACAGATAATTTATTTGAAAAATACCTAGTTTCTGCTAAAAACGATGTTTGTGTCCAATTCGCATCAAGTGAGCTTCTAACTATTTTATAACTTTTAATCACATTTGTACAACAGAAAAGAATAAAAAGTTGAATGAATAATTTACTATTTAGATTTAAAATATTTTTAAAAAAATCGAATTTATACATTAAAAATATCTGAAAAATATTTAATTAAAATATAAAAAATTTTGATGAAAATTTCATAAAAATGTTAATGAGAATATAGGAATAAATTAAATAAATCTGTTTCTGATTTATTTAAAAAGTGCAAAATATTCCACGCGATTTGTAAAAAAACTAATTTAGCATAAAATATCCGGTTAATAGTGAACGACATATCTACGTTTTCGTCGATTCGCGGCGAATAACTACTTTTATTCGCGAACGACTATTTTTTAATACAAAACGCCAGAACTACGTTAATATCGATGTTTTGCGCCAAACGATTGCGAATCGACTTTTTTGTGTCTCTTTTTCTCTGCTCTGTCATTATATTTCCTTTCTCTTTTTCTATTAATTTTCTATGTCGTTGTCTCTCCATTGGAATTCTCTCCATTGGACTTTCCTCTTAACATTTCTCGTGAAATGCTCCAACAATCCAAAATTCTTAAAGTGATCCGAAAGAATTTGGTCAAGAAGTGTATCGAACTTTTTGATGAAATTGCTGAAGACAAGGACAACTTTAAGAAATTTTATGAACAATTCAGCAAGAATCTTAAGGTTTTTTTAAATGTTTTTTTGAAAATTATTTGTTCTTTAGTTGGGTATTCACGAAGATTCTGTCAACCGTAAAAAGCTTGCCGAATATCTCCGTTACAACGCTTCCTCTTCTGGCGATGAACTTGTTAGCTTGAAGGATTATGTTGGACGAATGAAGGAGAATCAGACTTGCATTTATTATATTACTGGCGAGTCTAAAGAAGTTGTTCAAAACTCAGCTTTTGTTGAACGTGTTAAGAAGCGAGGTTTTGAAGTTATTTATATGGTTGATCCAATTGATGAATATTGCATTCAACAATTGAAAGAATTTGATGGAAAGAAGTTGGTTAGCGTGACTAAAGAAGGTTTGGAGTTGCCAGAAAGTGAAGAGGAAAAGAAGAAGTTTGAAGAAGATAAAGTTAAATTTGAGAAACTTTGCAAAGTTATTAAGGTATTTAAGATTTTGTTTAAAGAATTTTGGAATATTTGTTTTATTCTTAGTGTTAGGATATTTTGGACAAAAAAGTTCAGAAAGTGTCTGTTTCAAATCGATCGACTCCGACCAAGATGACAAAACTGCCAAAGATTTGGTTGTTTTGCTCTATGAGACAGCTTTGTTGACTTCTGGCTTCTCTCTTGAAGATCCACAACAACACGCTTCACGTATTTACCGAATGGTTTTTAATGTAAAAGGTTTTGATGGATTGATCTCCTCGTTGACTTTGTTTTTCTTTAAATTTATTTTGTTTTGTCGTCCTTATAATTATTTACTTTGTTTTTGAATCACGGATACATAAATTAATTTCACAAAAAAGTTTGTCTTGATTTTTAATTTGAGATGTGTTTTAGGGGAGGTGGGGAAACAAACGGCAGGATCAAGGTAAGCAGCACATCTGATGATGGAAAGACTTTCCGGATTTTCAATGAAAATTTCACTCATTTTCCTGTTAAAGGCTTTCAATCCACTTTTGGCTAAAGCTGCTCTGACAAATCATCTCCTCTTACTTCTCCTCTCCATCTAGTAAGAATATATGTGGAAAAATCCCTAAAAATTACAGAAAAGGGACTGAACATTTATAAAAATGGAAAATTGCAAATTCCAAAGGAGAGACTACACGAACGAAAATTAATAGAAAAAGAGAAAGGAAATATAATGACAGAGCAGAGAAAAAGAGACACAAAAAAGTCGTTTCGCAATCGTTTGGCGCAAAACATCGATATTTACGTAGTTCTGGCGTTGTGTGTTTAAAAAAAAGTCGTTCGCGAATAATTGTAGATTTTTTTAAAACGACTTTTTTTCCTTAAGAAAAAGTCGATCGGAGCAGTTCAACTGAGTCCGCACGATTGAGTCCCCACGATTGAGTCCGCACGATTGAGTCCCCACGATTGAGTCCCGGCACAATTGAGTCCCCACGATTGAGTCCGCACGATTGAGTCCCCGTTGTATATACCTCAATTGAGTCCCCGTTAAAAATTCCCGGTAGGGGACACTTGTGTACCGGCCGTTTGTGTACCGCCGGTTGTGTACCCACCCAAAGGGGGACGTTTGTGTACCCGCATTATTTTCCTAGATTTTTTTATTGTTTTTTTTTATTTTTTTGTTTTTCTTTTGGGGTTTGCAACTAATTTTGTTAATTAGTTGACCGAGCATCCACTCAAGTCCATCCGAGCACTGAATTTTCTCAATGAGGACGAGAGGGAGGACGAGAATCTTGTGTAGGTAAAAGTTTAATTTTTATTTTTTAATTTTAGATTTTATATTTCAGGTTGGTCTAACTTTGCTCATCACGTGTCGGACTTCATCCCACGGCTGCAACGATGGGAAATTTGAAAAGGTTTGGAATTTTTATTTTGTTTTTCGTTTTTATTTTTAAAATTTTTTAGTTGATTTTCGTCAGTTTCTGACTGGCGATTTTCAAGTTCACAGTTTCTGAAGGAACGAAGGTGGTGAACTTAGGAGAACAAAAAACGAAAGAAAGGCCCTTCTTTGGCACAATAATTGAAGCTAGACTTTGGTTTTTTTTTAATTTTTTTGATAAAATTTTTAAAAAATATTTTTTTATTTTTTTTTTCACATTTTGATTTTCTCCCGTATCCAGGTAAATTCTGCCGGAGTCCGGAAATTAGGAAGGAGTTTTTACGTTCGTAAATTAGATAGTTTCCCCTACCCTCCATAGCAGCACAAAAAGTTTTTCCAGCGAAGATTCTGTTGGTCAAAATTTGTTCAGAATCATTCAATCAACTTGATTTTGGTCTTATTCAACTCATCTCGTCGATCCCTTTCGAATGAGCTATTTTTTGTTTATTCGAATGTTTCGCAACAAAAATTCCCCATGGAATTCCACCAAAAAATCCACCATTTCGAGCCCCATATCTCGGCGAGAACTTGTTCAACAATGTTGATTTTGGTGTCATTCGACTCACTACTTTCGAATGAGCTGTCATTCAAAAAATCTCTCGATATCCCTCCTAATCCCCAAACCCACAATATCCATCTTAATCTCTCCGAATTTGTTGATATCTGCCTTAATTCAACCGATATCCCCGCTTAAATCTACTTATATCCCTTGATATTCACCAATATCCATCTTGATACCTCGATGTCGCATACAAGTCCCCTGATATTAACATTAATCCCTCCAAATCCCCAAATATCCCTCTTAATCTTTTTTAATATAATTAAATCTAGGGGACTCAATTGAGGTATATACAACGGGGACTCAATCGTGCGGACTCAATCGTGGGGACTCAATTGTGCCGGGACTCAATCGTGGGGACTCAATCGTGCGGACTCAATCGTGGGGACTCAATCGTGCGGACTCAATTGAGGTGTACCGAAAGTCGATATGTCGTTCACTACCGGTTAAGGACGATTCAGTATCACAATTCGCTGAAAAAATATTCAGTATAGCCGATTCAGTATCGCCGATTCAGTATCCGCCGATTCAGTATATGGCCATAACTTTCCTGATATTCGACCGATTCGAATAATTCTCATATCATTCGAAAGGTCTCGAGATTCGACATCTTTTTCATAATTGGCCCGATCAGATCTGATGATCACAAAAAAAGTTACAGCGTGAAAACCGATTTTTTATGCCTGTGACGTCGTTTATCAGTGATAACTTTTTGTAGAGTGATAAGATCAGATCAGTCCAATCATGAAAAAGATGCAGCACCCCGAGGCCTATCAAATCATATATAAAAATTCGTACAATATTGATCGAGCAAAAAGTTATGGCCAAAAACCCCAAATACTGAATCGGCGATACTGAATTGGCGATACTGAATTGGCGATACTGAATCGGCGATACTGAATCGTCCCCTACCCTAAAATATCGGTGACCGACAATTGGACTGGGGACAATTAGACAATTGATCGTGATTACCTGCAGTCAGTAATCCTGTTAATATTTGGAAGGAAGCATATTTTGTAGCATGCGTCAGGCAAAAGCTTCAGGGTATCCCGGAGCCCGAACCCTTCCCGGACAAAAAATCGAATGCAAAATTTTTTGCATTTTATACGTCAAGAAAAAGGAAAAAAAACATTTTGCCAACATTTTTTAAAATCCCGCAAAACCCGCAATTCAAATTAAGGATTGGGCTTGTGGTGAGCTGCTATTTTAATTTTTTCTTATTATAGTCCTGAATAGAAAAAATTCTTATATGATTTCAACCTCATAAAATTCTCTTTACAAAAATATCAAAAGGAATTTGTAAAAATAAATTTAAATTTTTTGTTCTTTTAAAAGTGATTGAAGTAAAATATTATTAGACTCGACAGAATACAGGGGGATTTAATATGTAGTTAATAATTATTTTAAATATACATATTTATGATAAAATAAAAAATTTATTTCTAATACAATAATTTATTATTCTTTTTAAATTTTCAATAATTTTTTTACTAAAATACAATTTACACTTTATGAAAACTATTGAAATTTTGATTAGTTGATTGAATAAAACTTCGAATATTCTTAAAAACATAAACAATTTTTAAAGGTTCCTCCTCAATTTCTGAAAAATAATTTTAAATAATTAAATAAATTTTTTAATTAAAATTTCAAATAAAAATTATTTTTATAAAATAAACTTGCCATTCTTCTCATCTATATTGATAGGATTTACTGTTTTACTTTTATTCCCATTTGTTGTTGTTAATATAGTTGAAAATAAAAGAAACAAAAAATAAATTTTGGTTTTATTTTTCATCAAAAAATTATTTAAATAAAAATAATTTCAATTATTTTTTTAAGTTTATTTGTAAAGACTTCATAAAAATATATTATATACCAGGGATCTAGCCGACATAAAAATGAAATTTTCGATTTCCCGAAATCGGGATTTCGAACCAAAAAACCGTCGGGAATTCTCGATTTTCGGGAATCGGGTCGGCGAGATCCTCGATATATGCTTATGTATTGTTTTTAAATACCTACCTAATATTAAAATTAATAAAATAAACCATTTTATAAAATAATTTTGTTATTTTTAAATTTATGTGAATATTTAAATATTAAATTCTGATTCATTTTTATTATTGACATTTTTTCGAAAAAAAGAGATTTGCATTTTTAAAATAATGTAAAAAATATTTTAAATTTATTATGAGTTTATTTACCTAGGTATATATAATTTAAATATTTTTCTAGATAATATATTAAACGCTTAGAAAAATTGAAATTTGGGAGAAATAATTAGATTAAAATTTAAAATAATACTAGTTTTTTAAATAAAATTTTATTTACTACTTTAAATTAAAGTTAATTATTTAGAAAAATAAATTGTGTATATTTCGCTAAAATTTAGAAAAAATTATTATTACATCTCTTCAATCAAATATGTTCAAAATCAAGTTTACAACCTCCATCCATTACAGATTTTATTGCCAATTCCTTTTAAAAAAATTAATATATTATTTTTTAAATTAAAAAAACTTTAGTTTCATTAATTTCTTTTAATAATTCTTCTTTTCTTCCACCAATATCAATTATTGCATTAAATAATATTTCTTTTAAATTTTCAGAATTTCTTTTCATAATTTCAGCTACTAAATCGATATTAACCTTTTTAAATTAAATTTAAATTTAACAAAAAATAAAAATTAAAAACCCCTTCTTCACTATCTTTCCAACAATCATAATCTGTTACAGCAGCTAAAGAAGCATAAGGAATGCCCAATTCTTTAGCTAAAACTACCTAAAATATTTAATTTAAAAAATTTTTTTTATTGTGATTGGGAGGAATTTACTATATCTCCAGGAATACCCCCCCCCGTTAACTTTTCAATTACATACTAAAAAGTGGGACTGTAATTCAATATGAGGGCCTATTTCAGGAAACACTTTAGGTAAAAATTAACGGGGGAATTAATATTTCAACCCATCCCTGGCATGGGGAACTATTCGAGGGTGGGGAACTAATCAAGTAAATACAGTACTTCAGGGCAAAGTGTCATTCCAATAAGATCAGCCTTCCATTGACGAAAAACCTCACTTTCAGCCCTCGTAGAGAATCTAGGCCCTTCTACACAAACAAGAGTTCCTTTTGTTTGGTAATTTAATTTTGTTTTTGAAAGGGAAGAAATTAAAATCTTTTTAAAAATTAATTTAATTTTAAATTTTAATTTTTAAAAACTTGTCTCATTTTTTCATTAAATGTTGGATACATTGGAATATGACAAATACCCTCAGGATGACCAGGCAAACCATCATAGAATGTTTGTGAACGTTTTGTTGTTCTAATTGTGTTATAAAATTTATTAATAATTTAGTAATTTAAATCAAAATTAGTTGGTAAAGAAATATAATAGGTAGGTATATTTGGAAAATATCAGCAAGGGAAAAATTTTAAAAATTTTTGTAATAACCCCTCAATAAATCAATGTTTGGAATTTAATTTTTTTTTAATCTTTATTTAATCTTCACAAGCCTGTCAATAAAAGAATCCAAAACGGCAAAATGTCCGGGGGCTAATTCTTCTCGAAGTGATCCACAAGCAGTCACAGCAATTATTACAGAAACGCCCGCCTTTTTAAGCGCCCAAATATTAGCTCGATAATTAACATTTGTTGGACTAATATAATGACTACGTCCATGTCTAAATAATTAAGTTTAAATATTTAATGAACCTAATAAATATTGAGAGCTGAGGGATCGAGACTATATATTTTCTATATTAATACCTACATATAATCAAATTTGGCTGGATTAAAAGAGATCAGTGGATTTATGAGAAATCGGGGATTTCAAAGGATATCGTAGAATTAAGGGTCGCTCACTGCCTATATTACTCACTACCTAAATTTATATTGCCGAAATCACACGGCACTCGTTTTTTACTCCTTTTACGGAGAAAAAACTGGATAATGAGTTCTTAATATGCTGGTTCCCGTCAATCATTTAAAATTTATCCCTATTTTCAATATTTTTAATTATTATCTCCAAAAAATCACCGCGAGAGTATAACACAAGAAACACCATTAATATTTCCTTCAAGCAATATATCAGAAGGATTTCCAAAAGGGGTAGTAGCAACATTTACTTCTTTGGTTTCTGTCATAATATCAGAATCTTTTATAAATCCTGTGCCTCCAATTATGCCTACCTTTAATTTAAAAATTTAAAAGTCGGAATTGGCGTTTATTTTTAACAGGTCTCATTGTTGGCTACTACATACATATTAGGGTTTTACCGTAAATAAAGAAATCTCATATTTTATATGTAATTTGTTGAGGCTAAATATTAACTTACTTTAAAAGTCGAATTCATTGTAATTATGACAAATTAATAAAATATTAAAAATTAAATAAGAAATTATTTAACAATCCTTTAATTAAAATAATATTTAATAATTATTATTATTCCCCCTTTAAATTTTTAAAATTTTACATAAAAGCTTTTAATTAAAATGAGGACATAACAGTTATAGGAGGGGGGATAACCAAAATGATGAAAAAACAAATAATATTTACTTTTTTCAAAACGGAAGATTTTAAATGTTTTTATTTTAAATAAAAATTCTGAAAAGATATTGGAAGAAAATTTAGATAAAAATCTTTTTTTTTAGATTTTTATAAAGAAAATTAAAAAAAGGAGAGGGGGATTATTCGATTTATTTGATCACCGTTTTTATATAAAAAACATTTTTTAATTTTATGTAAATGATTTTTAAATTTATCAGATATTAAAATTACTAAAATCGAAGTCTAATAAATTAATAATTAATATTTTTGTGTTGCGATTTTACTTAAGACTTTTTTTAAAACGGAAGATTTTTAAATTTTAAAGTAGTAGACAATTTGTTTTAAAAAACTATATTTATTTATTTTTTATGTGAACACAGTTTGTGTGTCTATGTATTTTATGTATACAATCAATAGATTAAAATAAAATATTTAGTCACTAACAAAAAAAACTTTGGCTCAACAAATAATGAATAATGAAGGGGGAGGGAAGGGGGGGGGGTAAAAATGATGTTAAGTACAAAATATTTAGTTGATAACATTTATATTTTTCTATTAGAAAGAATATGAGAGGCAGAATAGGCAGAATATCTAGGCAGAATCCTGCTTGGGATCCCATTTTTTAAAAAAAAACTACTATGTAGTAAAGGATGTAAGAGCTTTCTTATTAGTTGGGTTTTCACAATAATTTATCTTTGTAGAAGATTATGGCAATTTAATGAATAAAATAATTTTTTATTAAGAAGGTATTTTAGTCAGAAAGTGTTTCTGTACACAAAGTGTTTGTCAGATTGATCGGAAGGCGTTATGTGATTTCATAAGAAAAATTTCCTTAACGCCAAAAAATCTGCGCCGAATTGTCTATTTCAATTCCCCCTACAAAACCTATACCTTTTGGATTCAAGTTTTTAGCTAAAACTTGAGGTCAAAAGGTTTAGGTTTTGTAGGGAAGACGGTCGAAGACAACTCGGCGCCGACTATCTGGCGCCGATATTTTTGTTCTCAAATTTTTCTTTGCTAAAATTTGGTGTCCATTAAAGAAAAATCCTTATATCGTTAGCTTGCGAATGGTGTAAAATTTATTAATAAAGTTTGTTAATTTTAAAAGTTTTAGTTAAAGAAATAACTTCGGCGCCAAAGTTATTGGCGCCGAATAGTCTTTTTAATCCAAAAGGTTTAGGCTTCAATAGGTTTAGGCTTTTTATGAACATTTCGGCGCCGACAACTTATCGGCGCCGTTGGTCGATAACTTTAATCCACATTTCGATTCATGAACAGTATCGGAAATTCATTTTAATTATGAAATAATTTTTTTCTTTTAAAAAATAAAATTTTAATCTATCTTTAAGTTTTTTAAAAATTTGTATAGTTTTGCCGTTGAAGTTGTTGAATTAACTGAAATAATTTTTGAATTTCAGAAAGTTATAAGGGGAAATTTTTTACATATTTTTTTACTTTTCAGGTTTATTTTTAGTCATTTTTAATTTTCTTGCTCCACAATAGACACAAGTTATTTTTTTAATCATCCAAGGGATTATTGCGCTTTGAGCAATTCTCTGAGAAACTGGTTTTTATTTTAACTTATATGTTTTTAAATGTTAAGTAAATATCCAATGATGTAGCAACGGTGGTTCAGTGGTAGAATGCTCGCCTGCCACGCGGGCGGCCCGGGTTCGATTCCCGGCCGTTGCAAACATTTTTTGTTTTTATAGAATTAAGTAACAGATTTTTGAATAATTTTTATTCATAACTTTAAAATTATTAATTATTATTTTTTATTTCCTTTAAATATTTATATAAAACGCCAATCAAAAAAATATTTTTTAAGTGGCAAAACTAAAAAAATCCCTTTACCTGTTGTGCTTTGCTTATCCAGCAAAGAGTTAATCCTTATTTATACCGACAAAAGGGGAATTTTTATTCAAATTAAAAAAGCAAGAAAATTGCTTTGGACATTCTACAAAAATTTTTCCAAAGCAAAATAAGGGGGGGATATGGAGGCCAAATAAATTTTTCAGTTCCTTTAACTAAAAGAACCGCTTAAGTAAACAAAATATAAATATTTTTTAAGTTTTTCATGAGCAAAAAAATATTTAATTTTTAAAAATAATTATACAAAATTTCTTTTTGAAAAAATTTTTTAGAAGAAATTATGAAAAATTTCGGCGTGGACACTAATAAAGAGAATTTTTTTACTAATTTTCAGAGTTGTTTTTGAATGTTTTATTTGTTTTCTTTTCAAAAAAGGATCTAGGATTAGACTTATTTTATCTAAAAAATTTTTTTGATAAAAAAATCTAGGAATTTACATGTGGTGATGCCCTGCAAAATTTTTTTGATAAATTTTGAAAATATTTCTTAATTTATGCCTCAGAATCTGAATTAGGGACTTTGGTATCTATTTCTGATATAATCTCCTCTAATATATATTTATTTAATGTTATTATTTACCTATCTAAATATCTATATATTTTTAGTAAAACAACAAATTAGCACACAAATACATAAACAATAGAAAATCTAAATATCTTCCTCTTCCTCCTCCTTTTCTTCTTAGTTTATAATCTGACAATTTATTATTAGTTTTCATGGCATTTGTCTTCTTCCATTTTCTGTTGTCCCCATTTTTGGATTTAAAGAATTAAAAGAAAGGAAAAGAAAATTTTTTGAAAATTGCAGGTGTTGTTGCATAATTGTCCGAACATTTTTATGGCATTTTATTGTTTATATATTTGTTAAATATTTTGGTTAAATTATTTTTAAATATATTTAAAATTATTTAAAAATAGAAAAAAATCCCCTTCTGTAAACTAAAAAAATAATAAAATAATAATTCTTATTAATGAAATTATTCTCCTAAACAAAACATCCAAGACGGTTCTTTTCCTAATATGTACATATTTTTTAAATAAATTCTTCGAGCTACATATTGCTGAATTCGAATTCGATATAATATATATTTTTGAATTAATTAAAATTATCAGAAATATTTTAAAATAAATATTCTTAATTTAGATCATTTAATTTTAATTTTTAAATTAATTTACATATAAAAATTTATTTGTTAAATTATTTTTCCTGAAATTTCCGTTAAAGAAATTTGATCCCAATAATGGTATGTAGATTTTCTCTTTTCTTCTTCTTTTTTTAATTCTCATCATTTCTTCCATTCTTCAATCCCGCCAAGTAATAATAAGAGGTTTTGTAAAGAAAAGTCAAGAAAATAATAAAGCATTTAAATAAAATGAAGGAAAAAAGCCAATTAGAAAGAGAAGAAAAACATGAATTGGAAGGATTTGGGAAGAAAAAAGGAAGGAAATTGTTAGGAATAATTTAACATTTTCACAGTAATTTTAGGGAAAAATGGGAGGGACTAAAAATTTATTAAAGGAAATGGATTTTCAGCTTCAATGAATTTTTAAGTTGAAAAAAGGGGTTCTATAACGGCAATATATCTTTTTATTTTTTATAAATATTTTAGAAAATAAAGATTATGTAATAAATTTATTTTTTGAATATTAAACCAGACTATATAATGAACATGGAGTTTGGTATCCGTATCCGATATTTACGGCGGATACAGGCGGATTTCCGCAGGCGTTTTTAACTTATCCATATCCTATCCATTACCAAGCCTGTATTAAACAATTATTTAAATATCCTCCAATTTCACATAAGTTTAGATCCGATCCATTTATTACTTTCAAATTATAAACTAATTTATTTAAAATATTTAATGTTTAATAAATGGAAAGTACAAGTTGGAAACCAAATGTTAATAGTTGGTCGTGTGAAGGATTCAATCAAGAACAGGTTATTTTAGAAGAAAGTATTATAATCAAGTTCTAGATCACTACTATTACCTATTTTCGAGACCGCGTTGTATTTATTTTTTATAATTATATTTTTTACATTTAAATTGATTTAATTTTGGCAAAATCCCTAAACTTTTTGTTTAAAAAAACGATTGAAAAAAATTTTGTAAAGGAGGGATTTTTAAATTATTCGGGAAATATGTGAATTTTAAACCTTTTATTAAATTTTTAGATTAATTTTGTCTGTCAATGCTTATTTCAATGGGATGAAGGAGAACGTTTAGTTAAAGTTTTTAAAAAGAATTTTTATCTATTTATTTATTTTTTAAATTTAAATTTAAAGTTATTTTCAACAAATCCCCATTTATTATCCACTCCATATATTAAATCCTCAACAGTTTTGAAAGCTTATTTATTTGTTTTATTTCATAACAGACAATTTGAAGCATTCTTTAAAGTGATAAGTGAAAGCAAATTTGAGCCTTCTCACCATTCAGATCTTGTTAAACTTTGGTTTGTTTAAATATTTAAATTAAATATGGAAAATAAAGTTAAAATAGGGCTGCGATTCGTACTTACCGTATATGCTCTAATAATTACCCTGGGTAATTATTGTTTCAACCTCTTGCTGGAGGGAGTAATTAATAGAGAGGGGGTAATTATTTAAGAGAGGGTAATTAATAGAGCATATACGGTATTTTTTAAGTAAACGAATTTAAAAACCACTTTTGGTTGAAATAAATTAAATTTAACTTTAAAATTCTCAAAATTTTGCCTACGGCGCAAGTGAATTTTTTGGAATTTTTGAAGTGGAAAAACAATTGATATTATAAGAAACTTATGAGAATTAGATTTTTAAATTGTAATTTTATAGGGTACTTCTAAATATTTGTAAAAATTTTTTCAGTGTACTTACAAATTAATCTTTTTTTTGTATTAGAGATTAAGTTAAATAAGTTAAATTAAATTAAAAGCTACCTACCTTAGTTAAAATAAGGTGTATCTATTTATTGAACTTGGATTTTCCTTATACATTCCTAAATATTTTTAAAAATGGCTAGTAAATCCTAATATTTTAAGTTAATTTTTCTTTAAAAAAGGTATGATGCTAAATATGAAGAAGATAGAAATAAAAAATTAAAAGAATTAGTTCCTGTAGATAAATACAGAATCAGAAAAAAGAATCCTCCGCCTAGAAGTATTTGGGATGGAGATGAATTAATTTATTCATTCAGAAAAGGTGCTAGAGAGGTAAATAAAAATATTAATTAACTAATTTTGGTACGAGCTTATAAGCACTGCTCACAAATCTCTTTACAAAAGAATATCAAAAAACAAATGTTTACTTAAACTAAATATATGTATTTTTAAATTTAAGTTACTTAAAGAATATTACAATCAAAATAGATATCCAAATTCTGAAGAAAAACGCGAACTTATAAGGAAAACGGGTTTAACAAATACACAGGTAAGAATAAAATTTAAATAATTAAAAATTATTTTAAGATATCAAATTGGTTTAAAAATCGAAGACAACGTTCAAAGGGCGAAAGGCGAAAGTAAAAAAATATTTCAAAAATAATTTTATTTACCTACTATATATAATTTAATAAAAATTTATAAATATTTGTAAGCACAAAATTTCTAGGAAGGGTTCCTGCTGCCTAACTTCTCTCTCTTATTTAACTTTTAATTTCAACAAATTATTAGAAAATTTTATTTTCATTAGATACCTTTCTTTTATCTGAAATTTACACAGATTACCTAAACATTTTTTATAAAAATAAATTTTTATTTTTCTATCAAAAAATATGTATATTTCCCAAAAATTTATTCTTTTCAAAATTAATTTATTTATTTAATTTTCCTTTAATTATTTTTATCTTTCATTCTTGCACCAAACGAGTATTTCCAGATGGATCTTGTATACATTTCCAAAGACCATGTCTATCAGATTTTTGTCCACCAACCGGAATTCTGTCTCCCATTAATGAGACACAAGCAACTACCTTTAAATTTATTTATTTAATCTTTAAAATTGCTAAAAGGGGGGAATTTTCGAATTAGAAAACTTTTTTTTAATTAAGTATATACAGTAAATACTCTAATATATGCTTTGGGCTTTAATTTTTCAATAGTAAATTTTGAAAAAATTATTTTCCCAAAAAATTCCCACCCATTCCTCCTTAGAGTATTTACGGCATGTCTAAATTTATTAATTATTTAAATACCTTTGTTTGCCAATAATTATGGTGAACATCGCAACGCATAATAAATGAACGATAAGTCTTTAATTTAAATTAATTTTAAATTCAAAATTCCCCCCTACCCATTCCTCTCCATTTCTATATTCCTTTCCTTGATGAACACAAACACCTTGTCCATAAATATTTGCAATTAAAGCGAATAAAGTAATTAATGTTAAAATTGTTTTAATTTTAGATTCCATTTTTCTTTTGAATTTAATTATATGTAATCCCAAATAGCTTAGAAAAATAATTTATTTTATATTAGTAAAAGACGATAAAAAATTATTTCATAGTCGAAGATAAGATGTCGTCTGATATGTATTAACTAGTGACCGGCACCGGACCGGATTAATCCTGAAAAATCCGACCGGATCCGGTCCGGCTCAAGTTAAAAACCCGGAATCCTAGTCCGGAAAAATCAATTTTGCCGGCCACTAGTATTAACCGTCCCTCGAAAATTAACAGACTTAAAGAAGTATGTATTTGGTTATACAATGGATTAGATCTGAAGAAAAATTAGTAATTAGATAAAAATTAAAAAAAATATTTTATAAAAAAGGGAAGTTATTTTAAATTAAAAATATTTTTAGAAAATTTAATTTTATAAAATGTTTTAAGACTTTAACAATAAAATAAAAATTTAATTAAACTTAAAATTAAAAGTAAAGAAGGAATTAATTATATGAACATATCCTCAATTAAATTAAACAACAACTGTTTTAAATGAGTAAAGATAAGGAAAGAAATTAAAGATGTTGGTTGAATGATTTATTTTAAATAAAAAAATTAATTAATTGATTAATTTATTTAAATAATATATTTTTTTGACAAATAAATACAAAAATTTTAATTTAATTTAAACAATAATTTTCAACAATTATTTTTATTTTCATTAAATTCTTCTGGAATTTTCAATGGAACAAGTCTTTTCCAAAAAAATATCCAAAATAATGCCATCAATAAAATTTCAGTTCCTTCTAAAATCCAAACAGGTCTAGGGCCGTAATTGTGGTAAAGTAACCTTTTTAATTAAAAAATTAATTAAAGATTAATACTTGATTAAATAAAGGAATATTTATTTGAATCAAAAAAATTTTTTTAATTTAAATATGTACTTCCTAATTTTTAATTTAAATTTTTCTAGAACAAAAATATTCCCCCCCCCCCCTTCCCCTTCTCTTTGATTACCCAATTAATGTCGGCCCCAACATTCTCCCCAAGCCTCCAAACAATTCAAGAATTCCCTGCTCTCTTGACTGCATTCTCGGTCCAATCATTCTCGAAAATAAAGTATTCATTGTTACATTTATATTTGGAAAAGCAATTCCCATACATAAACAAATCTTTTAATTTTTAATTAAACATTTAATTACTTAAAAAACATACAGAAATATAGTAAACCCAAACATTTATTTGTTTTAAATCTTTACACCAATATTCATTAATTATATCACAACCTAATCCTTCTTCTGTTAAATTTGTTGAATCTAAAAATTAAATTTAAAAAAAGGACTAATTTATTTTTAAATTTTATTTTAAATATAATTTTGGCAGAATAAAAAAATAAATTTTTAAAAACAAATTTAATAATTTATTGTAAAATTTAAAAAAAAATCCAAAAATTAGATTTATATTTTGTGTTGGGGTTAAAAAATTAAAGATTTTTATTAATTTTCATTAATCTTTAAAATTCGAGTCGAGCCGACGTTCAAGTCATTTTTTCGGGCTTCATTTTTATCGGGCCGGCCCGGTCTTTTTCTGGCCACAATTTGATGCCCAACAGGATCTTTCGGACCGGGCCCCCAACCCTAATTTATATTTAATAAAATTAAAATAACCAACTAAAGGTAACAACATTATCTTTGTAAAAAGGCCAAGAATAAGTAATTAAATGAAAAAATATTAAAAGAAATAAAGAAAATAAACAAACAATTCTTTCATTTAATCTTTAAATTTTAATTTTTAATTGGAATTAAAAATAAAAAAACCTTTTTCCTAAATTAAAAATAATATAAAAAATATAAATAAATAAAGTTAAAGCTCCACGCGCCGTGTGGGCAATTGATTCATAATTAACTACTTGTTTAGTTGACCATACAAACATTGCCATTGAAAATGAAATTCCAATTCTTTAAATTTTTTTGGATTTTTTAAATAAATTTTCTTTTGATTTTTTTACGTTTCTAAATTTGTAAAAACCAAATATTGAGTAAATCTCATTGCACAACAAACAGCAAAAGCTAGACGATCATATGGAGGTAGTTCTTTGTTTATTTGATTTGGAATGCCCTTTAAATTTATTTTAAATTATTTTTCGGTTAAAATGTTTAGAGAAATAAAAGATTTTCTTAAATTAATATAATTTTGTACATATCTTGTGTGATTTGTTCATAATCCTATTAAGAACGAGTATTAATTTAATAAATTCAGTAACACATTATTTCAAATGCTCAATTCCTTCCTATATTCGTCCAGTATTTTTTGTTAATAAAATTTATTAATATTATCAAATATCAATAAATTTCCTAGGCTAACATATTTAAAATACTGAGTATTTTGCTAGGATTTTAGAAGTATTCTTTTTCTCTCCCTTATTTTAAATTTTTAAAATGTAAATAATTTTTTTAATTTCCTCACATTTAAATCTTTTTTATTATTTCTTTTATGTATTAAAACCCCAACATAACTTTCATGAAAATAAAATTGTAAAATAAAATGTAAAATTAAATTCATAATTATTGCAAATAAAGCAGGGGCAGTAAATAAATTTAAATATAAATTGTTAAATAAAAATAAGCCAGGATCGAGAAAAGTAAATAAATATTGGAATGCTGTTAAATTAATTAAATTATTTTTAAAAATTTTTTTTTTATTTTTTACTTGGTCCCATTGTAACACCAAAAGCTATACCGCCAGTAATAAAGGCTGTAGCTGTTGATCTGTCCTTTAAATATAAAAATTGAAATTTTGATGTTAAATTGAAGGTAAGTAGAAGAGGATTTCCTGTCGATTTTTCAAAATTTTCTTTGGATCGGGATTCAAGTATAGACCGGACTTGTTGTGTCGTACGAGAACCGAAATCTCGAAAAAATCTCGATTCTCAGAGATGTTAGAGCAGAATTATCGCAACGAAAACGAATTTTTGATCGAGATCGCGTCACGGTCCGATCTTTAGATTCAAGTTCTGGACCCATGACATACTTTATAGCTAGTATTTTAAAATAATTTTAAAGATTATAACCACATTTATATTTTGTTATTAATTTTATTAGAAATTAATTAATTTATTTACTTTATCTAAACTTGCTGAAGCTGCATAAGAAATTAAAAGACTATTTTGAGCTTTAAAAATTAAAAAAAAATATTTTTTTATTTAAATATATTTAAATACCTGGACCAATTCCAGACACTAAACGTGCAATAATAAATATAGTTTTAATCCAATTATTTGGAAATACTTCAACGAAAAAATAAATAATATTTCCAAACTATTAATTTTAATATTTAAAATTAATTAATTAATTAATTAACCAGCATAAAAAAATTAGTAATTAACAAAGGCAATTTAATTTGTTCAATTTTTTCTGCCCAAATTCCAACTAAAGGAGTTAATACCATTTGAACTAAAGAATAACCGCCAACAACAAATCCAAAAAATATTTCAGTTATTTGTGGATCTAACTTTAAAAAATATTTATTGAAAATTATTTTTTTAAATTATTTATTTATTTATCTATTTTCTCGATTAATTCACCCGTGGAATTAATATTTATTTCAACCCATCCCTGGCATGGGGAATTATTCGAGTTTTGACTTTGAACGTGCTTTAGGGTATTTGTGGGTGCTTTAGGGTATTTATTGTTGTAACCCATCTCTGGCATGGGGAATTTATCAAGAGTGGGAAATTATCCGAGGGTGGGGTTATCCGAGGTAAATAAAAAAATATTTAATTTATCTATAGTCTATAGTTTAATTTATCTACAAAAAGTAACTAAAGTACTTATATAAATAGATTTCCAATCTGTTTTTAATTTTTTATTTAATGAAGGAAGACTAGAAGATTTAGTTTCTTTTTCTTCTTCTTCTTTTAAATAAATAAAATTAATTTCTGGTAATTTAATATTATTTGGAGAAATTTTATTTTTATTAAAAGAATTGTCAAAAGTTGGACGTTCATCTGTGAATGCTGGCATTTTTATTTAACTTTAAATTATTAAAAAATATATAATTTCAATTAAATATTTTAGGAAGTTATTATTTATGTACTAGGGTTGGACAAGGTAGGTCTTAAAACCTTTGAAATTTTTCGTCAAAAATTAACCGTTTTTAGAAAATTTTAAAAACCGGAAATTTGTGAAAATGTGTGATTTTATTAAAAATTCCCCCAAATAAAACTGGTATTTCTCTAAAATTCAAAACCAAAAACCGTGGGTACCGGTTAATAACCGGTTGTGTCCAACCCTAGTATGTACATGTACAAAATATAAAAATTAAAATTGCTCAAAAATTCTGAAAATTTGATTAAAAATTCTAAAATTTTTGTAAAAAATAGCTAACAAAATATATATTCTCGATTTAAATTTATCAAGATTTAATTAAAAATATTTTAAAAAATAATTTGGTATTTTGATAATTTGGTTTTTTATTTAACAATTTTCTATTTTTGTTATAAATAATCCTAAAATTTATAAAATTTAAATTAACTTTAAACATTCCCAACAGAACATTTTAAATTAAAAAAAATATTTTTAAAATAAAAATAAAAGATAATAAACATATATTAACTGATTATTTTATTTATTTTTAACATTTAAATATTTTTTGGTCAGTCTTGAGTGCATAAAACAGACATGGAAAGTCTTTCTAAACTCTGTTTGGGTGTGTCAAAAAGCACAAGACAATTAAAAAAATGGGGAGAATATTTACTAATAAACTGGCATTAAACTCTTTGCCCCCAAAATTTGTCATTTATTTTTTTATTTACAAAATAATATTAAAGATAAGGAAAAATCAGAAATCAAAGTAAAATATATTTTATTTTTAAATATACAAGTTGCATTTTAAATATTGCATCACTTTATTCTTTTAAATTAAAACTTGAAAAGCAAAAGTTAAACTGGGGATAAAAAGATTTATTTTAAGAATGGTTTACTACTATAAAACCAAAAATAAGTTAATTTTGTGGAAACTCTAAGGAAAAGCAAATTTTAAGGACTAAAAGATGAGACATGAACACAAAAGGGCAATTTTAGAATTAAACAGTGACAGATTGAAAAAATAGGAGAAAGATGAAAATAAGAAATATTATTAACAGAAATGAATAATTTAGATTTGTAAATATTTTTACCGGTTGTTCCTAGACATCTTCAGGATACCTAATTAATTTTAAGGCCATAAATATCTAATTAACATAAAACTTGCATTAATCTCCCTCCCAAAAATGATTACCCCGACAAATCGAAAATTTTATTTCTAACTTGTTCAAATAAATATTTCAACTTCCGGCGGTCGATTTGTTATTCGGAGCAGTTTGTATAATAAAGAAATTTTCGAAAATATATTTTTAAAATTTATCAAGAATAACCAAAAAACAAAGTGAAAATAAATATATTTTTGTAAATAAATACCGGGTCACTACAAGATACATCCTTAAAGATGAAATGAATCATGATGGGGCGGTAAAGGTACTCCAAACTGGCCAAGCAAATTAGAAAAAAATATTTTAAATTGAGGTGTATCTTATAATGAAAAAATATTATTAGGTATAGTATATTTTTGTGTCAAGGTAATTTTCATTGGGAAATAAAGTAGTAATAGTAAAATAAATTTGAATGTAAATAGAGCTTGGAATAATTTAGCATTTGTAAAAAGGGGATTAAAAAATTATTTTCAGTCAAAAATTCGTAAAATTGTCATTTACGGCCACCTTTTTTCCACCGAAGATTTTTTTCTATTAATTGGCCAACTTCCAAAACAAAATAAAAATTAATCCTTTTTGGCTGCTCGTGGCAAAGTACAAAAGGGGTATTGAGAAGAAAGGAAAATGACCATTCTAATATCCATTCAGGAAAAAAGTTAGGGAGGAAAAAGGGCCATAAACAACAATTTTACCAAAAATTCACAAAATTATTTTGTTTCCAAACTCTATTAAAATCAGATCAAAACAAAGGTAAACAAATTTTGATGGATGTCAATAATCTTTTAAGTCCTAAAAATAATTCATTTATTCACTTCATCAACTTCAATAATTTCCACTTTTAATTTATTAATTTGAGCAGGCAATGTAGTGAGAGAATCTTGCTTTTTAATTTTTTGTTGTGGCTGTTGAATTTCAGAGGGAGGATTTTCATTTTGCAAAACTAAATTAAAAAGAATTATTAATATTTACATATTATTAATTACCCTTTCCCTCACCTCCAACATTTTTGCTAATTGAAATTGGTTCCCCAACACTAATATTTGCGCATGCACCAATAGAAGCTTCCGTCGAACTACTCAAATTATCATTAGATGAAATTGGTGGTGAACGAGGTCTTTTTCTGTTTGCTGGGCTAAAATTAAACAAAAAAAAATTTTTTTTATTTTTAAGAATATTTACGTTTGTAATCTCTCCAAAGTATTTGACAATAATTTACTATCCACATTTTTATTCTTCCTTGTAAATTCAAAACAATTGGCAAATTCCATTGATTTATCAAATTCTCTCTTGTTAATCCGAACATTTACAGCCTAAAAATTAAATTAATTAAAAAATATTTTCTCTTTTATTTTACCCCTTTAAATCCATTTTTAAGCAGAATTTCTTTATCTTTTTGCGTTAATTGATTATAGAAATTTCTGACTGGAGCTTGCATTTTTGGCTGTGCTTTCTTTGCAGTTTTTCTTAAAAGAGGAAGAGCTTTCAATGCCGGCGTTTCCTTCTTCCTTAATTGTGGACCTTCACTTAAACCATTTCTTAAATGCTTAAAAATTCCAAATCCTTTAAGTTTGTGTCCAGAACTTGTTGTTGGAATGTCTGTAGCAATTGCTGGTGTTGAAACAGAAGGACGAGCAAAAGTTGGGGTTGAAGAGGAAATATTTGATTTAGCTGTAATCGGTTCGGGTGTCTAAATTAATGATAAATATCTACAATTTTAAAGAAAATAAACCTGTACAGTGTTTTTCGTTTGAGACTGTGATTCGGCTACAATTATTGTTGACATCTCAAAATAGTTTGTCTAAAAAAATAAAAAAAAATTTAAAAATTTATATGGGGTTAAAGTGTTTTATCAACACTGTTATAACCGAATTTACAGATATTTCAAATATTTCTAACAATAAAAATTAAAAATAAATTAATTACATTTTTGTTTGTTTCCGAAGTTTTAGGAACATTAATTTGCTCTTCTTTTTCTAAATCAAGAGCATTTTTAATTGCCACACTTTTTGATTTAAGAAAATGAATAGAGGGTATTGTTGATTCTGACTAAAAAAGTAAAATTATTTAAATAAAAAATAATTTATTTACATGTTTATTTTCAATAGCAGTCATCCAATTATCAAACTCTTTTTGTGTTGGAATTGTATCAGAAATTGAAGAAATTTTACAATGTACAATAACTCTATCCCATTCAATTTTAAGTTCCTTATCAACTGAAAAACGTCCAACAGGATATGGAAATTCACATTTATGAACACCGACAATTTGCACAATCTAAAAAAGAATAATTTCAGATAAGAGCGTAGCCAGGGGTGCTGCTGGGATAGCCATCCAACCTAGCTACGCCCTTGGTTTTAGATAATCTAGAACATTTTTGCGGACACAATTTGATAATATTCCCATGCTTTAGTAATTTCACAAACGACAGTCTTTAGAAAAAAAAGTCAAAATGTATCCGACAGTTACATATTTAAATTTTATATTTTAAAAACAAATTTATAAAAACCTTATATCTTAAACTGTCTTGAGCTTGAGAATGTTCACTTCTAGTAACATTAGGTAAATTATAGAGAAATCTAACAAAGGTTCCAATAATTGTTTTTGAAAAACTTTGATGGCGAACAATTTTAAGAATTTCTGAACGCTTCAAGAAAATTTGAAGTAACTCATTATATGAAGTTATCTTCAAAAAAAGTATTTAAAATTAATAGACAAATATATTTTTATTTACCTTATTTTGTTTTTCGTAAATAATAGAAGCTTCTTTATTGGCTAATTCATAAAGTTTAAGGTTTTTCTCAAGCAAAGAATTTGTTCGGCAACTATCAATTTTGACATGTTTTGATATAACAAATTGTAAAGTTGGTACAATTTTCTAAAATTATTTCAATTATTGGAATAAGCTAGAAGAGAAAATAAATATTACTTACATTAACCTTAATTGATTTCTTTGCTTTAGTACTTATAGCCAAAACCCATTTTTTAAATTCTTCATTTGTCGGCTGTTGATCCAAAACATTATTTAAAGTCAATTCAAAGAGATCATCATTAGAATCCAATAAAATTCTTTTTTGGAAAAATAAATCTTCATAACGATAAACAATTTCAGTATCCTCAACTTTACAAATTTTTGCCAGCTTAAAAAATAAAAAATTCAAAAATCATTTTTATTAAATTAAACAACTTTATATTCTTCTTTATTTGTCGATTCTTTACTCGTTCCTTCATTTTCATTTGAATCTTTGTCATATTTAACAAAAACAAAACAATCAGTAACCAACTGATTAAATTCAGCGGAGTGCATAGTTTGTATAATAAATGTTTTTGATAAAATAATTGGCAAAATATCATCCAAATATTCAATCTAGCAAAAAAATAAATAAAAATATTAAAAAATGTACCTACATATTCAATAGGATTTTTTTCTTTCGCTCTTTGCTTATTAGGAGACATAACACTTCCAATAATACCATCATCATCAGCAATACAAATTTTGAATCTTCCATCCTCAGTTTGATATCCACCAATTAATGTATCAGAATTAATAAAAGCCTTTTAATTTTAAAAATTAGAAAATAATTGTGAATTCAGAGAACCTGGTTAGATTGATTGTCGGAATGCTGAACACCTTCATTATTATCAAATATTTGATTGAATTCACTAGGAATATTGTCAATATTCATTCCAATGTCTGGTTCATGTATTATAATGTCTGGTTCTTCAGGTTCATTAAAAATCTTAAAAAATAAGAAATTTTACAAACATATTAATTAAAAATTAATAAACGATCAATATAAAATATTTTTCATTCAGTAAAGCTGAATTATCCAAAAATCTATGTAAATACCTGTTCTGCAGCCATTTCACTAATTTCCAAATTTTCAGTTATTTCTTGATCTATAAGGTATTCATTAATTTCCTCACTTTCTACAGATTCAACAACACCACTTAAAACATGTTGAACATCCGTAACTTCTGATTCAATAATACTCTCAACCAAATTAATTCCTTCATTTATGGAATGATAATCAGGCTCTGTTTGTCTGTAAATATTTTCAAAAAAATATTCAAAAGTTAATATTTACCTTTCGTCAGGAGAAAATGGCCAAGAAAGAGCAGAAGAAATTTCAGTAATTTTATTTATAAGTTGATCAATTGAAGGTGTTGGCTTATTCTGAAATAAGAATATAATCAGAATAAAGAGAATGCGAAGAATAACAATAATGTCATTAATGTGAAATACTAATATTATTTTCAAAAAATGTCAGTACACTCATGTCAATTTATTTCCTTAATACCTATAATTCTCTATTTGCCTAAAAAATTTTGGTTAATAATTTTGGTTAATATAGTTTGTAAAAAATACACTCCTTTGTTTGAATGCCAATGGGAAGGAAAAACCATTAATTTTAATTAATTTAAAAAAATACCTTTCTTATCAAACTCATTAACCATTGTTGAATTTCAAGCTCTTCTGCCTGATCTTCAGAAATTACATCTAAATCAATTTCCGTTTTATCATCTAATTGTAGCAATTTCCCTTTATTTTCACCATAACATCCATGATCAAGATTATCCAAAACAGAGACAACACGTGCAATCTAAATGTAATTTAAATAGTATTTATTAAATTTATACTCATTAATTTCGAAATTTTAGTTTTTTGATTAAAGTCGGAAAATACAAAAATTCCAGAATAATCAAAAATTAATCAGTCTTTGAATTTTGCCGGCAAAAACTCAACAACCAATTTTAAAATCCTTGCAATATATTAATAAAAATCAAATACCTTACCTTATACTTTTTAATGTCTCCATTACTACTTTGATCAACAACTCGAACAAAACAATCAACAATAGTTTTAGCAAAATCTGGAGATGAAAATAATTTAGAAATGCGTTCACGCCCAAGTATGCAAGCTCTTATCCCTTCAGATGGCTCATCTGGATATTGAATTGATTGATGAGAGGCAGAATTGCAATTATTTGATATTCCATTGGAAAAATTGGAAGAATACTTATCCGATTCAATAGACATCTATAATACTTACTGTTAGATTGAAATATAATAATTAAAATACATAAAGACAAAGATATAAATAATTAAAATGTCTTTTTAATATAACAAATTTCGTAGAATTAAATTTTTATTTTTATAATTTTTTATGCACGACATATACAGAAACACTACAGGACAAGACCGAGGACTATTCAATTTTCAAAAAAGAATATGGCTGAAGAATATTAATTTTTCTAAAAAGGATAAGGCCATAATAAAAATACCAGTACATATATAATACATATTTTAATGTAAAAAAATAAATTTTAGCGCGTTCCGAAAATAAACGTTTGTAAATTCTTTATGTATCACAATTTGTTTTTGTCCTTCCTTTTTTCGTCTGCTATTACGTAAAGACCAAAACCCAATCCACCAATTGATGGCCCAACATCTTCAATTTTTCCTTCAGCCAAAAGTTTAACTAAATGGTGTCTAACATTTAATAAAGCGCCTAAACGTCTAGAGGGAAGAATATTCTAAAAAATAATAATAAATTAAATACCAATTTTTGTTAAACCGTATAAATCGAATTAGTTATCTGCATAGTTGTAGCAGGTCCATCATTTGAAATTACATTCAAAATTTCTTGTTCTCGTCTATTTCTGTTTTCAATATATTCAAGAATTTTTTGTTTTGGATCCTCCACAACAGGACCATGACCTAAAAATTGTGTTAGAAAGATTGAAGGTTTATCGACAATTTGTACCTGGATATATTCGTTTCGGTGCTAAATCCAAAAGCTTTCGAAGACTTTTCATATAATCATCTAAATTTTCAAAAATAGCTGAGCCTTCCCCGAGTACACAATCACCACTAAATTATTACATTTAGATTATATTTAACAACAAAAACCTAAATAATGTTCCTTCTTCTTCTAACCAAAGAGCTGTGTGATCGGAAGTGTGACCAGGAGTAGAAAGAAAACTGAAGTAAAAAAATATTAAAGGCCAAAATATTTATTAAGAAAAGAATTTTAAAAAAACAAGACAAAATCTTATCAGTTAGTTATACATTTCAGAAAAATTTAGAACCCAATCTCAAAATTAGAAAATTTACCGAAGAGTTGTCCCTTCAACCTGAAGTTCATGACCATCCTCCACAAAAGTAAAATTAAACTCATTTGATTCTGGTTGCCCATCTGTGCGACGAAGTTTGTAGATTGGTATGTCCTTAAAAAGTTATGAGAATTTAGTCAAATATTAAAAATACTTTTTTCAAGTATCGGAGAATCTGTCCAATACCTCCAGTGTGATCAGCATGCCAATGTGTCAATACAATAGCTTCTAAAGTGCTGGAACTTTTACTCAATGAATCAATTAAATTGTTTAAATATTGACTAACATTTGGCTCTCCAGCATCAATAAGAATTTTCCTAAATTTGAAGGTTAGGATTGATCAATAAAACAAATTTTTCGTTGTATTTTATTTAAAATTTAAATTTTAAAAATACTTTGCTCCTTTTCCAACCAAATAAGTATTTGTGCCTTGAAGTGTAAAAGCGCCCGGATTCTGTCCTAAAAATATACATTATGTCTGCGTTACATACTTCATATTAAGAGTAATGAAAAGTGATTCGTAAAAATTAAAAATTCGTAACCGAATGGTTTTTAAAAATTTAAAGATCGTACCAAGAATACGTAGCACCAAAGGAGATAGTTGACTAACGTCTTCTAGTGGAGTCAGACCCGATGGAATCTTTTTACTACTTTGCAGCTTTCTTGTAAACATTGCACAACCAACAGCACCAAAAGACAGAAGATCTCTCGGCAGCTGGAATAATACCAAACGTGTCAACATTATCAGCACATCGTAAGAAAACGAATAATACATGAGACTGAAATAACGAATTTGAATAAAAATTTGTTGGATGCATTTGAGTCAGAACTCAAAAAATATATCCAATCTGATAGTGAGGACAAAATTGGCTAACAATAAGAAATATTTATTTCGGTGCTCTAAAATTTTTATCTCACATCAGAAACAAAATTAAGAAAATATATCGAACAATTTTTTATCACAAATTTTAAACATAACTTGTTGCAACAAAAATACGTCTAAGCTTTTGCCGTTTATTTTTATTAAAATGCTTTTTACTTCTTTTTTCTTCTTCTATTAAGCTTTCTCCTGTACTGTTTTTTAATCTCATTGTCACAACACCTCTTTTAATATCTAAAACTAATCATTTTTAAAAATTCAAAAACAAAGTTTAAACCTTCCATTCTTGGAAAGAATTCTTTCTCAATGCGTGTCTCAACTTGATTTGTTTTAGTTAATGTTTTATTAAATTCTTCATTTCCACAAGTGTCCAATAATAGGTCTCTTCTTTGCATTTGTTCAAGTAAATTTTTGCCAACCTCTTTCCCATTAGAATTTTCAGTCTATAAATTAAAATATATTTAAATTAAATTAATTTTATACATTTTTAACAAAATTTTTATATGTCCAATTATCAAATTGCTCTTGAGATATGCCTGGTGGGGCAATGCACCATCGAATCTCTCCTTGAACAACATCTCGTAAAATTAGTCTGGCAGATCTTGAACAATCCTTTGAAGAAATTTATTGTCTTATTTAAAAAAAAATAAAATTTACAGGAATTCCTGACGAACTCATATATCCTTTTAGAAAAGCGACAGCTGTTAAAAAATCATGAGCTTGCACCGGTTCTTTTTTAGGTAACAAAATAGAATAATGTCTTTGTAGAACGTGACGAGGAATTCTGTTACATAATAGAGAAATTGGTGAATAATAATCTTGCATATGAGCAATTGGTAATATTCCTTGAAAAGACTTTTTAAGTTGTAAATCATAAAAAATAAAATTACCATTTAAAATCATTTCACTGTTACTTAATCCAAAAGATGGCATTACAAGTCCGGGACAATCACACAAAGTTATCTATTTTAAATTAATTTAAAAATTATAATTTTACAAACTCTTTCATTTGCCACAAGCGTTTGAAAATGTTTTGTTTTTCCAGGAGTAGATGAGACTGCTATCTTTTTTGTACCAATTAAACGGTTAATAGTTGAACTTTTGCCAACATTAGGATAACCTACCATACCAATAACAATTCCATTATCTTTTGGAGTTGTTGTAGCAAATGTTTCAAAAATTTGTAAAAGATCCTTGAATATAAATTAAAAAAAATTTTTTTTTGAAAAAGAAAGTAAGATTGTCCTCATTAAAATTTATAAAAACTCACTGATGGAGATTCAACAAAATCTTTGTCGGAACATTCAATTTGCGAGGATAACTCGGTAACCGATGTTTCACACTTTTTGATAGACTCATTCAACTTTTCCTCCTTCTCATCTTCATACTCTTCAATATTCTCCTCATCATCAAGTTCTTCGTCACCCTCGTCAAACTTTTCACTAGATTCTGAATCTTTACTTCGATATTCCGATTCATTCACTTTTTCAACATTTTTAACAACAGTTTGTTTATTAGACCTAATAAGATTTTGTAAAATTTTCAATTTGTGCTCGAGTTTTACCAAAATACTGCAAAAATTCCCTTCTCCTCAAAATATTTTTTCCAGCAAATAATTTGTTCAGAGCTGAGTAAATCAGCCTTATTAATTAGCAACAGATTCTTCTTCGATGGATCAACTTCTTTTACAAAATGTTCTAGGTCAATACTTCTAAAGAGCAATGGATTTCGAGCATCAACAATCTTAAAAAGAATATTTATTTTCAATTAATTTAATGTTTAACCTGTACAATAACATCGCTCCGTTCTACTACACGCCACAATTGACGCCATACTTCTAAATTTCGTTCAAATGGAGTTATAACAATTTTACTTCCCTATATAATTTTAAAAATATTTTTAATTTATTTGTAAACCTCGGAAAGTTTAGCCAATTTTTGTCTCCAATCGAGAAATTGTGACGTCTCGAGAGAGTCCAACTCCTCTGCAGTTTGATAGGTATCAGGTTTTGGCCTACGCGGTATACTTAACAAATGACCATATTTTACATGAAGCTCATCCAAATTTTGTTCTTCCAAACCTTCCAAAAGAGTGGTATCTCCTTTTGAACTAAAAATTTAAGAAAGGTAAAGTTATTCGAGAAATTAAAACCCGATAATTTTAAGGTCACTTCTTTCGGCTTCGAAATTTTTGTTAGCTAGTTCATAATTCGTTAAAATTTCCTGAACACTCGATTCATGAGTTCGCGAGTCAAATTTTCCAGCATCCTGCTTAAAAGTATTCAAAAATTAAAAAAAATAAAATTTACCAAGGTTGATTGTTTTTCATTAAAAGATGATTTGGTTCTAGCCTGGTTAAGTAAAGACTTTCCCAATGAATTGTTGACACCGGATGGAAAGTGGGATTTAAGTCGCCTCTTTGTCATTTATAAATATTGACTTTATGCTTTTCCAGCTATTAAAAAAAATTTAGAATGAAAAAAAACAAAAAAAAAATAAAAATAATTATGGATTTTGCCTTTATTGGCATAATAGATTGCTAACATTAAACATAATTAAATTTCAAATTTATAACAAACATTTTATAAAATTTCAATAAATTTGTCAACACAAATAAAATTACAATGATTTATAGGTCTTAATTTAACTTATTGAATAGGATCTGGAACTGGCATGAGTTTAAAACACTAAAGCGGAAGATGGGTTATCGTTATACTTTTGTTCGATAGGAAAGTGGTAGGTTAATAGGGGAGTTTGTTACGGCGAAGTCTATTGGAAAGTATGCTAGAGATAGGAAAATTGGGGAAACTATAATGATAATCCAATCCTTTTTTTAGTGTTTTAAATGCTTGCCTTTTTTAACCTTTTAAATTCTAACCTTTTGCTCGATTTGATGTTCGTCTGTAAACATGTATAAAAAGCCTGCGGCGCTGAAATTGAGAAATTTGGAGGTATTCTCGGAGGTAAAGTGGATGGGTGTTGGGTGGGACACGCCCTCCTTGTCGCGGGCCACCTTGTCGCGACCACCTTGTCGCGACCACCATG